GACTGAGCAACGGGAGCTCACCCCATCGCAGGGATTCAAACCGCTGACCTTCTGATCGGCAAGTCCAACATCATATAAACCACACCAATTTTGCAAAAATCAATCAGGGTGACCACTCATTTGGAAACAATCAATGTCTTTTTTATCTGCTGGATTTTCAGAAACGACTCTATTTCATGGGTGCCAGCCTTACATTGCAGTAGTTTAGAGACGTTACTAACAAAATTGTCATTATAGTGGTTGGGGGCAGAAACAGGGGCAGGATACGGTTAAAACCTTTCGTGGGAGAAGCCAAGCTCTGTGTATATATAGACATCACATGTCATACCCTCCAACATTCCTCAGATCAAAATAGGGACGTTTCTGTCACTCCTCCCCCCACACTGGCCTTCCTCGACACCCCATTTTTGTGCCCCCCCCCAGCTGCAGAGCATTTCAGAAGAACAGTGAGTGCCAGCACCAGTTCACCAATGGGACAAAGCACACATAACCCCCCATTGTTCTACTCGGACACTGAAGGTCCGGCGCAGAGAGCCTTCTGGCGGTTCCCTCACTGCGAGAAGCCAAGTTACAGGGAACCAGGCAGAGGGCCTTCTCAGTAGTGGCACCCGCCCTGTGGAACACCCTCCCACCAGATGTCAAAGAGAACAACAACTGCCAGACTTTTAGAAGACATCTGAAGGCAGCCCTGTTTAGGGAAGCTTTTAATGTTTGATGCATTACTGTATTTTAATATTTTGTTGGAAGCCGCACAGAGTGGCTGGGGAAGCCCAGCCAGACGGGTGGGGTATAAATAAATAAATAAACAAGTAAACAAATAATAATAATAATTATTCCCTCTACCGTCTGAGGAAACCCCTTGATCCCGATTTCATTTCATTTCATTCTTTGGTAAATTTACAAAAAGAGAAACACACAGCAATAAATAACTTTTAGAAAGGGGCAAGATTATTTTTTTTAAAAATTAAGACTCCTCGCGTTCTACTCCACTCCCCCTTCCTTCTCACCCAGGGCAGCGGTCCTGCCTGCACCTCAAATCTGGCGCGTCACATGGGCCGGGCCTTAGCAGAGGCAGCCTCTTTCCTCCTCGCTGGTGCTGCAGCAGCCACTACAAACTGCCCAAGGGAGGAGGCTGGCAGCAGCGGCCATGGAGAGGCTATGGGATGCTCTCTCACAGCTGCCACTGTTGTCGCTTGGGACAAGGGCCGGCTCATCCTCCCCCCCGAGCTCAGCAGTGGCAGCACCAGTGGGGGAAATAGGGACATTACAGGATCAAGCCAGAAGCTAGGATGGTTTTCGTAATTCTGAGACTGTCCCTGCAAAACAGGGACCCGTAGAGGGTTTAAAGTGTGTGCACATACATACTGTTAGAATTCCTGCTCTATGATTGCAGTCATGGTGTTGTTGTCTATCACATGATGGTGTATGTTTTGACTCCACAGAGTGGAAAGTGACGAAGACAGGATGTTTGTGTTACTGTGTTCCGTGAAGCGGGACTATTGTCCTTTGTTCTTTTTCTCTTTGCTGTTTGATGCTAGAGAGAGAGGGAGCCATCTTGCAGTGCTCCATGTGTGTTTATATGTAAATAAAGCAGATTAGCCAAAATGCTGAGTTGCTGAGGTCTGTCACGCGCATGATGCGCAAACTCTGCAGATCCCTAAGTGTGTCTGTTGGCATCGGTCACTGTGATGTTCGGGCTGAAGAAAGGTTTTGAAGCTCCCGAACGATCGACCAGGAGGGAGAGAACATGCCAGTCGGGCATGTGTCTCTGCCAGGGTCCTACTCAAGTGTAGGCTGAACTCTTGACACATACTGCATGTCATTCCATCAGAAGCATTCGCTTTAACTTATATTGGAGAGTGGAAATAAAATCACGTGAACTCCCTGTGCCAGATGATCTCAGTTTCTTGATGAGGAAGAGCAAGTCTTTAATCTTAGCCTACTTTGCAACTGGGCTTCAGGTTTCTTGTTTGACTCTCAGTTCAGTAAAAAAAGAAAAAAAGAATTTTACCATGGCTCCTGTGTCCCTGCAGTTGCTTCTTTCCGGCTACATGAATCACAATGCTTTAGTGTGATAGAGAGATGAAATGTTGAGAACTGGCTATTATCGTGGGGACCTGCTGCCTCACAATAGTCCCTTTCAGTCTTTGCTTGCACAGAGAGGGAAAGCGAGTACAAAAGGGCTGTGGGGTTTGTGGTTTAAGCCCCACCGCCATCGCTGCAGCTGCTCAGAGTTAGGGAGTAGGCTGTAGCTCAGGGGAAGAGTGGGGACAGGGGTGGCGCTGTGGCTTAAACCACAGAGCCTAGGACTTGCCGGTCAGAAGGTCGGCGGTTCGAATCCCCGCGACGGGGTGAGCTCCCGTTGCTCGGTCCCTGCTCCTGCCAACCTAGCAGTTCAAAAGCACGTCAAAGTGCAAGTAGATAAATAGGTACCGCTCCGGCTGGAAGGTAAACGGCGTTTCCGTGCGCTGCTCTGGTTTGCCAGAAGCGGCTTAGTCATGCTGGCCACATGACCCGGAAGATGTACGCCGGCTCCCTCGGCCAATAAAGCGAGATGAGAGCCGAAACCCCAGAGTCGGCCACGACTGGACCTAATGGTCCAGGGTCCCTTTACCTTTTACAGGGGAAGAGTGTATATTTTGGATGCAGGAGGTCCCGAGTTCAAGCCCCACATCGCCCCAAAAACCCTTGGAGAGCTGTGGTTTTTTTGAAGCTGCATTTTGCAACATGTCCTTGGCTCAACGTTAGTGGATCCATGGTGGAAGGATCCTGGCCCATCCACATGTCTTTTTGCTGCGGAGGAGCACTCTTGCACGACAGTGCAACAAAAGAGGGACCAAAACGACAACAACCCTGGAACGTTTGCGGTACAAGATTTCAGCAAGAGGCAATGTGACACACACGGATTAGAAAAGAAATATTATGCCCTCCCTGAAACGTCTGCTGGTGCAAACGGTATTGAAAGTGGGATTGCGTACAGCTGTCCTGATACCATCATGAACACAAACATCATGGATGCACAATAAAAAAGATGCCTGGAGGCAGTGCTTTTTTCTGGGGGGACGCAGGGGGACGCATACTCCTAAACATTTTGTGAATCTAACCGGAGAAGAAACTAATTTTTTTAATTAAAAAAAAAGTTTATTCTCTAGCACGGTGAATCGTCAGTTCTGTTGCTACCTCCGATGGCGGCCTCAATTCTTGGTGTTTCCTGAGTCTCAAACAGAAGCGAGCGTTTAATGTGTGAAGTAGGAGTTGGACTCGAGCACGGTGATTGGCCAGTTTCGTTGTTACCACCTCCGATGGTGGCTTCCTTTCCTTTCCCGGTGTTTCCTGAGTCTCAGACGGAAGTGAGCGTTTAATGTGTGAAGCAGTGTGGAATGTGGATGTGTGATAATATGAGGTAATGCATGTTCTTTGTACTTCTGTCCATTTACTGTTCCTGGTTTGAACTATAAAACGGTGATTTTCTTGAGTCAAAATGAGAGTACCCCTAAACATTTTTTTAACAGAAAAACAAAACAAAGCACTGCTTGGAGGTGCTCAGTATTGAGTAGAGGGACCAGTGGTCTTTCTAATATTAGAATCAGAGAGAATGCTACCAGCATTCTCCTACTAGTGTGGGAGAAAAGGCATTCACAGTATGTCTGCCTGTGAGAGGAAGAGGGCAATGGTCATATCAGGGGATGGAACTGCAGCGACCTTGTGCTGTAGCTGGAAAGGAGCGGGACTTCTCAGCCCCGAAGCACTGCACTTCTGGCTCGTACAATGGGCTGATAAAAGCTCCATAAATCATTCCGCTCCATCTCTAACAGGCACATTCATAACCCTTCTGTTTTTTCTCAAGTCACTATTTCAACTATTTCAAAACTGAACTGGTGTCTGAATCACAGGTCAAAGGGTCATTTGGCCATTCTGGAGGGATACTTTCATTTTTCAACTATACAAAAGGGAATTTGGATAGGTTTCATTTTCCGGTAGGAAGGGATTGACTAAATGAAAAGTTAATAATAATAAAAAGACCACCTCCCCCCCACAATCTGTAGTGTAAAGTCCCAGAAGGCGAAAACACCCAAATTATTACATTATTTTTGAAGGGAAGGGTTGCTTTTTGGGCACCACACAGGTTGAGGAAGTTTGGGTTGGAAGTTTAGAGACCGTTTCCAGGGTTAACATTCCAATGCCATTCTTGTTTGAAAAGGTAGAGCCTGGTGAACGATGACCATTTTTGCCAGGCCTCAGTTTAGGCTGGGAGAACTGGCCATGTGTGGGTCTAGAGTAGGGAAAGGGCTCACAGATTTGGCTAATGATTGCAAAGTGTCACTCCTCTGCTGATTTGAGTCATACAGTCTCTGCATTTTAAGGTCCTATGCCAGCAATAACATTGGGATTAGGAAATGATCAGAAAAGAGTGTGGGTTTCACAAGTACTGCCAAACCAGTTTTTGAAATATGACTTTTCCCGTCTGAGGATTAATGGTGGTTTATCGTGGCAATCCTTTAAAATGCCTATTTGTAAAGACGGTAACACACGTCTCTATAGGTCGCTTGCTGCTGGTACAGGGATGGTGTTTAAGCAGTTTCTTTTGAATGACTGAGGTCACAAATTACAAAGCAGCATAATTGAAAAGTCAAAGTTCTGAAGCACCCGTTCTGAAGCAAAGTTCTAAAGCAGTCCCTCCTAAATTGTGATCTGAGGACACACTAGTACAGTGGTGCCCCGCAAGACGAATGCCTCGCAAGACGAAAAACTCGCTAGACGAAAGGGTTTTGCGTTTTTTGAGTCGCTTCGCAAGACGAATTTCCCTATGGGCTTGCTTCGCAAGACGAAACGTCTTGCGAGTTCTTGCGAGTTTGTTTCCTTTTTCTTAAAGCCGCTAAGCCGCTAATAGCCGTGCTTCGCAAGACGAAAAAACCGCAAGACAAAGAGACTCGTGGAACGGATTAATTTCGTCTTGCGAGGCACCACTGTATACCATGTGAGGAGCTGAAGAGTACCTTGCAATGCTGGATGGCTCAGTTGGTTAGACTCTAACCATCAGCACATGGTGTTGCTAATGCCAAGGCTGCAAGTTCGATCCTTGCATGGATATTCCTGCATTGCAGGGGGTTGGACTACTAGGCGAACTTCAGGGTCCCTTCCAACTCTACCGTTCTAAGACAGAAGCATAGCTAGGCTTCCTTGTGCCCTTGGCAAGGAGCTGTATCTGCAACTCCAAAGCCGGAAGAGACCATGGAGGTATAGGTGGGTTTCCACAAGGCAAGACACAGTGATAACAGCAAAAACCTTTACTGAACTAAGGGAACTGAACAACAGGGGCAAAGCAGCTGCTGATATACATTTCTGAAGGTCTGGGCCACTCCCACTTCCAACATGATTAGTTGTCTAAACTTATAAGCTGCGAATCACAGCTCAGAGTTTAAGGACCAATGGCAGAGGCCCAAATCCTGAAATGTTCTGTGATTGGATATCATGTATCGAATCAGAACACAGGGCTCAGAATCCTTAGTCCAGACCAGGGGTCAGCAACCCGCGGCTCCGGAGCTGCATGTGGCTCTTTTACACCTTTGCCGAGGCTCCGGGGCGGATACTAGCGAGGGGAGGAGGCGCATTGTGCGCCCCGACACTCCCCACTGTGGCGGGCGCTGTACTGGCTGTGACATCGCATGGGGCGGTGCGTGCGTTAGTCACGCACCGTCCCGACGTCACCTTCCCGCCCACTGTCAGATCGCGGCTCCGGAGATATATTTGTTTTAAATGTCGCAATGGTTTTGCGGCTCCCAGTTTTTTTTCCTTCGGAAACGGGTCCAAGTGGCTTGTCTTAAAGGTTGCAGACCCCTGGTCCAGATTCAAGCTCAGGCAAACACAGACCACTGAATATATAACAGACCAGAAGCTCAAAAAGATTCCCCTCTTTGCCACTGCCATTGAGGTCAGGTCTGCTCTGCTCTGCCTCCCCTCTTCCTCCTCCTTCATAGGTCCACCTGCCCATCTGCCTCCTTCCACTTGTTGCTTTCCCTTCTGCTGCCTTCCTCCTTCCCTTCCCTTCCTTTTCCCTGCCCCTGCAACCCTCACCTGCTCCCTCCATCTTTCATCCCTCAGAGACAGAAAGAAGATTGTGTCCCAACCAAGTAGGAGTGGTAGATCAAATTGATGGACTCTGCCGAAATGGCAAAAGTTACTGGAACCATAAGAAACCAAGGAGAAATGCACTTTATTAAAGGATGGGGAAAATTTGTGGAATATCTGAAAAGGTTTTGTACACATATAAATTCATTAGCTGGATTAACCTAAAACAAGCAGTCAAATGTAATATTAAAGAAAAATTAGGGAGTATTTAATATTCGGAATAACAGGGGAAATGCAATATTAAGAATTAAAAATATAAGAAACTGCAAAAGGGGTGGGGGGAGTCAAAATATATGTGTATTGGGAAAGTATTTGATCTGTATGTTTGAAAGTAAATTAAAACTGAAAAATAATTTTTTTAAAAAGTCAGGAAACTTTTGGTAGTACATTGTTGTTGAAAAAATTATCAACTTCAGCCCCAAAGCTCAATTGTGCTGCTTAGTTTAAATATACTGGGTTAGGGAGCTGTCAATCTTCATGCGGTGACATCAAAACCCTGCTCCTTTTGCATCACTTTTGATATCTCTGCCATCGTCACAGCTGATGATGATAGAGGAGACATCTTGGCACCAGCAAGCCACATGCAGTGGGGTGGTAAGGAAAGGAAGAAACAACCTGCACTCCTCATACTCTGCCTTTGCTTCGAGAATTGGGCTTCCCCTCTGCGCCTGCAATTAGTTAAGGAAAAACAAGGTGCATCGCCGCTAGACGCGCATTAAGCGCACATCTAGTTTGGCCCCCGCCGGCGGAGAATGAGCCCTGCGGAACCCGGCGTCGCTTCCTATGGAGCAGGCATGTATAGGATTGCGCTGAGAGTCACTCGGCTGCACCGTGCGGCTGCGGACATGCACAGAAGGATCTTGCCAATGGCCTTATGCGCAAAACAAGATGCTTCCCTCCCTCTGTGAAAGGTAAATCGCTCCTCCCTCCTCTCACCCCATTGCTCCCTTTATTTCTCCTCTCTTTGTTTCTTGCCTATATATATACATATATATATTCATTCTTAAACATTTCTCAGACTTAGCTCAGGAATGATCAGATGTCGGAAAGTGATTGAATTACCAGTTCACAGTCACTGCTCGGGCGACTGACCCAGTTGCATTCCTCCCCCTGCCATGGCTACAGCTTCCAGTAGTAGCATTTCCTCTTTTGTGCTTTTGTCTTTAAATAAGGCAGGAGCCGGTTTCTTCAGATACCGAAAGCTTCAGCCCACTGATCAAAGTAGGAGCCAGAACATTCCTTGCGTGTTCAGCAAGGGTGTTGTTGTGGGATGGCCCAGGAGACCCAAGCCTTTTGCACTGGGCCCTGGGTCTCCCGCCCCTTCCGTTTTCTAAACCTCCTTTGTTTTAACTTTGCGGTGCTCCCAGCTGCCCTGTAAGCCAAGTGTAGCGCTGCTGAGCCAACGGCCCATCTTACATTTACAGAGGGCCCAATTCACATACAGCGGACGAAGTCTGGAAAATTCGGTTGGCATCCCTATAGCTCAGAGAAAGTCCTGAGAACAAAGGCCACGGCTTGTTTGTCCCCCTCCCCTCTGAAATTCCCCCTTAGAATTATAGAACTGTACAGCTGGAAGGGACCCCAAGAGTCATCTAGTCTAACCCCTTGAAATGTAGGAATCTGAACTAGATCATACTGCAGCTCTGAACTAGATCATACAGTGATCATACAGGAATCTGAACTAGATCATACAGTGGTACCTCGGGTTACATACGCTTCAGGTTACATATGCTTCAGGTTACAGATTCCACTAACCCAGAAATATTACCTCAGGTTAAGAACTTTGCTTCAGGATGAGAACAGAAATTGTGCTCCGGTGGCGCGGCAGCAGCGGGAGGCCCCATTAGCTAAAGTGGTGCTTCAGGTTAAGAACAGTTTCAGGTTAAGAACGGACCACTGGAACGAATTAAGTACGTAACCAGAGGTACCACTGTATCTGGGTGCCCTTCACATTGAAAAACTGTTCCGGAATATAAAAGAAACATAAGAGGCGTTTCTGGACCCAGTTAGTACCAGTGTTAAAAGCCCAGAATTAATTGGGATTCAAGTGCAGTCGTACAGTGGTACCTCTGGTTGCGAATGGGATCCGTTCCGGAGACCCATTCGCAACATGAAAAGAGCACAACCTGCAGCAGTGCGTCTGCGCACGCGCGAGTTGCGATTTGTTGCTTCTGCGCATGCACGTGACGTCATTTTGCGCTTCTGCGCATGAGCGAGCGGCGAAACCTGGAAGTAACCCTTTCCGGTACTTCCGGGTCGCTGCGGGACGTAACCTGAAAGAACGTAACATGAAGCAGACGTAACATGAGGCATGACTGTACCTCGAGTTACAAACGCCTCAGGTTACAAACGCTTCAGGTTACAAACTCCGCTAACCTGGAAGAGTTACCTCGAGTTGAGAACTTTGCCCCAGGATGAAAACGGAAATTGTGTGCCGGCGGCGCAGCAGCCCCATTAGTGAAAGCACACCACTAGTTAAGAACAGTTTCAGGTTAAGAACGGACCTCCGGAACGAATTAAGCTCGTAACTAGAGGTACCACTGTATTTGTGTCAGAGGGTTGCTTCACTCAGGATCAAACCAATCCCAGCTTGCCTTGCATGTGGTGCCAAATTTTAAAGCCGCTGGACACAATCTCTGCTTGTATAGGAACAAGCCAGGTCACCCCGAAACCCACCTTTGCAGTCACAAAGTACCTCCCCCCCCCCCACCTATCATCATTTGGTGTGGGGTAGTTGAGTTCCACCTGAGAACAAGGGTTTGTGGGCCAAATTAGGGTGGAAGTTCCCGACCCCATGGTCCAAACAATCATAGACTCATAGAATTGCAAAGTTGGAAGGGGCCACAACGGTCATCTAGTACAACCCCCCAGCAATGCAGGAACCCTTTGCCCAATGTGGGGCTCCAACCCACAACCCTGAGAGAGAGCCCTGTTTGTTTCTGCGACAGGAGACCCTGCCTTTCCTGGAACAGGTCCTGGAGAACTAATTCTCCAGGTGGTTTGTACAGGTGGAACTGTCAAGTTCCATTCAGACCCCAAAGTGAGCATGTGTAGAGGTTGAATGAAGAGGAATTTGGGGGCTCTCCCTCTTCCCAGTGTGGTGTAGTGGTTAAGAGTGGGAGACTCGTAATCTGGGGAACCGGGTTCGCGTCTCCGCTCCTCCACATGCAGCTGCTGCGTGACTTAGGGCTAGTCACACTTCTTTGAAGTCTCTCAGCCCCACTCACCTCACAGAGTGCTTGTTGTGGGGGAGGAAGGGAAAGGAGAATGTGAGCCGCTTTGAGACTCCTTAAAAGGTGTGAAAGGCGGGATATCAAATCCAAACTCTTCTTCTTCTTCTTCCCACTGTACACATTCAGCCTTCATGCCCTGACTCTGGATGGCCCCCTGTGAGAAACAAAATATTGGATTAAATGCAGCGTGACAGTGCTCACGCTGTATGTTGTCTCCCCCCGCTGTCGGATGCTTAGATTGGAAATGCTTTGGGGCAGAGATCCTCCTTTGTTGCTTCCGTTTCCCTGCAAGACACCATGCGCATTGATTGCGCCGTGTGATTAACAGGAACAAACTCTAGAGATGGTATATAATCTTAAGGGTCTGGCAGGATTAATTGAGCCACAGGGGATGATTCTCTCTCGCTAAAGACGCCTGCCAATTATATTACCATTCTAAACGAGCTAGGCCTGCGCATTCCTGTAGACCTGCTGTGAACAGTGTGATATTAGCTTAAGATCTGCATCAGGTGTGGCCATGTAATCTGCCCCATGATTTGATCATGCTGCTTTCAGGGGTCTTAGGTTCATTCTCCTTCATGACTGGGATGCCAGAGTAATGTACTGTTAATAATCTGCTGATCCAAATGAAGGGAAATTTAATGAGAGCGCGCTACAAGAAATGGTAGCTACGGAAAAGGTGGAACAATTGGCACGAGAGCTACAAATGTTCTCTGAAGTGCTCCCCACTCCCCAAATACATTATGCTCCTGTCCTTTTGACATTCCTAGGCCATTTCCTCCCAACAGTTTTTCTCTGGCAAAGAGCAAGACTACTCACTGTTATGTATTGAAGTTCTCACCCTGGCCACCAGGAGTATCGTGTATATAGTTTTTTAAATACGGGCTACTGGCCTTGCGGATTTCCTGGGCGGAGAGTTCAGCAGCTTCTGAGGCCACGGCCTCCTCAATGGCTTTCTGCAGCGTGAGGTCTGGCTTGGCAAGGAGATGCCGTTGCAGACGGATGTCCCGGACCCCGCAGACGATTCGATCCATCAGGGCATCGTCTAAGTCTCGGATCTCACAGTGCATTGCAGCCTGTCGGAGGGCGTGGTGTAGTTGTTAATGGACTCCCCCTCTGCCTGGTTCCGGTGGTAGAACGCATGGCGGGCAGCAATCTTGGATGGCTTTGGTGCATAGTGGTTGCGGAGCGTCTCTTGAATCGTGTCCCATGGCTCTGCCTGGACTGCTAGAGGCGCAACCATTGCTCGGGCCGTCGTGAACACTTCGGGGCCACAAAGGCTGAGGAATAGGCCCCACTTATGCTCCTGTGATATATCCGTCAGCTTGTTGGCTTGGAGGTAGCAGTCGAACCGAGCGAGGTAGGAGTCCCATGATTCAGAGGCTGGGGCAAACGGCGGTAGAGGCACGAGTGAAGCCATGGTTCCGATGCCGACGTGGAGGCGATGGATGGAACACAGTGCTCTAGCCAGAACGGTCAGCTCTGAATTGGTTCTGCCCTGTGATTTCGCTCAGTGTTTCAGAAGAAGAAGAAGAAGAGTTTGGATTTGATATCCCGCCTTTCACTCCCCTTCAGGGGTCTCAAAGCGGCTAACAATCTCCTTTTCCCTTCCTCCCCCACAACAAACACTCTGTGAGGTGAGTGGGGCTGAAAGACTTCAAAGAAGTGTGACTGGCCCAAGGTCACCTTTCAGCTCAGTGATTCAGCTCAGCTCAGAGGGTGGCCGCGTCTGGCTGTGCTCTGATGTCCATCAATCCCATCCTCGTCGCCAGTGTTAAATAGTGGGTAGACATAGCAGACGACACAGCGATTTCTCCAAAGCAGCTCTTTATTTGTAAGTTGGAACAGAATGAACAGCAAACAGCTCAGCTGGCCTGCTTTTATAGGCAGCTGGCTGTCAACAATGTAGCAACAACAACCCTGGATTTCCCACCTAAAGTAACTGACGTGGACCTGAGTGAAAACTATATACACGATACTCCTGGTGGCCAGGGTGAGAACTTCAATACATAACACTCACAAACAGGGGTAAGATGCTCTAAGCAGGGAGGTGCCACAGCACGACCACAGCAAGAGATCCCCACTTTCAGAGTCCGGCATCTCAAAGAGACATTACTGCCACACCTTCCTGGAGCAACAGGGAAAATCTTCTGTTGGGACTTTCCAACTATCCCTAAACCCTTGGCCAGTATGCTAGGGTTGCCATATTCCCAAAAGTGAAAATCCGGACAGAGTTGTTGAGCTACTTGCCATACATCTGGTTTTTCATGGACATTTTGCTGATTCTGCAAAAATCCACCCGGACACCATTTTGGGAGCGTATGGCAGCCCTACAGTAAAAAGGTAAAAGGTAAAGGACCCCTGGATGGTTAAGTCCAGTCAAGGGCGACTATGGGGTTGCGGAGCTCATCTCGCTTTCAGACCGAGGGAGCCAGCATTTGTCCACAGACAGCTTTCCGGGTCATGTGGCCAGCATGACTAAACCGCTTCTGGTGCAATGGAATACCGTGATGGAAACCAGAGGGCACAGAAACGCCGTTTAGCTTCCTGCCACAGTGGCACCTATTTATCTACTTGCACTGGCATGCTTTCGAACTGCTAGGTTGGCAGGAGCTGGGGCAGAGCAACAGGAGCTCGCTCAGTCACGGGGATTCGAACTGCTGACCTTCTGATTGGCAAGCCCAAAGAGTCTCAGTGGCTTAGACCACAGCGCCACCCGCGTCCCATGCTGTAACTGATTGCACCTGACTGCTCGACTGCACCCCAGCTCACACATGACAAAGCAGAAGGCACCAACATTTTCTTTTCACAGCTTTGGTTTTCTTAAGCACCATCCACTCCAGTTTTCGCCAACCTGTTGCCCACCAGTTGCTTTGGACTACAACTCCCATCAGCTCCGATTAGCATAGCCGATGGGAATGGTAGTCCAGAGCCTCTGGAAAGCACCAGGATGGCAAAGGCTGATCTACTCCCATATAGGCCTGCCTAGATTTAAGGCTTAGCCTTGGAGGCCTTATAATAATAATAATTTAATATTTATACCCCGCCCATCTGGCTGGGTTTCCCCAGCCACTCTGGGCGGCTTCCAACAGAACACTAAAATACAATAACCTATTAAACATTAAAAGCTTCTGTAAACAGGGCTGCCTTCAGATGTCTTCTAAAAGTCTGGTAGTTGTTGTTCTCTTTGACATCTGATGGGAGGGCGTTCCACAGGGCGGGCACCACTACCGAGAAGGCCCTCTGCCTGGTTCCCTGTAACTTGGCTTCTCACAGGGAGGGAACTGCCAGAAGGCCCTCGGCTCTGGACCTCAGTGTCTGGGCAGAACGATGGAAGTGGAGATGCTCCTTCAGGCATACTGGACTGAGACTTGATCTCTCTCATTGGCCTGGGTCATTAGGAACCAGAAGCAGTGCCTTCTCAGTGGTGGTGCCGCCACCGTGGAATACTCTCCAGGTACAGATCTATCAGGCCGTCTCATCCTTCCTCCCCTACCCTTATTAATCCAATTAAGTGTCACTATTTTCCAGGGTCAATCCCAGATTTACAGAATCCGTCCTGGTTTCTGATTTGATCCCAGAATGTCCCACTTTTCCTTAGGACGTCCCTATTTTCATAGAAAAAACGCTTTTCATAGAAAAAAAAATGTTAATACATTTAAGTGGTTTTAAGCCTTTTTTCTCCTTTAGAAAAATTCAAAAAGTAACAACAGATAAATGAAAAAACAAGCATTGGAGAGGAAGTGGGGAAAGTTAGGAGAGGACATCAAGCACTTTCTTTGGTTTATTAAATGTGAAAACTTAATTTGCTTTAAGAGACTTTGAATATCAGGTTTTACTGCCACCTTAGAACTGAATTACATCCTAAATGGCTGCTTTTAGTTTATAGCTGTCCTCTTTAATGTATCTTTTGCTATTGATATGGGATCTCATTTCACCTTTATTTATATGCTGTGGAGTCACTCAGAGTGCTCTGTTGGGATAAAAGTAATGGAATTGGTTGAGTGGCTGCTGACTAGCAAGTTTCGCAAGGTGCACCTGCAGGACTGGTGGCAAGATAGGTGCAAAATAATGAGTGGTTTTGCACGGTGAACAGCAAATCGGAAGCGGAAGAAATCCCCCAGCAAACTTGCTACATGCCCCGCCTCTATGTGCTCAACAAATATGCCAACTGCCTTTTTAGTATCGGTATAACCTGTTTTATTTTTGGAGCTCAAAAATTCAGCAGTCAGAAATATAACCTGCGGCTTCCTCATTAAATAAAGGCAGTGTGACTATATAAGGCTCCTATACTGAGTTACACCAGCCCAATATTATCTATTCTGAGTCTGAACTCAGGTATCGAGGCGAAAAGCAGGCAAGGCTGCTGTGCCTTTTTTTTTTTTTTTTTAATGATATTTATTAAAGTTTCACAAAAATACAGAAAACAAAGAAAAAAGTATAAATTACAGCAAAAAAGTAAAAAGTAAGGAAAAAACATACAAAATAAAACAGTTAAAAACACAATAATGTTCCATAACCTATCTTCCTTACTCTTATTTCCCCAGACCTCCTCATACCTCCCTTCTTTGTATTCCAATTCAGTTTGTTGGTTCAGCAAATCCTTACCATTAATCTTTTACCCAATTGTTAACCTTTTTTTCCATGTCTCTTAAAGCATTACAGCTAAAAACCTCTTAGTTTCTATCCAACATCCTTCTAAAGTTCCTTAATTTTACAATATTTCTGTAAATAGTCCTTAATTTTTTTCCAGTCTTCTTTCACCGACTCTTCTCCCTGGTCTCGGATTCTGCCAGTCATTTCCGCCAATTCCATGTAGTCAATCATGCTGTGCCTTTTAATAGAAGTTGTCCTGGATCCCACTGGAAGAACTTGAACTCCTTTCTGCTCAGATTGGTAAGCAAAGTAGGATTCATTGTTCCAACAAGCGACTTGACCCTGGGATGCCATGACAGTGGTACCTCGGAAGTCGAATGGAATCTGTTCCGGAAGTCCGCTCAACTTCAAAAATGTTCGGAAACCAAGGGGCAGCTTCTGATTGGCTGCAGGAAGCTCCTCCAGCCAATCAGAAGCCGCGTCGGACGTTCGGGTTCCAAAGAACGTCCACAAACTGGAACACTCACTTCCGGGTTTGCGGCGCTTGGGAGCCAAAACGTTTGACTCGCAAGGCGTTCGGGATCTAAGGTACAACTGTATATAAGGCAATGAGGCAGACACAACTTAGCACAGCAAACAGAGCTGTTCGCTAGACTGGGCAAGCAAGCAGGTCCTCCTCATGGGAGACTGGGTGGCCTGTGCTGGTGTCTTTATGACCTGGATGATGGAAGAGGCATTGACGACTCCTCTGGAGACGATGGGATGGACACAGCAGCAGCCTCCAATTGTGGGACTGAGCTGGGCGCCATCTCCAGCAACTCTGGAGACGAAGCTGGCGTGACAGGCAGAGTATCTAACTCAGAGGTGGAGTCTGGTGACTCCAGAGACGGAAGCAGCACAAGTGGCACAGCAGCTCGTCCCGGTAGCTGTTGCCCCTATGAGGCAGTTGTGAGGACTGAAGGTCCCCCGCCTTCCCACAGCTCTTCCTCCCATGGTTCCTTCTCAAGCAATCTGAGGCTCCTTCAGCTTGCCTGCCTTTGCTCCGCCCTCTTCATACCTCTTCAGGTTCTGGGAGACCAGGGGGAGGGGAGCTGGTCGCCACAGGAAGGGGAGACAGCCCAGCTTCCTCAACAGCCTGATTCCTCTCTGTGGTCAAAGGTTTCCCTTTCACATTATTAAGAGTCCTTGCTGCTGGGTCTTAGTAAATGCTTCCACATACGGAGAATCTCAGTCTTCTCAAGTGCTACTGACAGGGGATGGATCTAAACACTGGCGTGGCGGGGCGCACACACACACACACACACACACACACAATAAATAGGTCAGAAGTTAGATTGTTGTAACAAAAGAAAAAAAATCCCTATGGAAAATTACATTTTAAAAATTTCCTGCTCTCTTGCGCCTTCTGGTGTTGCATGTTTATAGTGCATTCAAATCGTTGTTTCTTTATCAATGTAGCTGAGTCCAGGGAGTGTCTAAGTTTTAAGGCACCCAAAACCCAGTCACATTACCTTGCTCCCATCTTTACTGAGGGGTTTGACACAGACCCCTCTGCCCTTTCTAGCTGGCCCTGCCTCTTCTCAGGAATCAAGGACAGTAGTGCGACGTAAAACTCTTTCAGAGGCTGTTAAGAGCCATTTTGCATGCAAGTAGGAGAAGAAACCGTAAATGTGATTTTTATTTTTATTTTTTTAAGGGCACCTGCCTTTTAAATTCCCAGACTGGCTTTTAATTCAACAGCCTCGGGGAGTTGGCTGTATACCAGAGCGCAACCTTATTATCTATAGGAAGCCAGCTTGGGGGCGCTTTATCTGTCTGTTCTGTGAGAAGAACTGCCAGGCAAGCAGCTAATAAATAACACTTGTTTGGGGTCTTAATGCGCCCCATTCAGAACCATGTACAAAAGGAACACTATGTAACGGAAGGAAGTTTGCGTGTGAAGGCAACAGACAGGCTAGGGGATATAGTCCAACAATGCGGTTGGTTTCCTGTTTGTATTTTTCAGGAGGCCTGGGTCTTAGAGGAAAGCAAAGCAAAGCAAAGCAAAGCAAGAAGCAACAGAGGACAAGGTGACAATTAAAATGTGCTCCATAAGCTCCAGCTGTCCCTTTTCACCAGGGACATTAGTACCAGTAGCTGTCTCAGCCAGTACAGTGGTACCTCAGGTTACATACGCTTCAGGTTATAGACGCTTCAGGTTACAGACTCCACTAACCCAGAAATAGTGCTTCAGGTTAAGAACTTTGCTTCAGGATGAGAACAGAAATCGTGCTCCGGTGGCGCGGCAGCAGCGGGAGGCCCAAACTGGCTAAAGTAGTGCTAAAGAACAGTTTCAGGTTAAGAACGGACCTCCGGAACGAATTAAGTACTTAACCCGAGGTACCACTGTATTTTGCCAGCTGGTTCCTCCCACCATTCCTCCTCAGTATCCAAGCAGTCCCTGATAGTTAAGAGATGGAACTTTCACCAAGTATTTTGGTGTTCTGTGTCGTCTTCTGGGGGAAAAAAGTCATTCCAGATACCTCTACTTGCATTGCTCATGGCTCAATTACTTATTTCGTGCAAAAGATAGCATTTAGGAAAGGGCATTAACTAGGCCTGATAGCTTCTGTTTACATGTCATGCCACTGGAAAGATCAGGTTCGTTTATCATCTTTCTCAACGGCTACATCAGCATGGGAGATTGGAAGCTAAGGGTGGATTCATTAGGCTAATGATTACAGCAAACAACTTCTGAAGCGTCTCTTTAAGCTCCTCATCCCAGTCCTCCTTGGGTATACATGTTGTAATAAATAATATAACAGAAGTCAGAGGCACAGCGAAACACACATCAGAACTTGCTTCTGAATGTGAATGCCATTTCTCCACATTACCTTGCTTTCATTAGGCTGTGCACTGAAATGCATATCAAAACATCTCTCTCCACCTACATTCTAGTTGCAGCACAGAAATGCTTAAAAACACAACTAGAGATGGATTAGGGCTCCTGCTCAGGAGGAAAACAAACACTGTGTCAGTGCTCATTGTGCAACCTAATTGGAGCACTGGGACAAAAACTGTTTAATTAAGCTATTAAGTGTTTCACAGATGTATGGTTATCACTTACATACTGCAATGCAGCCTCTATGTGTCTACCTAACTATGTTAGTGTGCCTTTATCAGTCAAAGTACCAGGTGGTGGCATTTACCGGTACATGTGAATGAGCTGTCACAGGTAGAGTGCCTATAGCAGGGGTCAGCAAACTTTTTCAGCAGAGGGCCGGTCCACTGTCCCTCCGACCTTGTGGGGGGGCGGACTATATGGGGGGGGATGAACGAATTTCTATGCCCCACAAATAACCCAGAGATGCATTTTAAATAAAAGCACACATTCTACTCATGTAAAAACACCAGGCAGGCCCCACAAATAACCCAGAGATGCATTTTAAATAAAAGCACACTTTCTACTCATGTAAAAACATTTAGAAGGCGATTGGGCCGGATCCGGCCCCCAGGCCTTAGTTTGCCTACCCATGGCCTATAGTATCTCATTTAACTCAGGTGTAGTGGTCTTCAGTGGGAAGGAGCCCTTGCAAAGGCTGCCTCTTGCTCTGTTGGTTCATATTAATAAAATATTTTTTTAAAAATTGAGCTAGATTTTTAAAACTAGATGACTAGATGACCCTTCTGGGTAGCTTCCAACTTTGCAATTATTCTATGAAGCAATGCACCTGTGTGCATCCTCTGCCGTTGTATAGCTGTCTTAGCTAATTTTGCAAATAGGTAACCTCCTACCAGGAATTTCTGGACCTCTTTAAGCTACTAGATTTCATGTGGTGGCAGGGCTGAAGCATCTTGCTCTGCACACTTCCACTCAGTGTGCTACCAAGCGGTATGTTTTGCAAGAGTGCGCCAAGTATCCATGAGACAGATGGGTTCGTTGCTGAAGCCCATTCTGATTACTGCTATCTAAATGGACCAGAAGGGACGCAGATGGCGCTGTGGGTTAAACCACAGAGCCTAGGACTTGCCGATCAGAAGGTTGGTGATTTGAATCCCCGCGACGGGGTGAGCTCCTGTTGCTCGGTCCCTGTTCCTGCCAACCTAGCAATTCGAAAGCACGTCAAAGTGCAATTAGATAAATAGGTACCGCTCTGGCGGGAAGGTAAACGGCATTTCCATGTGCTGTTCTGGTTCACCAGAAGCGGCTTAGTCATGCTGGCCACATGACACAGAAGCTGTATGCCGGCTCCCTTGGCCAATAAAGTGAGATGAGAGCCGCAACCCCAGAGTCAGCCACGACTGGACCTAATGGTCAGGGGTCCCTTTACTTTTAAATGGACCAGAAGGTTTGGCCTAGATGGCAGATTAGGGGTACTGTGTCACGGTAACTCTTGCATCAAGCACCTGCAGTGGGAACAAGACCGGCCCATAATATTTTGCTGTCTGAAGTGAATTATAAAATGCTACCTTTCCCCATTCCATGTACAAAGTCTGACTGGGCTGGCTGTTGCATCTTACTTCAACACTGTAAATAAGGCCCATCACCCCCCACTGCACCTGAAGAGAGCAGGTTATCTTAAGGCAGCCCACATAGCTTAAGGCAGCTCTGCCGTCCAGCACCTCCCCACTGGCCCCCAGCTATCTGCCACCTGAAGCAGTTGCCTCATTCTGTCTAATGGTAGGGCCAGCTCTGAGTTTGACATCATGTCGCAAAGGAACTTCTGTCTGGGAAACTTTTTGTAGACTTCGCATAACTGCCGAGACAAGTGTTTTATTATGCCTGCGCCATCTGCAACAGGCGTCTGAACAGAAGAATCCGACGGGTGGTGGTATTCATTTCAGAACAGAAGCAAAGCCCTGGTTTGAAGTTTACAGGGAGTGCTGCGAGCCATTTAATTAGGATAACATAGTCAGGCATCGCATTACCGCCTGCAGGATATAATTTTAAAATAAGGTATTTACTTGACATGCTGGAAAATTGACCCCTGGAAGGAAGCAGCATGTATGTGTCTACTATTAGAAAAACCGGCATTTGATTTCTTTTCATTCAGTTGATATGAGACTATGGTCATTCACTTCAAGTGGCAGGTGAGTTGATTTTCAGACAGCTCCATTAATGCGTGGACAGTTTTAGTACAGAGTTGGTTGCTGAACTGTCACTGAGATGGTGGTCTCATGTCACATTTCCAAAAGTTCTGGCAGTGAGAAGAGTGTGCCATTGTCACACAATGCTTTGTTGTTGTTTAGTCATTTAGTCGTGTCCGACTCTTCGTGACCCCATGGACCAGAGCACGCCAGGCACTCCTGTCTTCCACTGCCTCCCACAGTTTGGTCAAACTCATGCTGGTAGCTTCGAGAACACTGTCCAACCATCTTGTCCTCTGTCATCCCCTTCTCCTTGTACCCTCCATCTTTCCCAACATCAGGGTCTTTTCCAGGGAGTCTTCTCTTCTCATGAGGTGGCCAAATATTGGAGTCTCAGCTTCAGAATCTGTCCTTCCAGTGAGCACTCAGGGCTGATTTCCTTCAGAATGGATTGGTGGGATCTTCTTGCAGTCCATGGGACTCTCAAGAGTCTCCTCCAGCACCATAATTCAAATGCATCCATTCTTCGGCGATCAGCCTTCTTTATGGTCCAGCTCTCACTTCCATACATCACTACTGGGAAAACCATAGCTTTAACTATACGGACCTTTGTTGGCAAGGTGATGTCTCTGCTTTTTAAGATGCTGTCTAGGTTTGTCATTGCTTTTCTCCCAAGAAGCAGGTGTCTTTTAATTTCGTGGCTAATGCTAGGAATGGGCAAATTGGTCAATGTTGTTTCCTCTCAGTTTCTCATTTTCCTACTCTTAATTTTTGGACCATGACACTATAAGGCCAGGCTATAGTTTGAGACACTTTCCAATTCCAGATTCCCTATAACACGTAGGGCCACAGTCTACCCTACCAAATGTGAACCTGTGGCATAACTTGGTGCCCCGTCTGCAAAATGTCTAATGGTGTTCTTTTGTGAACTGCTTTGAGAGAGCCTTGAAAAGTAATACCATTTTAAAAAAAGAAAAGAAAAGAAAAGAAACCAAGTAAATATTCTTCTTGACAAAGGGAGAGACTTGACTGTAGGTTGGTGGATTTCAAAACAAAGGTCACACAAGAACCTAGGGTTCTCAATGGACAACTAGTAAGTGACACAGTAACATACCTGTCAACATTTATCTAATGAAAATAGTGATGTCCTATTTAATAATAATAATAATTTTTTATTATTGTTTATACCCCACTGATCTGATTGGGTTGCTCCAGCCACTCAGGGCAGCTGGGATTAGGTTTTCAGTCTGTGTCTGCCTAGGAAACTAAATCCCAGGGCTCTTGAGTTTAAGTGGGCATCTCAGCTTCTGAGCTAGTGATTCTGACTCGGCATCACAGAGACATCAATGAGCTCCTGATCCACAGCAAGTGGCCAGTTTCCAGCTTGTCAGGCAAAATGAATGAAACTTGTCTTCCTACAATTGCTGAAACCCAAGCTTTTACATTCCTAACTGGATGCCAGTGTTTTGTTACCTCCCGTCCTCCCGTCCCAATAACTTCCTTTTTATTTTAGGATTATAAATAGCAGGAATTCCGCTGTGTATTTTGGAGCAGCACAGTTCTCAGCATGCATTTCCATAAATCCATAAAGCACGAATGCTGCAGAAATGCTGTTGTGGGGCGTGATCCCCCCCCCCTTTATCAGACATACTTTTGAGCCTGTAGACTCTGTGCTCTACTCAGAAAAGCTGCATTTAGCATTCCATGTGCAATGATGGAATATTTCTCTTCTTATCAAGGAAACAATTCCCCATATCTTTGGTGGAATGGCGGGAAGAAAAAAACCACAGCTTCCAATGTTTCACAGAGGGAAACGGACACACCTCTGTTCTCACCTCAAGGATTGCTGCCTGTGGTCATCTCCCATGCTATGATGATGATGATAATAATAATAATAATAATAATAATAATAATAATAATATGTTGCCAGCCCATCTCACTGGGTGGCTCTGGACAGCTTCCAACAAATTATAAAACCACAGCAAAACATCAAACATTAAAAACTTCCCTACACATGGCTGCCTTCAGGTGTCTTCAGATACAGTGGTACCTCGGGTTACAAACACCTCGGGTTACAAACACTTCGGGTTACAGACTCCGCTAACCCAGAAGTAGTACCTCAGGTTAAGAACTTTACCTCAGGATGAGAACAGAAATTGCACAGCGGCAGCGGGAGGCCCCATTAGTTAAAGTCGTACCTCAGGTTAAGAACAGTTTCAGGTTAAGAACGGACCTCCAGAACAAATTACCGTATTTTTCGCTCTGTAAGACGCACTCCCCCCCTCCTAAAAAGTAAGGGGAAATGTGTGTGAGTCTTATGGAGCGAATGCAGGCTGCGCAGCTATCACTGAAGCCAGGAGAGCAAGAGGGATCGGTGCGCACCGATCCCTCTTGCTCTCCCAGCTTCAGCAAAAGCAACGCAAAGCCTCTTGAGGGCAACAGAAGGAATGCTCCCCCTGCCCTGAAGAGGCTTGGCATGGCTATTCCAGAAGCCAAAACAGTAAGAGGGATCGCTGCTTTCACTGCGCAGCGACCCCTCTTGCTGTTCTGACTTTGCTTCGCTGGAGAGGCGCTGCGCAGCTTTCCCTCTCTGCGCAGCGCCCCTTCAGCAAAGTGGGAGGAAAAATGGAAGGGGCTCCGTTTCTCCTTCCGCTTTGCTGGAGAGGCACTGCGCAGGGAGGGAGAGAAAATTTTTTTTCTTGTTCTCCTCCTCTAAAACTAGGTGCGTCTTATGGTCAGGTGCATCTTATAGAGCGTAAAATACAGTAAGTTCATAACCAGAGGTACCACTGTAGTTGTTTATTTCCTTGACATCTGTCAGGAGGGTGTTCCTGCTATCAAACATTGCTGAAGATTATCTATAACCACCTCTTGAAAGTTATATTTGTTTACTCTCCTATTAAGGGCACGGCTAGATGTGGTGGTGTGTGATCAGATCTCCTCTCCTGAGGATTTTCTTCTCCAAAGGGCAAGTGTAGCTACAGGAAGCTCTCATTGGCCCACCATAGGAAACGAGGCAGGGAGGCCATTTCAAAGAGAGTTGAGATACAGCTAATTCAAATGAATCAGCTGGTAAAGAAAGAATTCAGTTAGTGTGAATTCTCCAAATGTGGCCACCAAGCCACTATCCTATTTTTGCGAGGAGGCAGTGGGTGGGTATAGAAACCTCCTGGCCCACTGGCCTTAGCGAGGTCCTCTCATAAAAATATTTGCTGATCACAATCCTAGACTAAAAGTACATTTCTGAACACAATTCAAAGTGTTGGTGCTGACCTTTAAAGCCCTAATCGGCCTCTGCCCAGTATACCTGAAGGAGCATCTTCACCCCCATTGTTCTGCCCGGAAACTGAGGTCCAGTGCCGAGGGCCTTCTGGCGGTTCCCTCACTGCGAGAAGTGAAGTTACAGGGAATCAGGCAGAGGGCCTTCTTGGTAGTGGCACCTGCCCTGTGGAACGCCCTCCCATCAGATGTCAAGGAAATAAACAACTATCTGACTTTTTGAAGATATCTGAAGGCAGCCCTGTTTAGGGAAGCTTTTAATGTTTGATGTTTTATCACTTCATTATTATTAATATTCTGTTGGGAGCCGCCCAGAATGGCTGGGGAAACCCAGCCAGATGGGCGGGGTATAAATAATAAATTATTATTATTATTATTACAGTGGTAACTCTGGTTGCGATCGGGATCTGTTCCAGAGGCCCATTCGCAACATGAAAAGAGTGCAACCCGCAGTGGTGCATCCATGCACACACGGGTTGCGATTCACCGCTTCTGCACATGCGCGTGACGTCATTTTGCGCTTCTGTGCATGCGCGAGTGGTGAAACCCGGAAGTAATCCTTTCTGGTACTTCCGGGTCGCCGCAGGACGTAACCTGAAAGAATATAACATGAAGCAAACGTAACATGAGGTATGACATTATTATTATTATTATTATTATTATTATTATTACACAAAGATTACCCACAACTTGCTTCAGACCACAACTTGAGGTCCCCCACCACTTGCTTCAGATCAAATGATTTTAGTGCTAATGCCACAAATCTCTTAACTGCCACCACTGCACTGTGACAAAAGGCATTCCCTGTGAATCCCTGCACTTGATGTTTGCCTGTTCCCAGGGAGAACAACAGATGCATAAACAGGAACTGCAAGGTACAAATTGCTCAACAATCTCCACTGCCACAACACACAGCCAATCTTTCGAGGCGGGGAAACAGGAAGCCTGTGAAGAGGTTGCCTGCAGGATACAGACTTGATATTATGAATTATGAGACGAGACCGAGGTGGGAACCCAGGTCATCTACAGAAGCTTGAGCTTTGCTGGCTCAGATGCATTTAAAGCACATCCAATGCACATTTAAGGCACATGACTTCCCCTAAAGAACCATGGGAACTGTAGTTCCGCCACCACAAAGCTTTAATTCCCAGTGCGTTTAACAAACTGCTGTTCCCAGGTTTTTAGGGGGTTGGGTTGGAGGGGAGCATGTCTTTTAAATGTGCATTGAGTGTGCTTTAAATTAAATGTATGGTGTGGACCTGCACTGTTAAAAAAGCCCAGCGGTTTTCTTCAGACAGTAGCCAACACGATGCCTTTGGAAAGTCACAAGTGAAGCAGCCTGCTCATATTTACCTCAGAGCATGATACTCACAGACATAGCTGCTTCTGAAAACAGAGGCTCCACTTGACTGTAGTGGCTATTGGAGACCTATCTTCCATATCTAATCCTCTTTAAAAAGCCACCTGAGCTTGTGTCTTTCACCACTTTTAATTGTCTAAGTTGGTAATCCCCTGTTCAAAGAACTTCCTATTGGCTCAACCTACTGCCCATTCATTTTACTGGGTGTCTCGCCACCTGACCAATTAGCATTATTAAATAGGGAGAATATTTTCCTTTGGTCACAGTCCATTTAAAGCACAATCATAGGTTCCCTCAAAGAATCCTGGAAGCTGTTGTTTGTTGAGGATACTGAGAATTGTAGCTCTGTAATGGGGTTACCTAAAAACTCTCAGCACCCTAACAAACTACAATTCCCAGGATCCTTTGAGGGAAGTAATATCTGTTAAAGTGGTATAGGATTGCTTTAAATGTTTAGTGTGGATGTGACCTCTGTCTACTTCCTTCACATGGATCTATCCTGCCCTTGACCTGAAATTGGCCAGGGAAGTCCTATTAGTTGTATCATCAACAAGGGTGATCCAGTTAACTGGAACCTGGAATAGGGCCTTCTCAGTTGTGGCCTCCTCACTTTTGAATCTGCTTCTCCCTCAAACAGGCTGCTGTGCTGAGTGGGTTGCAGTGACACCTGAAAACTTCCTTACTTCATCAATCCTTTGAGCATCAACAGCAAATATTTGTGATTTGCATTTCAGTATTTACAAACTGTACTTTCCTAAGAAATGTAACAAGGCAGTGTACAACATAAGGACACGTGCTACAGTGCTACGATAACGTCAGTAAAAACATCAATAACACGTCAATAAATTGGTCAGTTAAAAAAAATCAAATGACAATGTTAATTTGTATTGTTCTTCAGATAAGTACTACGAGAGAAATGGCTACGTACTGGTGTGTTTTTTTTAATATTTTATTAAGGATTTTCTTGTTTTACAGAAGTAAGTGTAATGCCTCGTTGTTTTTTTCCCATGTAACATTTTTACAAATCCGTTTCATTTGTTGAGGCATTAGGAGGAGAAGGAAAAAAGAAGAAAAAAGAAAGGGGGGTGGAGAGAGGGAAGATGGATGGGGGTGGGGTCGGGTGGCGGTGTTTCTGGTTTTAGTGATTTAATATTGAGTTAATTAACTCTATTTGTCATTTATGGCATGTGATGTTGTATCGCCACCCTGTGACCTTAAGGTGAAGGGTGGGATATAAATTTTAGTAATAAGCAACGTTTATCAGATTTCTCCTTATCTGTTTCCCCCTCAAACTAGAAAGCCCACGGAGCACAGACCTGCAGATATTCTGCTTTAAGAACAACACACCACAACATTGCTGTAACCCAAAGTAACCTGTACTCAGAATCACTGGTGAATCCTGCCAGTTCATTCAGTGTGGTGCTTTTACCCCTGCTTCTGCTAGCCATGAGGAAGCACAAAGAATCAGGGAAGGACTGCCAGCCTCTGAAGTGCTCGTCCACAGCCAGTGATATCGAAGCACGTGCACCATTTCTTAACATTAGTCATGTTCTTTGGCTCCCACATATGGTAGATGTAGAAAGGAAAGGGCGGGTATCTTATGTCGATTAATCACACGCTAATTGCCCAAGAGAGTGCTGAACCTGAACTTGAAGAAAACCACAGGAAAGAGGGAAAAGGTGAAAGGGCCGAGAGAGAAAGGCAGCCAGCTTAATCCCAACTAATGTGGTTTCCGTCCTCTAGATTACGTCAAGGTCTTCAAGGCCAGCTGTGGTGGCAACTGAAATGTACTCGAGAGTCGAGAGTGGATTTCATGCTCTTTATTCAGCTCATAGTGGTGAGGAGGAATGGAAGTTCCCCCAGAATGTCTGCTTTATATACATTATTTACACAATGGGCCCCATGTGATTGGCTAAGTCCAGGATTCGCCTGTAGGCCAATCAGGTTGCGGATTCACTTCCACCTGGAGCTGGATTGGATGGCTCCTGTGGACCAATCAGGCTGCTGCATTCTGGATCCTATTCAACTCAGTACATAACAGCAACCATTTTGGAGAACCCCCTTCCAATTGAGTTTGATTATTCACTAGTATCATGGAAAGAAGCCTTCTGTAGGAAGGTGAGTCAGGCCACTGGTTTCTCTAGGCTGGTACTGGAGACACTGACTAGCAAAGGCTCTTCAGGAATTCAGACAGGAAATCTCTCCCAGCCCTATGTGGAAATGCCTGAGATTGAACATTGCAACCTGCAACCTGCTAGACTGGTGGTGGCAGCAGCTGAGGAGGAGCACCGACGAGAGGGAAGGAAGGAGGGAGGGAGAGAAAGTCGCTCCTTCTCTCTGTTGTCACTCACACCAGGCCAAGGTCCTCGTCAGCCACACCAACAGTGACGCAACTGCCATTTTGGGCCTTCCAAGCTCAAATATGGGAGAAAAGCTTTCTCCGTTTCAAGTCCAAATGAGACAAGGGACACTTTTGTCCAAAAACGGAGCGATCCCATTTTTCTAGGGATAGGTGGCAATCCTACATGATGCACATCACGTGGGAAAAGGGGAGGTGGTTAACCTCTGATCCTGTGCCTGGGGATGCTATGTTGAAAGTTTTTTTTCTTTTTTTAAGTAAAATTGTGTGCCTTGTGGGGGCCGTAGGCTTGGCACAAAGACTGCCGGTTGCTGGCCTCTCCTCCTCTGACTGGTCTACCCCATAGCTGTCAACCTTCCCTTTTTTTGCGGGAAATGCCCTTATTCCAGCACCATTTCCCGCTGCTATCCCGGATTGTTAGATATCCCTTAGACTGTGCCCGGGACAGGTGAGGCTGCTGATCCCTTATTTTCGAGGCTAAAAAAGGTAAAGGGACCCCTGACCATTAGGTCCAGTCGTGACCGACTCTGGGGCTGCGGTGCTCATCTCGCTTTATTGGCCGAGGGAGCCGGTGTACAGCTTCCGGGTCATGTGGCCAGCATGACTAAGCCGCTTCTGGCAAACCAGAGCAGCACACGGAAACGCCGTTTGCCTTCCCGCCGGAGCGGTACCTATTTATCTACTTGCACTTTGACGTGCTTTCGAATTGCTAGGTTGGCAGGAGCTGGAACTGAGCAACGGGAGCCCACCCCGTCACGGGGATTCGAACCACCGACCTTCTGATCGGCAAGTCCTAGGCTCTGTGGTTTAACCCACAGCGCCACCCGCGTCCCTTTTCGAGGCTGCTGATCCCTTATTTTCAAATCTGAAAGTTGACAGCTATGGTCTATCCCGTTCAGCACCCCAGACTTCCTAAGCCCTCCTTAGGACAACCAAGCCATCCAAAAGTTCATTCCCTTGCCTGGTATCCATCCACAAATATAATCCCGCGGCCACAAATGTAGCTTATCTTGGCTTGAGCCAAAGCACTGAACTTTCCCGTCTGCTCTCTCTGCTCCTTTTGATTCTCCAGAGTTGGCAGGGCACCAGAAACAAATTGTTTGATTAGTATCGCTAGTAGTTCACTGAACAATTAATTTAACCAATACCAAAAACAAGCCACAAGGCTTTTGCTGCAGGCCACCAAGAAGTATTCACTGACTGGAAGAAATACGGCACCGTTCCAAAACGAGATCTCCGTCAGATCGTGTTTGGGCAGCCCTGGGTTTGCTCTCCTGGGTTTGCCCTTGATCTATGTGCCTATTAAATTTAATTTCCATTTTCAATTCACCGTTGCTTTCTTTTCAAGAGCCACAAGGAATGCTGCTTTTCCAGAACCAGAGGTCTGACAACTCCCCGCTTTTGTGAAAATCAAAAACGTGCAGGAATATACATGAGTCTGAGGACTCATCTGTGCTATACATTTAAAGTAGTATTATGCCAATTGAAATAGCTATGGCTCCCTCCCAAGAACCATGGGAACTGTAGTTTGTTAAAGGTGCTGCGAGTTGTTGTTGTTTAGTCGTTTAGTCGTGTCCGACTCTCTGTGACTCCCTGGACCAGAGCACGCCAGGCACTCCTGTCTTCCACTGCCTCCCGCAGTTTGGTCAAACTCATGCTGGTAGCTTCGAGAACACTATCCAACCATCTCGTCCTCTGTCGTCCCCTTCTCCTTGTGCCCTCCATCTTTCCCAACATCAGGGTCTTTTCCAGGGAGTCTTCCCTTCTCATGAGGTGGCCAAAGTATTGGAGCCTCAGCTTCACGATCTGTCCTTCCAGTGAACACTCAGGGCTGATTTCCTTCAGAATGGAAAGGTTGGATCTTCTTGCAGTCCATGGGACTCTCAAGAGTCTCCTCCAGCACCATAATTCAAAAGCATCAATTCTTCGGCGATCAGCCTTCTTTATGGTCCAGCTCTCACTTCCATACATCACTACTGGGAAAACCATGGCTTTTACTATATGGACCTTTGTTAGGAGATGCCAATTTCCTCACACAGGTGCAATTCTCAAAGTAGCTTAACAATCAAACCCTCTTCCCAGGGAATTCTGGGAAATGTAGCTCTCTGAGTGGAACTGGGGTCTTCTCTTAGCAGCCTTAACAGACTATGGGATCCTTTGTGGGAAACCATTACTGTAAAAATGGCATGATACTGCTTTAGAAGTACTATACAGATGGGGCCTGAAACACGAATGCGAGGAAATACTTTGGGAAAAGGAACAGAAGAAGATACTCTATAGTGACTTTTTTTTAGCTTAGGGTGTTGTTGTTTTTTAAAGGGTATACAAAGTAATGCAGGATAAAGTCTCTCAATTTCTATTGGAGATTAAATGGAACTTTCCTATTCAAAAGCAGTCTATCAGGCTGCGTGCACCTCAAAACAGTAAAATAATAATAATCATCTGCAGATCCCATGACAAGAAAAAACTGAAGCTGTGCCCTGAATAAATTATACAAACTAGCATTGTTTTTATAATATGGCATAATTCATGCAACTTCTGCTGGACTCAGGAATGGCAAGGAGTTGCAGAGGGCAGTGAAGCATGCAGCCAGGGCCAGATTTAGGTTTGGTGAGGCCCTAAGCTACTGAAGGTAATGGGGCCCTTTATATGTCCAGCTATCCTTTGTCAACAACAAATTGTTGCTGTTTTTTTGTGTTGAATTTATTCTATATGGTAATTTATGGACCTAGCAGGTATCTAAAGCCATTTGCACATAACAAAGTATGTATTTTATCAAAGTAATAGCTGAACTGAAATACAATTAAGAAGCAGGACTCAATGGAGAGGCTTTAGGCTTCACCTTGCTTCTAGGAATCTGATGTAGATGTCCATCCGTTTCTACTGGGCTCTGGGTGCCTGATGTTTATTTACAGATGTGCACCAGGACGCGGGTGGCATTGTGGTCTAAACCACTGAGCCTAGGGCTTGCCGATCAGAAGGTCGGCGGTTCGAATCCCCACGACGGGGTGAGCTCCCGTTGCTTGGTCCCAGCTCCTGCCAACCTAGCAGTGTCCGCAACCTGCAGCGCTGCATTTGTGCATGCGATTTGGCGCTTCTGCGCATGCACAAAGTGCAATTTAGTGTTTCTGCGCATGCGCCAAAACCTGGAAGTAACCCGTTCCGGTACTTCCGGGTTTCTACACATCTGCAACCCGAAAACGCGCAACCTGAAGCGTCTGCAACCTGAGATATGAATGTACTTAAATCTGGCACTGCACACAGATGCTCCCATCAGCCATGACTGTTGGCCATGATGGTTGGGCAGAACTCTGCCTTGGCAGCTCAGTGAGTAGAGCAAGAGACTCTTAGGGTTGTAGGTGAAAGCCCCATGTTGGGCAAAAGATTCCTGCATTGCAGGGGGTTGGACTAGATGCCCCTTGTGGTCCCTTTTAAGTCTACAATTCTCTGATTCTATGATGGGAGCTGGAGTACCGCCATGTTTAGAGGATGACAACCGCGCTCCCTTTAGTGGCGTTTGTGTCCTTGCTCAGACTGCATGCTTCCTTAGCTATGAGTGATTGCCGAAGAAGTTCCTGCATTGCAGGGGGCTAGACTAGAAAACCTTTAGGAGTCCCTTCCATCTCTACAATTCTGTGGTTCTGTGTGGAGCAGGGAGAAGGGGCTGGTGTTTCCCAAGCAGGGAAACTGCTGGTGTTTTCCCCTAGGAAAGTTTGGCAGAAAGCTGAGTTGATCTCCCACCATAATAAAGGAACTTCACATTTGAAGTCTGAAAATACCCTCATTTGGGAAACCCCAGGGGAATACAATTCTATTACTAGAGGAAGGAGAGGACAGAACAGCTTTTGTTCTCTGTCTGCTTATTTGCTTTGTTTCTAACTCCCTCCCAGCTCTCGACCTGATCTGTTCACCAGTAGTTGCTGCCCCTTGCTGGACAATGTGGAAACCTTAGTGAAAGTCTTAGATCTGGAAGGCTGGTACCTGCCCACTGTTCATCTTTGAACATGTGCCCCAAATACAGTGTACGATGCGTGTAATTTCTCAAATTGTACCCTGTTGGGTCAATAAGGATTCTAATCCCCAGGCTGCAGGGGGTGTAGAGGCCTGAGATATAATAATAATAATTATTATATTGTCGTTCCACGTTCTTTTGACTATCCCAGGGCTATTCTGTGAGCCAGAAGGTCATGCCAGCTGCCCAAAATTCAGAGGGCTTGGAAAAAGGAAGCTGGATTGGCTTTGAAGGAGGGAGGTGTGATTAGGCCTTCCTCTTCTCCACCAGACAAACTAGATACAGAGGGCAATCTCTGTGCTCAAGACACCTCCTGTAAGCATTAATGAATGGGGAAATAGAACAAAAATGGACTGTGGAACGAGGGGTGAGGGAGACATTCAATTCAGGTCATGTTTGAAGGTGAACATACAAAACTTGCACTTTCTGAAACAGTGTGCAAAGCTGAAGACAGCTATCCTTTGGACTTTGCACATATACATATACATATACATATACATATACCAATACATAGGTAAAGGTAAAAGGACCCCTGACCATTAGGTCCAGTCGTGACCGACTCTGGGGTTGCGGCGCTCATCTCGCTTTATTGGCCGAGGGAGCTGGCATACAGCTTCCGGGTCATGTGGCCAGCATGACTAAGCCGCTTCTGGTGAACCAGAGCAGCACACGGAAATGCCGTTTACCTTCCCGCCGGAGCGGTACCTATTTATCTACTTGCACTTTGATGTGCTTTCGAACTGCTAGGTTGGCAGGAGCAGGGACCGAGCAACGGGAGCTCACCCCGTCACGGGGATTCGAACCGCCGACCTTCTGATCGGCAAGTCCTATACCCACGTCCCTATACCAATACAGCATATATACACGCGCGCGCGCACACACACACACACACACACACACACACACAGAGTGAGAGTGTGTGTGTGTGTGTGTGTGTGTGTGTGTATTATACCAGGGAAAATTGTGCATAGAAATGAATATATTAGTGGAAATAACACAAAAATTTAGGGGAAATTGCTGGCAAGAAATGTGTACATGAATAACAATAATTTATTTATATGTAAAAGCTGCATATGTAATATGTGGTAGTAAAAACTGCATGTGTACATTTGTTTATCTGGATAAATTTGAACAAAAATGTTGATGACTTTTCGCGAGGATTTAACCTAAATAAATCACAAACTGCCCCGGAACGAAGAGAACTGAAACTGACAGGTCCTCCCATCCCAATTTAGAATAAGGTTTGGGTTGGGGGAATTGATTACTGTATTGGTAATGGATCAACTAATTTAAGAACTGATTCGGGTGGTCTGTGTTGGAGGTGAAAAACTTTCATTTCATGTGATGAGGTTGGGAAATTAATCGGCCTGCTCTCTGTGAAATGTAAACTCTAGTCATTACTTCTAGATGCACAAAATTTAGTTACGTGCAAATTTTGTACGAATGTGTGCTTATGGATGTGGGAATAGGAGAACCCCTAAGCAGAATGGAGGAATCTTAACTGACAGCTGTTAAAGAGGGATTGATTTGTTTTTGCTTTGTCTTTGCCTACCCTCTAGTGGGCTCTGATGGGAGTGCAGCCATTCCAAACCCTCAACAAGGCTCATCCTCACATTGTGTTTCTTCCCCCACCTTGATGGCCCCATTCCCTCCAACATTTCTCCGATGAAAACAGGGACATTCTAAGGAAAAGCAGGACATTCTGGGCTCAAATCAGAAACCAGGACAGCTTCTGTAAATCCAGGACTGTCCCTGGAAAATAGGGAAATTTGGAGAGTCTGTTATCCCAGTTGGGCAAAAAAGGAATAAGCACCCCTTTTCAGTTGTTGCCATTAAAATCTGGACACCACTAGCTTTACCCCCCCCCCCCCGGGCTATATCACTCCCCTCCGAAGTTGGGATGCAAGAAATGTCCCACAGTGTTAGCTGCACCAGCAAGTGACAGGTGGCTTCTGTTTCCATCCTCTGGGTCTTTTAGTGACCTGGGAAACCCTGTGACAGACACAGGAAGTTCTGTCCCAATGGCTATGCATGCTCTGAATTTTTGAAATGCTCCTGGGGTACCCTGAATTTAATGTAACTACTTGCTTCTGCAACAGATTTTAGGGACCGCCACTGGGTGAATTTGGATGGGTGGTAGTATCTTACACACTCCGACTCAAGAGAGGTCACAGTAAAGAGAAATATGAACAGGTCTACTTCCACCCTCGAGGGAGTTCCAGAATCATGCAGCTGCTTGAATGCTCAGTGGAGCAGGATATCGCCAACACATCACTCCACAGTCGAAATAATTGCACTGGCTACCAGTTAGCCGCCGGGATAAGTTCAAGGTACTGATTTTGGCAAACAAAGGCCAATACAGATAGGGACCGTGACACCTGAAATAACTTTAATTAAAAAATAATAATTTGTTACCCCAGCCACTCTGCGTGGCTTCCAGCATATACAGAAACATAATAAAACTTCAAACATGAAAAACTCCCCTAAACAGGGCTGCCTTCAGATGTCTTCTAAAAGTCAGATAGTTGTTTATTTCCTTCACATCTGACGTGCCACGGGGCAGGCACCATTACCCAGAAAATCCTCTGCCTGGTTCCCTGTAGCTTCACTTCTCAGTGAGGGAACCACCAGAAGGCCCTCAGTGTCCTGGCTGACGATGGGGATGGAGACGCTCCTTTGGGTATACTGAGCTGAGGCTGTTTAGGGCTTTAAAGGTCAGCACCAACACTTTGAATTGTGCTCAGAAACGTCCTCGGAGTCAATGTAGGTCTTTCAGAACCGGTATTATATGGTCCCGGCAGCCACTCCCAGTCACCAGTCTAGCTGCCGCATTCTGGATTAGTTACGGTTTCTGAGTCACCTTCAAAGGTAGCCCCACACAGAGCATTTTGCGTGGTCCAAGCAGAAATAAGCGCCCCTTATATACCCAGAGGACTATTGCACTCTGCAGGTGAAGGCTTCTTGCGGATACCATGTTAGGGGCCTTGTCTAAAGGTTTGCAGCCATCTAAAGTTACCCACTCACTTGGGGGGGGGGGGAGAACTTGGCCTGTTCTTGTGACTGCAATGGCAAGGAATGTGCAGAAACAGGAAGCAAGTAACGCTATTGCTACTGACTTCAGATCCAGCTGCTCTTAAAGGCACAGCTACATTGGCTAGCTGAAAACCAAATAAAACCTGTGAGAGAACATGAATTGGTGGGATGAAGAAATTAAAGCACCTTAAAGGAATATTATTCTTTGGCAATCTCTCATAGACGTGTAAGATTGTCTTCCATGAACACGCTCTTAACAGTGAGTCCGTAAGTGACTGTGGGGGCCAATTCTGGATCCACACATCCTTCCACAGTGGGGACATAGGTTTCCGGGCGGGAGTTGATCACGGTGAGGGTTTGCCAAGCGTGCCTTCCTCTTAGCACGTTTCTACCTTTCGTCCCGAGTTTGGGTGTATTCAAAGTCCATGACACCTTTGGTAAAGGCTGTTCTCCAACTGGAACACTCACAGGCCAGTGTTTCCCAGTTGTCGGTGTTTATCCTACATTTTTATACTACATACACCAAAGCACAAAAGACTTTGGTATCTAACATGGCCACTGAGTTGTTTATGCAGCTCTTTTCAATGTGTTTGTCCTGCCCCAGGGCACTTCACATTCCCCCTCCCTTTCTCTCAAGGGTAATTAATTAAGAGCATCCAGATTGCTCCGTGTACACAGCCTCATCTGTGCCTCTCCGTGTTTTGCCATCCAGTTCCTAGAACCACCTTTCAAAAGATCTGCAGTGTCAGTTTGTATGTGTTTATTGCTTTGGTGTGCTGTTACCTAAGCAATAAGAGCCAGCCTTTATTCAGGACAATAAAAGTCACCGCCTTCATCCTTAAGCACGATCATCACACGGAAACAGGTGCGGCTCCAAAGGTGCTCTGAGAGCCGGCCCCACCTTCCTGAAGTCACTGACTTGGCATCACCTGTAACGGCAACCCTTTCCTGATTCCGTGGTTCCACTTCTGTTTCCTCTCCCCTCCCTTTCTTCCCCATAAAATACTACCCAGAACAAGCTCAGCTGCAGCGCTAGCCTGGTTTCTCTGTACACACAGAAGTTTCGGTCATACTAGCCAGTTTCTTTTAACCGGGCACACAGCAGGGAGAGAGCGAGCAACAGTTGCAGCAGGCGTTGTCTGCAGCAGGACAGGTAAACAGCTGCTTCTCCCTTGATATCTGTATCCAAGCCAGGGCTAAATACAGGATTTTTGCAGGTGGGTGGGGAGAGGGAGGGACAGTTCTCATAAGGCATCAGCTTAAACCTGGAATAAGGATAGATCCCACGAACCAGGAATTGTCTCCCACTGCCTGTGACTTTTTTGAGTGCTGTATGACAACAGTATCACTGCTTAGGCGTTTAATAATTTGCTGGTTGAGTGGAGGGAGGACCAGGTGAGAGCGTGGACTTGAGGTCCTCTGGAGGCTGACCTGACCAGAAACTACAGCTAATCCAGAATGCAACAGTTAGACTGGTTACTGGGAGTGGCTGCCGGGACCATATAAATGACACCGGTCCTGAAAGGCATTGGCTCCCAGTACGTTTCCGAGCACAATTCAAAGTGTTGGCGCTGACCTTTAAAGCCCTAAATGGCCTCGGCCCAGTATACCTGAAGGAGTGTCTCTACCCCCATCGTTCAGCCCAGACACTGAGGTCCAGTGCCGAGGGCCTTCTGGCAGTTCCCTCACGGTGAGAAGTGAGGTTCCAGGCAGAGGGCCTTCTTGGTAGTGGCGCCCACCCTCCCATCAGATGTGAAGGAAAAAAACAATTATCCGACTTTTAGAAGACATCTGAAGGCTGCCCTGTTTAGGAAAGTTCTTAATGTTTGATGTTTTATCACATTTTTTATATTCTGTTGGGAGCCACCCAGAGTGGCTGGGGAAACCCAGCCAGATGGGCGGGGTAAAAACAATAAATTATTATTATTATTATTATTATTATTATTATTATTATTATTATACGGCTGTAGATGTGTTCTGCAGCAGACTTTGTGTGGCGTAAAATACCGTATTTTTTGCTCTATAAGACGCACCAGACCACAAGACGCACCTAGTTTTTGGAGGAGGAAAACAAGAAAAAAAAAATTCTGAATCTCAGAAGCCAGAACAGCAAGAGGGATCGCTACACATTGGAAGCAGCAATCCCTCTTGCTGTTCTGGCTTCTGGGATAGCTGTGCAGCCTGCATTCGCTCCATAAGACGAACACACACATTTCCCACTACTTTTTAGGAGGGAAAAAGTGAGTCTTATAGAGCAAAAAATACGGTATATGATGCCTGGCTGGCACCACACAGCCAAGCAGAACGTAAACTAGCTTTCTTCTTGGGATGGAGCAATCCCACAGCAGGTATATAAGGACCTGAGCAAGTAAACCAAGGTTGTTTCCTGAGGGCAAGTGGTTTTTCAGTCACCTGTCTGTACCCATAACAGCTTCTGCCTGTCTGTCGCCTGGCACAGAATGCGGACGCCGACCGCCATGATCGTGGGCATCGTCCTAGGCCCCTGCGGCCTCGTCCTGAACCTGACCAGCACTCTGGCTCCCGCCTGGAGGGATTTAAGCCGTATCCCTGACCAAGCCTACGACATGATCCAGCACCAAGGCATCTGGGACATCTGCAACGAGTTTCAAGGCACCCAGAAGACTCAGTGCAACATCAAGGACACGCTGGGGTACTTCTCCCACCAGACTGTGCAAATCGCCAAAGGGCTGATGCCATCCTCTGTGGCCGTCACGGTCCTGGGGTTGGTTGTGGCTTCGCTGGGCGTTCGCTGCTGGCAGGATACGCCCCAGTACCTGCTGGCTGGGCTAGGCGGCCTGCTGCTCTTTGTTTCCGGGCTGCTTAGCCTGATCGCCGTCTCCTGGTACAATCACGACATCCAAAACCTTCCCATCACGGCCGGCAGTAGCCTAGCGGTGGGTTACTGCCTGGTGCTAGGCTACTTAGGGAGCTGCCTGGAGATAATTGGGGGCTTCTCCCTTTCGCTCAGCTTTGCTCAGTGCTGCAAGGAGCGCAAGCTGAAGAAAGCAGCGATGGATTACAGCTACCCACCCAGCAGTCAGAGGGTCCCAGCGACCACGGCAGCCATTTCTCCCTCCTTTGGCAACACAGAGATCCAAATGGACTATTACAGGACTCCAACCCCCAGGTCTTACACCAACCCCCAGGACGTACTGGAAAGTGAACACCCCAGTAACTGGAGCAGGTTTCCCTGCGATTCTGATTTATAGCCCTAAGCAAGGAACGAGCTGCAGAAAGATTCCTTCTGGAACTCTGCTTGGACAACAAAGATACCCAGTGCGGAAAGTTTGTCTACAAATATAATTCCGGCAAAGACCTTTTCCTACCTCTTTCGCTCGTGAATCCAGCAGGTGCCATAGCCCTAAACTGCTACAGATTCTGGTTCTACGCTTTTCTTTTCGCTTTCTCTCAGGTTAAACATTATATTAAGACAGTAATTAAATCACTCTTGCATGAGGAAGCGATAGGGAGTTTGAGCGGTCCTCTTCACTGTGCAATTTCAGGGATGGGGAGGGGCTTGCAGGGCAGCAACCATAATTGTTTTATTGCTTTTGCACACATTTACTTGAAGAGTGACCCAGAGCTTTGTTAAGCAAATGGACAAGATTTTTTTTGCACACTGGGTGAAAGCTGAAAATTCAGGGGCCTGGAATATCTTGGAGTGGGGACAGGGCTCCTCTGCAGCAACAGATCTGCTTTCACCCCCCTGCGCCACCACCTTCTGTTTACTAAATTGGTAAGAGACCAGGAATCTATCATCCCTCAGGGTTTGACTGTACTCTCAAAGAGATGCCTTGTTTTCCTATTTACAGATGGATACATAAAAATGCAATATGCACGGAATAAAAGTTATATTTTGTATGGTGATTTATACGGCGTCACTAGCTGAATCTTGCCTTCGGAAAACGCACCTTACAACTCAAGTGTTTACTTCAAAAGGATCGCTTGATTCGCAGCACATTTAAAGCATCTCTTTACCCGCCACCGCCCCTCCACCAAATAATGCTGGGAACTAACTTAAGGGTGCCGATAATTGTAATTCTGTGAGGGATAAAGTACAATTCCCAGGATTCTTTGAGTGGGTGGGGAATGTGCTTTAAATTCATAGTGTGTAAATAGCCCAAGTTCTTCCTTTCTACATGCACTCATTTTCTTAAAACGGCCGCCTATCAGAATAAGCAACAGGTATTTGGTTGGAGTATGTGGAATGTTTTCCTAGGAGAGAGAAAACATGTTAGGAATGCATGATAGGGGAATGAGTTAATGCATGGTGGTTTAGCACATCTGAGCTATGTGTCTTAGAGTGTATTAGAGATGTGGGTGGCACTGTGGTCTAAACCACTGAGCCTCTTGGGCTTGCCAATCAGAAGGTTGGTGGTTCAAAACCCCGCGACGGGGTGAGCTCCCGTTGCTCTTTCCCAGCTCGTGCCAACCTAGCAGTTCGAAAGCACACCAGTGCAAGTAGATAAATAGGTATCACTCCGGCGGGAAGGTAAATGGTGTTTCCGTGCGCTCTGGTTTCCGTCACAATGTCCCGTTGCGCCAGAAGCGGTTTAGTCATGCTGGCCACATGACCCGGAAAGCTGTCTGTGGACAAACGCCGGCTCCCTTGGCCAGAAAGCGAGATGAGCACCGCAACCCCATAGTAGCCTTTGACTGGACTTAACCACCCAGGGGTCCTTTACCTTTTCATCTTTTAGAGTACACATGTTAATTGCCACACCCCCTCCCCCCAAAAAATCAAGGAAATCTTCATCAAGCGTGGTATTGAGAATTCTGTTACAGAACCTCTACAAGTGGTGCAACAGTATAGCTGTTCCTGAAACGATGCCTTATGAGGAACGGCTAAGGGAGCTGGGCATGTTTAGCCTGGAGAAGAGGTTAAGGGGTGATATGATAGCCATATAAAAGGATGTCACATAGAGGAGGGAGAAAGGATGTTTTCTGCTGCTCCAGAGAAGCGGACACGGAGCAATGGATCCAAACTACAAGAAAGACGATTCCACCTAAACATTAGGAAGAACTTCCTGACAGTAAGAGCTGTTCGACAGTGGAATTTGCTGCCAAGGAGTGTGGTGGAGTCTCCTTCTTTGGAGGTCTTTAAGCAGAGGCTTGACAACCATATGTCAGGAGTGCTCTGATGGTGTTTCCTGCTTGGCAGGGGGTTGGACTCGATGGCCCTTGTGGTCTCTTCCAACTCTATGATTCTATTCTATTCTATGAACCAGAAGAGCTTGATTACATTAGCTCAGGCACTGGAGCATTTCAAGGCTGGATTACTGCAATGTATGTTATGGGGAGCTTCCCTTACACTAGATCGGGAAACTGCAACTGGAGCAGAATGAGGCCCAGTCAGTATACAACATCTCTACACTGGTGGCCTATTTCCTACCATCCAAGTTCAAGATATTACATATATTATATTAGTATATAAGGCTCTTAGTTATATATTAACAGACCTTCCAAGTGTCTCTATTTTCCAGGGACAGTTCTGAATTTACAGAAGTTTTGTAGGTGCTTCAACAACAGATGGCAACGATTTTAGAAGCAGACCTGCTGTTGCCTTTAGGTCCGCGTTTCCTAATCTCGGGTCTCCAGCTGTTTTTGGACTACAACTCTCATCATGCCTAGCTAGCAGGAATTGTAGGTGCATGTTTGGAGACTTAGAGCAGGCATCGCCTTAATTTATTCAGAGTTCATTTTCTGCAAGTGAGAAGAATCCCCGTTTCCCTCCCCTTCTCCTTTTTCCTGTCACTGCCATGCAATTTGTTAATATTTTACCAGTTTATACACTATTTGCACAGCAGGCATAATACATTCACAAGGAAGAAGCAGGCTGTGCCCTGTTTTGTTTTTAAAGCATTTGGAAAAAAAGCATTTAACTCACTGTTTGTACTTTCCCTCCAACTAGTAGGAAGAATGCTGGCTTAACAGTGCTTCCCAAAGACTGCCGATCTGTTTTTAGTTGCAAGTGAAGTGGAATCTCTGCTTTGACTTCTGGAACTCAAATATTGTCCTAGGGAAATGGGCAGTCCCCCTCCCGCTCCCCCAAATTTTCATTGGGGCAATTTTAATTTGGCTGGAACATAGGGGAAAATATCTCCTCCTCTTGCTGCACTTCCAAACGTGATTCCCCTCCCCCCCGACAACAATTTATTGGGAAGGAATAAATGTCTATGAAGGCAGTCCTCATGTGTAAAGGGAAGGATTACATCGATTGTAGAAATTAACACTAACAAGAGATGAAGTATAGAAAGGGGTATTTCTGGAGCAATCTATATAAGCCATAACCAGCCAAAACCCACAGAAGAGCTGTGCGACAGGTCACCTACATCTGGGGAAACTGTGCAACTGTTCTTCTGTGTCAAAAGCAGTCTGCTTTTTTTCTGAGCTCTGAAAAAAATGGAAAGCTCAATAGGAAAACTTGGGACGTCTCAGAATGCCTCCAGATAACCCTTTCATCCCAAGTCTTGTGCAATTATGAGGTTAGATTATATCTGATCTTCATTGACCATTTGGTCAGTTTTGTTTGTGCTCAGGTTCTACAACCATGAACATTCATCCCGATTTGTGTTTTTTTTTAAAAACCAATTCCAGAATTTTCAATGCACTGTCACTTTCCTAAGGTCAGCAAGAAATTTTTAAAAGCATATGTGTTGGGCTAAGGCAGGGTTTCCCCAAACTTGGGTCCCCAACTGTTTTTTTTAAGACTACAACTCCCATCATCCCTAGCTAGCAGGACAAGCTGTCAGGGATGATGGGGACTGTAGTCCCAACACAACTGGAGACCCAAGTTTGGGAAACCCTGGGCTAAGGTGATAAAGGTAAAGGGTAAAGGGACCCCTGACCATTAGGTCCAGTCGTGACTGACTCTGGGGTTGCGGCGCTCATCTCGCTTTACTGACCGAGGGAGCCGCCGTACAGCTTCCGGGTCATGTGGCCAGCATGACTAAGCCGCTTCTGGCAAACCAGAGCAACACACGGAAACACCATTTACCATCCCGCCAGAGCGGTACCTATTTATCTACTTGCATTTTGACGTGCTTTTGAACTGCTAGGTTGGCAGGAGCAGGGACCGAGCAACGGGAGCTCACCCCGTCGCGGGGATTCGAACCGCCGACCTTTTGATCAGCAAGTCCTAGGCTCTGTGGTTTAACCCACAGCGCCACCTGTGTCCCTTGGGATAAGGTGATAGAGCTCTTCAATTGTACAATGCTAAAATTCCTGGTGTGTGCTTGTCTCCCTCCTGCAAAACCCAGACTATTGACCATGACATCATGCAAATGCCCAGAATAAAGTGCAAATATCCCACAGAAAATGCCCAGCGTGGAAACAGACATAGCATATCCCCACTATCATCCGGGTGATGCATTGGGGGGGGGGAAGAGATTACAAGACGTTTATCTACTATGAATCATTTATTTGTTTGCTTTACGAGTCTGTGCCCATGCCTGTCTTCATTGGAGTCGACAATTCCTGCAGAGGATTGTAAAGCCACATTTTAGGACCCTCAGCATTTTCACCTGGACTATCAAAAGCAGTGGTATTACAAGCAGTTAAGTTCTTCAGGCAAGGAAGAACTGCAGACAGATTGCTAGAAGCTTTGCCAAGTAGGGGGTGCGCTTATTTCAGCCAACGTCCCTCCCTCTGTCCTGCCAGCATCTTAACCACTCACAAGCGCAGCTCCTTTAGGCAGTGAGGTTTTTCTGACCCTGCTGCTGGCTTTGCCTTTCGCAATAGCCAGGCCAGGTTTAAAATCCCAAAGTAGGAACAACACTTGTTCCAAGAACACAGGAAGCATATACCAGTGCTCGGAACTGGAAGCTTAGGACAGGAATCTTAAGAAGCCCTCACCTGCTCGGGATCATAAGCTGCATTGATACAGGTTTCATCTTCAACGAAATTGTCTTCTTTGTCGCTGTCCTTCTGGTAGCTGGCCAGCGGTCCAGTTGATGATACACTTGAAGTCCTGTGGGAGGAGGAGATAAGACACACATATTGACTGTGCTGCAAATCCTAGGCTGGAACCCTTGTGCTAAGCTGTTAAGAGGCACAGTGATCTTGTAGAACCACCTGCACCACCAATTTGGAACCCAAACTACATGCATTAATGCAAATTACAGTTGCAGCACATGCATGCCAGAATCTTTCATGATTCTGCGAACAGGACTGCAACAGGCACAAGCAAGCCATTCAAATTTAGAAACAAAGCAGGCTGTGTCTGCACAAGCAAATTACTGCTGCCCATATTTTGGGCTCGGCCAAAGTGAGCATCAAGGACGCAGGTGGTGCTGTGGGTTAAACCACAGAGCCTAGAACTTGCCGATCAGAAGGTCGGTGGTTCGAATCCCCGCGACGGGGTGAGCTCCCGTTGCTCGGTCCCTGCTCCTGCCAACCTAGCAGTTTGAAAGCACGTCAAAGTGCAAGTAGATAAATAGGTACCACTCCGGCGGGAAGGTAAACGGTGTTCCCATGTGCTGCTCTGGTTCGCCAGAAGCGGCTTAGTCATGCTGGCCACATGACCTGGATAAGCTGTACGCCAGCTCCCTCGGCCAATAAAGCGAGATGAGCGCTGCAACCCCAAAGTTGGTCACGACCGCCGACCTTCTGATCAGCAAGTCCTAGGCTCTGTGGTTTAACCCACAGCGCCACCTGCGTAGAGAACGGCAAATAGCCTTACCTTTGCCGCGTTCTTTGCTTCCTGAAGTAGACAAAGGTCCCTGCTGCTGCCATGGCCATTAGTAGGATGGAAATGATGCCCAGAACGAGACCCGCCCTAGACTTCGCCTCCTCCTCTTCACAGTAGTCTCCACTATAGCCCAATGTGCAGATGCATTTCACTGTATCGCCCTCCATAGTGCAGTCCCCTCTCCTGTTACAGGTCTCCCTCCTGCAAGGCTGAGACTCCAGGCCACTTTTCACGATTCCCTGCACCAGAGAAGATTCTTTCCATTTCTTTTTGGGAGGTAATGTAGTCTTCTGGCTTCTGCTTGGCTCGAGTGCCCATGCTGCTGTTGCAGTAGTACTCCTTCTTGTGTATTTTTTTACTTCTGGCCGTACATGTGCAGTTCCATCCGTAGGCTTCTTGGTGATGGTTTTGGTGGGTGCCTCTGTGTTTTTCTTAACAAGAAAGGGTTTTGTTTGCAGCAGTGTGGAAGGTCGGTGTGTGGGCTGGGGTTTCTTCTTCGGAGTGTTGTTGCCTGCCGGCAGAAAAGCCATCAGCACATTGCTTTTGGGACACAGCAAGATCAGCCTAGGACCATATGACTGATCTGATGGTTTAAGGATAGAAAATGTAACTGCCTGCAAAGCTTACTTTCAGAGGTTATGCTAGAGTACTTGATTAAGGAGGTAGCTCACCTTTCCTTTTCTAGCAAAGTCATAAAACACAGATTCTCAAAGGTTTGTCTTAAATTGTTTGAATTATCTGTTGACCAACTTAGCTGCTTTGGCCAACAGTTTGGTTGTGGGTATATTCCAGTCTAGAATATACCCATTCTACAAATAGCACCATCATTGCTTCCCCGACTGAATACTGAAAATGCATTTTTAGTAAAGCGTTGAGAATATGAAGCACTTCCTACCTCCTGCTCACAGAATAATTCCTAGAAGCTCCCATTGGAAGACAGCATGGCAAACTAGTTTTAAGTATGTAGCTTGGATTTCCCTTATGTTTTGCATAATCTTATGTTAGCTATGGGACACGGGTGGCGCTGTGGGTTAAACCACAGAGCCTAGGACTTGCCGATCAGAAGGTCGGCGGTTCGAATCCCCGTGACGGGGTGAGCTCCCGTTGCTCGGTCCCTGCTCCTGCCAACCTAGCAGTTTGAAAGCACGTCAAAGTGCAAGTAGATAAATAGGTACCGCTCTGGCGGGAAGGTAAACGGCGTTTCCGTGAGCTGCTCTGGTTCACCAGAAGCGGCTTAGTCATGCTGGCCACATGACCCGGAAGCTGTACGCCGGCTCCCTCGGCCAATAAAGCAAGATGAGCGCCACAACCCCAGAGTCGGTCACGACTGGACCTAATGGTCAGGGGTCCCTTTACCTTTACCTTATGTTAGCTATAATTGTGCCTTGGATAGCCTCATGGGCTATGGTGCAACTTTTCTGTACTAGCAAAGCAAGAGGAGCTCACCCCCGTTGTGCAGATTCGAACTGCCGACCTTCTGACCAGCAAGCCCAAGAGGCTCAGTGGTTTAGACCACAGCTGGCCACAGGACCCAGAAAGCTGTCTGTGGACAAATGCCGGCTCCCTCGGCCTGAAGCGAGATGAGTGCCACACCCCATAGTTGCCTTTGACCGGACCTAACTGTCCAGGGGTCATTTACCTTTACCTTACTAGGAAAGAACAGTATTTCATTACATTTAAAGCTGTAGTTGTTGGGTTCTATGATTTTCTGGTAAGGCAGCAGCTAGATCTTAATGAATCTAGCTGTTCAACCATTAGGAGTTCAGGCATTTTTGAGGGCCATTTAGCAAAGGAGAATTCTCCAAGGATCCATTTACTCACAACAACACAACACAACACAACACATGCAGTTTCTCAGTTGGGTTACTCACAGTCTCTCTCGTCTGATCCATCAGAGCAATCAATGCTGCCATCACAAACTTGCTCTTTTGCAATACATTTGCTGTTATCCTTGCAGGCTTGGAGCGGCTCCAAGCATAGTGGTTTGGTGCATCTAGTACCATCCTCTAGAACGTACCCGGTGGTGCACCTGCAACTTCTCCCTTGCGGAATTGGCAAGCAAATGTGGCTGCATCCACCATTCTTTTCCGAACAGCCGTTGTGACCTAGAAGTAGCAAGAGAAAGATTTTTAACCGCTTTGGCTTCCCTGCTACTCTGCAAAATGTGGTGTGTTAAAAGGAAGCACCCTCCTGTCAGCTTGGTTGCTGGTGCAATAAACCCGTGGTTGTTGTTTTTTGGGGGGGGGGTGTTATAAACAAGAATAATTTTATACAAATAAGAGTATACCAAGTTTTCTCATGTCATATGTATATCACAAAAATAGCATAACAAATGTGGGAAAATATCTGCAACATATGTTTCATTATTAGTGGTCAATGTATGAGTTCTTGGTTTATGAATTGGTTTAAACAATTAGGAAGAAGGAGGAGGAGGAGGAGGGGGAAAAGGGGGGAAGAGGGGGAGTGGTGGATGGGGTGGGGTGGGCTGGTTATGCTTCTATTATTCTACTTAGTGGTGGGGCGTTAGCGTTACTTGTATGGGTTCTCTTACTATTCACTTGTTGTATTTCCTTGGTGGTGAGAGAGGTTGCAAGTGGCTTAGGGTGTGGTTGGTTGTGTTTGGTTGGCTGTAGGGAGAACTGTTTTTGTGTGTGAGCAGGGTGTGAGTGTGTATTTTTGAATCAGGTTAGCCAGATTGAGTCATATGCTCTCAGGGGATTCTTGATGTTGTCTTGTTGGGCTATGTATGTGATAAATGGGAACCAAACCGGGGTGAAGGCGTCTTCTTCTATTTGTCCCCGTGTAGGTTTATAGGTTAGTTTTTCTAAAATAAACCTGTGTTGAACCCTTCTGTTACCTGGTCCCCAGTTTAAGCAATCTAGAGCAAGCCTTAAAGATATCGGGAGTTCTTCCAGAAGGCAAGCAGCTTGACACATTCAAGTAAGGAAGAACTGGTGCCCCTATTTTTGTGTTAGGTGAAGAAGCCACCATTTTGAGTTATAGCCCAGGTTGACCAAGTAACTGCTCAGAAGAGACCCTGGTCACCCCTTTAAAACTTTAAAAATGTTTTACCTTGTTGGTTGAGTTTGCTGTAGATCTTTATATCCACAAGTTTCTGCTCTTCTTTAAACCACCAGTTTTCCGAATCATCCAGTCTGCTGTGCCACACCTTCGTTGCACCTATTAAGGCATGAAATAAGAGGGAAAAATTAGAGACACATTCCTTACAGTGACCTAGGGCATTACTGGGGTGTGTGTGTGTGTGTGTGTGTGTGTGTGTGTGTGTGAAACTATATGGCATTAGAATTTCCCACCCCAATTCTCAACTAGCTAGAATCTGTTTATTTCTGAGCTAATTAGGTAAGTTATCTTCGTGCACAGTGCACCGCATCAAGGCTCCCAAAGAATACCAGCTGAATGTGTCCCATAAGCTTAGGAATAACGCTAAACACTCATCTGAACCCCCTAGAATGCTGATCATTTAAGACTTCTAGCTAGGATCAGTTCCTTGGCATCTGCCCCACTTAATTTTGTTGGCATGCCATGGACTTCTCAAGTCCAGGCAGGTGATCAAGCATCGCCATGTGCTACCATCTGCCACATCTACCCAGTGGCGTAAGAATGGGGGGGCAGGGGGCCGTGGCTCTGGGCGCACATTTCTGAGGGGGCACAACCAGGCGCCCCCCATGACAGGCACCCTCATTGAGGCTGTAGCTGTGGGGAGACAAGCTGCGCCCAGGCCTAGCCTTTGGGGCTGGGGCACCGGCAGTACCTCTTCCTCCTTGTGGCCAGTGAAATGACCTCCGTGTGCCCCACCACTGGGCTGGCCGAGAGGGAGGGAGGAAGAGGAAGGTAGGAAAGCACTGCTGGAGCATTGCTCAGAGTGCCTTGCTGCAATGATAGGTAGCATGAGGTGACACGGTGGTGCCCTCAGCTTCACGTTTTGTCTGCCTTATCTCTGCTCCCTGGTTGGGACTAGTTCGCAAGGAGAGATTCCCTTGATTAGACGCTGGCCAGCAAAGGGACTGACCATTGCACAGTCCGCCAGAGGGGCACAACACTTGCCCCACCCCGGAGACCAGCAACCCATGCTACGTCCCTGCATCGACTCACACTTTATTTAAATATAATGTTTTGCTGGAGTTCTGCATTTGTTGGAGCCTGCTTACCATTGCGTGCCGTTGTTGTCCAGACCATTATTCCCTCCCCGGCTGTGAAGAGTGTAAGGCCACGCAGCCCAGAACGAATGAGTCTGTGCTGAGTGCCATCCATCCGAATGCTTTCCACAGTGCCTTTTGCTGGAAGAAAGGAAGTTAGAGGCTGAGCTGTGTAAGAGGAATATGCATGGGAACTACCTCCTGTTGTTTCTTGGGAGCAAAAATATCATTGAGCTTCAACCCACATTACATTAAGGACTGGCATCTGCAGAGAAGCATCTCACTCGCTGACTTCCATTCTCTAAACTTTGCATGATCTTGAAATATTTCGTCTTGAAGGCATTCCTAGCAGAAAGTCGCCAACACATTGATTAGATCTTGCTGGCCATGCCTATCTTGGACTTTTGCTTCTCTGCAGGATACAGAAACAGCTTAAACACTGACACCATATCCTAAGTGGATTTGAAAGCCAGCCCATTATAATAAATAAAAATAAATGCAATAAAGTTAACAAAGGATCCATTTCCAGATCCCAAGATGGGTTATTTTAAAAGTTAGCTAGTGGTTCAGCCAGTCCAGGAAGCTGGCCAAGCCTTTCAACATGCCCCTATGGAGGCTAGCTGTGCCCAAATAATTATACCATTGTGGATGTTAGACTACTTACCTTGGTCAGCCCAGTAGACCTGGGTGCCATAATCTACTATTGTTAAACCCACTGGAGTCTGTGATGTCGCCCAGAGAACGTTCCTCTTGCTCCCATCCATGGAAGAACATTCTATTACGGGACCAAGGGCGCTGTGTTCGTTACCGGAGTCGACAAAGCACATAGCCACAGTTGGGGGATGCAGAACTACAGAAGTTGGATGGGACAGCCCATCGCTGATCAGAACAAGTGTGTATCTCCCATCTGAAGTTGCCACTTGGATTGATGGGTGCTTGCTGTCAATCCAGTAGATGTTGCCACTCAGCCAGTCAAGAGCTAGTGAGATCACAGTGCCCTTGACCGGCAGGACTTCCTTCAGTGCAACTCTCCCGGCGTCCTTCATAGCTAGGACCTTTATGACGCCACCTTCAGACTCCGAGAAGTAAAGGGCATTGTCACGCACAGAGTAGTCTACTGCTGCCAAGTGGTTGACGCTTGCCATGGGGAGGGTGCTGTGGACAGGGGGCAGCTGCCCCGAAAGGGAGCGCAGTTTCTTTACGTAGACCTAGGATTTTAAGACAGCATTAGATATATTTATGTGGTTTTGGGAGGCAACAAGAGGGTGTTCCATTTGAAGCTTCAGCGGAGAAATTCTGCCAAGGAAACCCTTCTCATATGACCTAAATCTACAGTGGTACCTCGGGTTAAGAACTTAATTTGTTCTGAAGGTCCGTTCTTAACCTGAAACTGTTCTTAACCTGAGGTACCACTTTAGCTAATGGGGCCTCCTGCTGCTGCCGCGCTGCTGGAGCACGATTTCTGTTCTCATCCTGAAGTAAAGTTCTTAATCCAAGGTACTATTTCTGGGTTAGCAGAGTCTGTAACCTGAAGCGTCTGTAACCTGAGGTACCACTGTGCTGGTCTTTAGGGCCTTTTTGCCACAACTGGCAAAGATGAGCCTTCACACAAGTCTAAAACAACTGTGTCTCTGCAACACAGTGAAGTGGAAGCTCTCCATTGATGTGTTTGGTAAAAGTGTACAAGGGGTTTGACTGAGGCATCACGGCCTTCCTCACTTGCGAAAGAAAAGACAATGGACATTTCACAACGGCGACTGCTGCAGGGAAAGAGCTTCAGTAATGTGCAACCCTGAAGTTTTGGATCCCCTTCAAACTGGTGCCAAAGTTTTGTGCTATTTTTGTGCCACCCCCCAAACTGAATAATTGATACTCCAACCAGGAGACAAAGGTATTCCCACTCCCAACAAGCCAACATTGTGTGATTCACTCCAAACCGGTGCCAAATTTTGCAACCGTTTCAAACCTTTCTGCACTGCAAACCCTGCTCCCAAAATGAGGAATTGATACTAAAAATTGGGTTCCTAGTTAATGCCGCTGAAGTGAAATGCACTCAAGATCCCACATTGTCTGATTGGCTCCAAGCAGTGCCAAATTCTCACAGTTGTTTTGCACCGTTTCAGAGCACAAACCCCATGTTTTGCATTGCCCCCTAAAAAGCAGCACAGTAAATGCATTAAAACTGGGAAATATCTCTGCCTAGAGGCTGACTTAACGGCAGTTTGAGCATTTCCGCTGCACCAAACAGCAGAAAACTATTGCATAATGACTGCTCTCCACATCAAACGGAGGGCACCCTTTGCGTGCCAGCGCACAGCACCCCCAATCCTACGTGACACCCGGCAAAGCTCTCCTGGACCACCTCCCAAGTGCAGACCAGGTGAGGGTAGGCTCCAATCTTTAAGCATAAAAGGGGGTGGAGCCTACCTGGGAGCCCTCAGTCAGCTTCAGAGCTTCAGGACTTCATCCTCTGAGAAGGTAAGACTGGGGCCACAGTCTGCTCTGGGGTGGGGTGGGGAGCCATGCCTTTAACCCACCCCACCTGGCGGTGATCCCAGGGTTCCCCGTTAAAGGGGTTGTGCTGAGGGGAGTCACTGGCCATACGATGAAAAGTTGTCAGTGCGCTCCCCTGTGTTGCAGTGAAATAGTGGGCAGGCTCTCTGCTTAAACATACCATATTTTTCGCTCTATAAGACTAACCCGATCATAAGATGCACCTAGTTTTAGAGAAGGAGAACAAGAAGAAAAAAATTCTCTCCGCAGCGCCTCTCCAGCGAAGCAAAGCCAGGAGAGCAAGAGGGATCGGTGCGCACCGATCCCTCTTGCTCTCCTGGCTTCAGCAAAAGCAACGTGAAGCCTCCGGAGTTCGTGGCACAGAACATCACAAAGCTAACACTTTGGTATCCGTCGAGAGGGGATCCAAAATTTTGAGGTCACGCTTTAATGCAGCTCACGGAAAGGGAGATGAGATACACAACATTTTTTGTCGAGCACCCTTGTAAGAGCTCAATCTAGTCATGTTTACCCAGCAGGGGAAAAAATCCTTTCCTTTCCAGCTTACCACAAAGGGGGAAAGGACCCCTTGGACTGGAAAACTACAACAAAATTCCCTGTTATTATGCAAGAGGTCATTTGCAGCAATACCTGAGTAACAGAGGCTTGTGCAACCAGAAACATGAACGCCGTCTCCTTCAGAGGAACGCAGGTCTTTTCATCGTTTGAAAGCACAAGTCCAGCTGGGCAGCGGCAGCTCCCTCTTTTGTCTGGGTTCAACAGGCACAAGTGGGAACAGCCATTTCCCGCACACGGGTTGGGGGCTCCCGGCTGAAGAACTTCATGCAGGATCTGCAAGCCAATTTCCCCAGATGTTAAAAGCCTTGACCGAGATTGGTGTTTCCAGGGCATCTCTGTCTGTAGCCTGAATCAAGACCATGCACTGCAACATACACTGTGCTGGGAGAAATCTGCAGTAAAGCCAGTCTGCATTGTGTGGGTGAGTTGGGGAAAGAAAAAGCATTTCCCATCTAATCTCAAGTTTGTGGCAGTTGTCATGAAGTGGGGGAAAAGGTACCTTCCGTTCTCCATTTGACAAAGGATGAGGTCCATGAGCCAAGTGTGTAACAGGTCAGTTTCCCTGGCAGTCTGGATTTAGTCTAAACCACAGAGCCTAGGGCTTGCTGATCAGAAGGTTGGCGGTTCGAATCCCCGCGACGGGGTGAGCTCCCGTTGCTCGGTCCCTGATCCTGCCCACCTAGCAGTTCAAAAGCACATCAAAGTGCAAGTAGATAAATAGGTACCTCTCTGGCGGGAAGGTAAACGGTGTTTCCGTGCGCTGCTCTGGTTTGCCAGAAGCAGCTTAGTCATGCTGGCCACATGACCCGGAAGCTGTACGCCAGCTCCCTCGGCCAATAAAGCGAGATGAGCACCGCAACCCCAGAGTCGGCCATGACTGGACCTAATGGTCAGGGGTCCCTTTACCTTTACTCTGCATTTTTGAAGCAGAAAAGCTTGCGTTGCTCCCCAGCTACCGAATAACTCTCTTAACAAGCTGGGTCCTTCAGGCCTGCATTATTATTATTGTTGTTGTTGTTGTTGTTGTTGTTGTTGTTGTTGTTGTTATTTCCAATAGACTGTAAGGGCTTTGCCAAGCTAAGTGGAATGCATGCAGCTTCTATACGCAAGTGTGATTCACTTCAGCAGGCAAGTTTGATGCAGCTTTTACTGATGGTTGGCAGTCTGAACCACACTCACACATGGGACTTCCCAAAATGAGTTAACACTAATTAGTGCAGCAACTATATTCACAAGAATAGCGGCATTTGGCCTATACCTTGTTCCTGGCCATGTTTTCCATTCTCCCAGCCTGCCTTGCAGCAAAGCTGTTTTACTTGCTTAATATGATAGCGTGAGAGTTTTGTTCAGAGGGATGCTATGCAAACAAAGTCCCAGCAGAACCCAGTTTCAGTTATTCTTCAATGCTTTGCAAGGAGATACACTCTTGGCTCAACCGACTGGTCCCCTACAAAGAGTTAAAGGCAGTACCTTAAGTCCATATGGTTGCCCATGACGCTTGATAAGGACGGATCTATTCTTTCCAGTCCTTTTGTGTAGTCTCTGTACTGTCCTTGTCTTCAGCTCAGACCAATAAACGTAATCCTCAAAGACAGTCACTGCAAAGGGACTATGAATTTCAGTCAGCTCAAACACCTAGCAGAGGGGAAACGAAGTGTTGATGTCAAGATACTTATCCCAGTTTGACCTAGATCTTATGTTCAACAAAGATTTGGAAGTTTTTAAATGAGCATTGTTCCCTCAACTTTTGTCTTTGTCACTTCTGGGTCAAATGAAAGATTTTGTATCCATATAGAATTCTATCAAGATTTACTGAGAGCAAAGATGGATTGTTACACTGAAAGCAGGAGCAGTTCCCACTTTCAAAGGAAAAAAGAAGCCTCAGCTCTTGAATATATAAGCTTACCTGAGCTTCGTCCACAGCTGGAATCAGGCATTTATTTGATATTAATTTAATTTGCGTACTGCTTTATATTTCAAGAAATCTATAAAGTGGGTTATGTCAACTGTACTACCAACACTTCTAAAGTACCACATTTAAGTAACGTAAGAAATAAATCTCTAAATACGCCTGAGTAAAGTAAAAAACAAAGGTAAATCTTACACAAAACGAAAATACATCAATGTACAGTATAATTATATACAGTTGAATCAATGAAATTTATCACAACAGATTATATGCATACATATAACTGACCCAGAACAAAGTGGCAGTTAAATTTCAGGCTGGAAGTTGGGAAGAATAGTGGAGTCAGATAAAAGGATGGTTTTTCTTTACTGATATTGTGAATGAACTTGAGTCAAGAACAAAGAAAGTGTATTTTAAAGCAGTATACCTACTTTGGGGTCGCCATACACACACACACACACACACACACACACATATATATATATGGGACGCGGGTGGTGCTGTGGGTTAAACCACAGAGCCTAGGGCTTACCGATCAGAAGGTCGGCAGTTCGAATCCCCGCGACGGGGTGAGTTCCCGTTGCTCGGTCCCTGCTCCTGCCAACCTAGCAGTTCAAAATCACGTCAAAGTGCAAGTAGATAAATAGGTACCGCTCCGGCGGGAAGGCAAACAGCGTTTCCGTGCACTGCTCTGGTTCGCCAGAAGCGGCTTAGTCATGCTGGCCACATGACCTGGAAGCTGTACGCCGGCTCCCTCGGCCAATTAAGCGAGATGAGCGCCGCAACCCCAGAGTCGGCCACAATTGGACCTAATGTTCAGGGGTCCCTTTACCTTTACTTTACACACACACACACACACACACACACACGTGTGTGTGTGTGTGTGTGTGTGTGAGAGAGAGAGAGAGAGAGAGAGAGAGAGAGAAATTACATGAATATTATAAAAAAGCATTTTCGCATGCAATAACACATTTGGCAATCACTCCATCCACACATCAGGAATGCTTATAAGGTATGGGGTACCTTCATACCACTGCCATCCAAGTAGGCCGACCCAATATAGTGAAACTTGTCATCAGACCAGAAGATTTTCCAGCTCAAGAGGTCAAGGGTTATGCTGGTGGGCCAGCCAAGCCCATCAAGCAGTACCGATCTGCTGCTTCCATCCATACCAGCTTGCTCTATTTTGGAGTCATCCCCTATTGCAGACCAATACATTAACCTAAGGAAGAGAAGGTGAATGTTAAGATACTTCTGCAGGGCAGAGAAACTGAATGGACTTCAGTTTTCATACACTACCGATATGCTGCTTGTTGGAAAGAAAAGGTTCGCAAGCCTAAATTCCATTTTAGTCTGCAGATTTTAATTGCCATTTTCCCGTTTATCCCCTTCTGAGAATCGCACATCTCTTATCGTAGCCAGAGCCTACTTTCAGCCAGGTCATGAATCCCTATGACCAGAGCAGGAGCTCAGATCAAAAATTCTGCAAATGGTAAGTGTGCATTGTTCTTTGCACATGAGTTGACCCCTAGCACACGAGGATGAAAAGCTGGTCTTCCGTGCAGTTTAGAGTCCCAGTTCAGACTCTCTTTTTAACCTGCATGGCTTATATGTATGGATCATCCCCAATAAGGTCAGCAGACGAGTTGCCATCAGTCCCATTTTGTGGCAATCTTTTTTTTGTATGTTCTGATTGGTCAAGTTTGCCAAGCCTACTTGAAAAGTTTTTGTATATGGTGGGCAGGCACAGCGATACAACGTGCACCTTTGCTCTTTTTTATTTTAAAGTTTAGGCTAGCCTTGGAAAGAAGCCAAGATCAAGAGCCAAGACTAGAATGGCAGGCCAGCAAAGCTTCTCACAGTAATGAGAATGGCATGTGTGGCTTTTGGGCGGCCTGTATCTGGCACATGCAGCAGACTACATGGTACCTTGGTTCCCAAACACCTTGGTATTCAAACACCTTGGTTCCCAAACGCCTTGGTATTCAAACACCTTGGTTCTCAAATGCTGAAAACCCGGAAGTAAATGTTCCAGTTTTTGAACGTTTTTCAGAAGCCAAACGGCCCATGCAGCTGTCGGCTATTGTTTCCGGGGCGCCTGCACCAATCAGAAGCTGCGCCTTGGTTTTCGAACATTTCAGAAGTCAAACGGACTTCCGGAATGAATTGAGTTTGGCGCTTTTGTTTTTGCAATTCATTTTGTGTTTTTGAGGCTTTTTCAGTTAATTTGTTTTTGTGACTGTGTGGAACCCAGTTCAGCTACTGATTGATTGATTGATTGATTGATTGATTGATTGACTGATTGATTGATTGTGTGACTAAATGGCTAAAAGCCCCCCATCCAAACAATGACTATCATCAGTGCAGGTAAGAAAAGAAAATAATTTTTATCATCTACAATATTGTCTTATTTATTTTATGGTACGGTACATTGATTTTTGCTTTCAATTTGTGGATCGATGGTCTCGTTAGATAGTAAAATTCATGATAAATTGCTGTTTTAGGGGTTGTTTTTAAAAGTCTGGAACGGATTAATCCGTTTTGCATTACTTTCTATGGGAAAGTGCACCTTGGTTTTGGAACAGACTTCTGGAACGCATTAAGTTTGAGAACCAAGGTACCACTGTATTCCAATTAGAAGCCCAACATTGGAAGCAATGTTCATAAAATACAGAGACTCTGAAAGTCTTACCCATCCAACGGGTGGAGTGCGAGTGACCGAGGCTGATCCAGGTAATCCAGAACCACAGTGTGCTCAGGAATTCCTCTCCATTTGCCATTTAGCTGTGTAGCCAAGATCTGTCCTGCCATCCCATCTGTCCAGTAAAGATTTCTTCCTACCCAGTCTACTGCTATGCAATCCGATTTGATTCCTGGAGTCATGGGGGGGGGGGAATAAAATGAGTGCACTCCACTGACATGCAGGAACATAACTCCCCATGCAAATCGGTCATTGCCTGTATTTACTCTAGCAGACTAAACAACAACAAAAACAACTCTAGCAGGTGCCAAACTTGCTGTGTTAAAATCACCTAGGCTATTAGAAAAGACAGGTGTAGCTACCTGCAATGACTTTCTGCAGCATTTCATGGATTGCACAATTTCCATTTGTGCTCCAAACCACCTTGCAAATACTGGTGGCCTGGACAAGCGGTTGCTCTTGAATTAGTCCAGGAAGCCTCTTCTGGAGCAGGGGATTTGTGCCAGATTCAGTTTATTATTACAGTGGTACCTTGGGTTATATACGCTTCAGGTTACATACGCTTCAGGTTGCAGACTCCGCTAACCCAGAAATAGTGCTTCAGGCTAAGAACTTTGCTTCAGGATGAGAACAGAAATCGTGCTCCGGCGGCGCGGCGGCAGCAAGAGGCCCCATTAGCTAAAGTGGTGCTTCAGGTTAAGAACAGTTTCAGGTTAAGAACGGACCTCCGGAACGAATTAAGTACTTAACCCAAGGTACCACTGTATTTTACATTCAACAAGTAGGAAGTTTCATCAGAGACTTTCAGCATAGTTCAAAGTAAGTAGTTTGCTTCCAAGTCAGATGCCGGAACCTGAACCAAAAGACCCACCTTTAACTAGAGTCCCCCTTTCCTTGTTTCTCATGTTCATCCACTTAATACTTTCTGCATTGAGGTCCATCCAGAAGATTTTCTGCTCCGCCAAGTCATAGTCGATAGAAAAGATAATAAAGTCCTTCTCAGTGGTCAATATAACATCTTCTTTCAGGCTCCTTAATCCATATAGGATCAAATTGAACTGAACTGCAACAAGCAACTTCGGCTCAGAGCCTGCAGGAAAGAGAAGGGGTTACACATTGCAGTTTTTTTAAGTTACTGCTGCACTTAACATTACTCCCCACATTTGTATTTGGGTGAAAAGTAACACATGGCAAGTTACGCCAGCTTTCTTTTCAATTGTTTGCAGCTTCAGTCTTTGCAAAGCAATGCTGCTTTTCGAAGCAGCAGAATTCTAGGTGCTAAGTCGGGAGTCCTTGCCCAACTAACAACTCTATTAGAGCTGCCCATCACTTTTCCAGCACCGTGCAGGACAATACAGAGGCTTAGTTTCTACAGCTTCCTAGCCCCAAGTCTGTGGGTGCATGTGCCTGAAGCCAAATTCTTTTATTCCACTTCAGGCAAGCTCAGCTCAAGCCACTGAACCACGCAGACATATGCCTACCAGAAGAGGCAAGCTCCACATTTACAGGGCCTTACCAACTACTTTAGGGACGCGGGTGGCGCTGTGGGTTAAACCACAGAGCCTAGGACTTGCCGATCAGAAGGTCGGCAGTTTGAATCCCGCGACGGGGTGAGCTCCCGTTGCTCGGTCCCTGCTCCTGCCAACCTAGCAGTTCGAAAGCACCTCAAAGTGCAAGTAGATAAGTAGGTACTGCTCCGGCGGGAAGGTAAACGGCATTTCCGTGCACTGCTCTGGTTCGCCAGAAGTGGCTTTGTCATGCTGGCCACATGACCCAGAAGCTGTACGCCGGCTCCCTCGGCCAATAAAGCGAGATGAGCGCCGCAACCCCAGAGTCGGCCACGACTGGACCTAATGATCAGGGGTCCCTTTACTTACCAACTACTTTGCAGGTGTGGCCATCTGGTTCCAGCAAGTAGCCAGGGTGGCAAGTGCACATATAGCTTCCCTCTGTGTTGACACAAGTCTGGCTGCATTTCTCCTCCGACAGCTCTTTACATTCATTGATATCTTTGCAGGAGCGCCTGTCGCTCCTTAGCCGGAATCCTTCGTAGCAAGCACATTTCTGTAAGGAGAAGGTTACGTTAAAAGAAACTTGGGTCTTCATGTTGCAGGCAAGGGGGTCGCTTTTATCATCTTCGTTCAGAGCTTTTATGCTGGAATGCTCATGTATGAAAAGTTGCTGCTGGAGAAAAGTGAAATGATCGTTGCTGCTCAAGACTGATTGGTTGTTTTCTGTGTTCCATTTCTTTCATGGAAAGAGCCTTAGCAAGCTTCGTCCTGGCAGAAGCAGCGGTCAGTTTAGAAGTCACTCAATGTAGAGCCCTGTGGAATGCGTTCTAATGGGCAGGGGAGGATGTATGAATTGCAATTCATCCCTCCAGACTCCCAATGTGTGTGAGCTGAACAGGGTTTCAAAACCTCATCCTTGGCAGCAAAATTAAAAGGAGATCTGAAGCAAGGTGGCTCGCCCTTTTGTACATCGCTTAATGAAGGAGAAGGTGACAGTTTGGGTCCAAAAATGTAATTTACTTACTTATATTCTTGCATTGGTTCACAGCAATTGCAGCAGTAAAAACTATGCAGGTGAAATGCTTATGTTTATAATATAAACAGCTTCAGGCAAGTGCCTAAAGGTGGAGCAAGTGGAGGCATAGCTGCATCTAACGCCGGGCAAAGGAAGAGAGAGAGGGGGGAACAAGAAGTACCGTATTTTTTGCTCTATAAGACTCACTTTTTCCCTCCTAAAAAGTAAGGGGAAATGTGTGTGCGTTTTATGGAGCGAATGCAGGCTGCGCAGCTATCACAGAAGCCAGAACAGCAAGAGGGATTGCTGCTTTCACTGCGCAGCGATCCCTCTTGCTGTTCTGGCTTCTGAGATTCAGAATATGTTTTTTCTTGTTTTACTCCTCCAAAAACTAAGTGCGTTTTGTGGTCTGGTGCGTCTTATAGAGCGAAAAATACGGTACTATATGCTCTTCCCTCTCCAGGATACGAGGGTAAATGACATCATACAGTGCCCTGTCTACCAATTGTATTTCTATGGCCTGTGCATTTGCCAAGCAGCAATACAACTCTCAGCATCTTAAAAAGCAGAGACATCACCTTGCCAACAAAGGTCTGTATAGTAAAAGCTATGGTTTTCCCAGTAGTGATGTATGGAAGTGAGAGCTGGACCATAAAGAAGGCTGATCGCCGAAGAATTGATGCTTTTGAATTATGGTGCTGGAGGAGACTCTTGAGAGTCCCATGGACTGCAAGAAGATCAAACGTATCCATTCTTAAGGAAATCAGCCCTGAGTGCTCACTGGAAGGACAGATCCTGAAGCTGAGGCTCCAAGACTTTGGCCACCTCATGAGAAGAGAAGACTCCCTGGAAAAGACCCTGATGTTGGGAAAGAATGAGGGCACAAGGAGAAGGGGATGACAGAGGACAAGATGGTTGGACAGTGTTCTCGAAGCTACCAGCATGAGTTTGACCAAACTGCGGGAGGCAGTGGAAGACAGGAGGGCCTGGCGTGCTCTGGTCCATGGGGTCACGAAGAGTCGGACACGACTAAATGACTAAACAACAATACAACTCTGCGGACCTAGCCCCTTCTCATGCTAACTATCAAGAATATGCATTGGTTAGGTTTGGCTGCTAATCTCCCACAAGCCCAAAGTGGTAGTATAGTCAACATTCAAGAAGAAGCAAACTTACAGGCCCGCTAGGAGACTTGTAGCAGATCTGGGAGCACGACCGCCGGCATGCAAGAGCACAATTCCTGCCTTCATCCGTCCCACCCTGACAGTCTGGTCTCCCATTGCACACCAGGGTGTAATTAATGCAGGTTTCGCCACACTGGAATTCATAGCCCAGGCACTTCCTCGGCTTGCCTGTGTAACAGTAAGAAAAAACTCAAAGACTGTACCAGCATTAAAACGTAGAGCAGAAATAAGTGGGTCTTCAGAACTCTTAAGGGGCCAGGCTGTTACAGCAGTAAAACCTGCATGCCTTTTTACCAGTGGATTTTAAAGGCACTGAAGAAGGAGGGCATGCAACTGAGAGTTGAAGAGTTTGGTTTTCCAGTTGCTTGTGAGTCTGGTGATAAAGGAAGGAACTGCAGGGGAGAGGGTGGTGAGGATTCAGCAGCACTCCCCCACCCCTTTAAAATTGCACCTCCAACCCCACTGGGGCAGATGTGGATTTATTTTTTTAAGGTCTGCTGCTATTGCATGTACTTTGGCTTTCATTTTGCTCATCTGCTAAGGGAATACCGCACAGCAGGGTCAAATCCTGCTCATGTTCTTAAGAGCGAAATGGGTGGCAGTGAAGACTATTGCACTTGCATTGCTCATGAAATTACTGCAGGCTCATTAACAAGCTTGCAGGAATGCCTATCAGAGCAGGTTTGGGGAACTAAATGTTATACTACAAATGCCATCGTCCCGGGCCATGTTTGTTTTGGGCTGACAGGGGTTGTAGTTCAGCAACAACTGGAGAGCCAATGGTTCCTCACTCTTGTATCAGAAGTTCTGATCCACTCTACACCTAGCGCTGGGTGTTGACATTTCTCCAAAAAGTGGAGCAGCTTTAGGCTGTCAATCCACTCTACCTTCTGCTATTCTAGACTAGCCTCAAGGTGTTCACTTGAGGATTTCCCCCTCCACACTTGTTTTGATTTCTCCTTTACAGAATGTGATTTCTCTGCTGCTGAACAGCATAGGTACCGTAATTTCACCACCAAAGACTTTTAAAGGCAAGGTATTTTTCTCGTGGCTCTTGAGTGGGAGTGCCACGTAAGTCCAAAGGGGAGAGCTGCTCAACGGTAAAGACTTTAAGCACCAGCAAAAGCTCTTGCAAGGGAAACGCGAAGAGTACTTACAGGAAGTCTCATCACTCCTGTCTCTGCAGTCTGCCTGCCCATCACAGTACCATAGGTCTGGGATGCACTCGGAACTTCTGCATTGCCACTGGTTGTCACCGCACTTGTGCTCTGGCAAACTGCAGTCCTGCAAGAAGAAGGCATTCAAGCAAAAGGGAACACACACACACACACACACACACACACACAATTTCTCCTTTGCAGTTTTCTTGTGCTGCAGGGATAACTACACAACCTAGAAATGGAGTTTGGAGCACTCAGCGGTGCTTCATTTTGCAGCTGGCTGCTATGAACTTGTGCTTGCTTAAAAAGCAACCTCTTTGTTTTCCATGCCCATCAAAATACTGTACCTTTTGTACTAGCCAGGTCCTGTAGAAAACACATGCGCATGCTTGCATGTAATTGTTACTGCTTTAAAAGAAACAGAATAGCTGTCTCCTGCCCTTAATATATGTTTGTAACTGATCGGATCTTTATAAATAGCCGATTTGATGGCACTCTGCATTCGTTGCCAGTTTACACACACACACACACACACACACACACACCTGTTCATCAGATTCATCTTTGCAGTCCTTATCGCCATCACAGAGCCATTCCTTGAGGATGCACTCTCCACTTTTAGGGCAATTGACTTCATCCGAATGGCAGAAATGTAGTTTTGGGGCTACTGGGCAGCCTACTTCATCTGAGCCATCCTTACAGTCACGGTCTCCATCGCAGTGCAGCGAGTACGACACGCACTGGCCGCTTCTGCATTGGAATTCCTGTTCAGTGCACTTTGCATGAACTGCAGGGACAGACAGCAGTGTTTATTGTTTCTAGAAAGCACCCAAGAGATTTCACTCATATAGGATTCATGAACAGTTGAATGCATTCTCCCCACAAGGATCAATGTAAAATATATTTAACACAAGCTACACAGAAATGCATCTGGGTCCACAAACCCTGTAATAATTGACATATGATTCAGCAGTTTAAATTGTGTGAAGATATAATGACCCGCTATCATATGAATTAGTCCTTCGACTGTCATAGCTCCAGGAGATGCGGATATTTACATATCCCTTTGGCAAATAAGCCATGAGGCTACATATGGGTTCAGGTTTGATGCCGACTGCATGTTTATGAATGGAACGTCCTGATATTTCACACAACCAGGAACAGGAAAGTGCTGTCCTTGGTTGCAAATTGGCTGCTGCACCAACAGCTGTAACTGCACAGGCAAATGCAGAATGGGCTTTGGGGATGAAGAGATGCTACAAGCCTCAGGACATCTACTGGGTTCAAGCCCTAGCCCTCCAGCCCATTCTGAATTCATCACCCCATTATCCAAAACAGTCAGTAGTCCAAAGCCATTGGCTCCTGGTTCAAGAGTTAAGCATCATTTGAATTAAAAAGTTTCTAGCAAGTTCAGACAGTGCCACCAAAGCTTTTGTTGCAAGCGGCGATGCCACCCTGCAGGTTCAGGGACAAGGTTAAGATACCTTCCCAAAGGCAGCCTGTTAAGACACAGCAGGCGGCAGTGTTAGCTCAGGGCATGTGCCTTATGCTATGCTTTACCCAAGCTAATAGTCAGGAACTTTTGTAGAAAGCTGGCAATTTGGAAGCAGAATGTACCCATTCGGGCACCGCTCTGCCAACTGGGTATTTGCTCACCGCAACCCTGTTCATCGGCGCTATCGCTGCAGTCAGGGCTCCCATCGCATAACCAACTCTCAGGCACGCAGCGCATGTTGTTATCGCAGCGCAAGGCACACTCTGGAGTTGGCACCCAGCAGTTGGCTTCATCCGAGCCATCGGGACAATGTGGAATCCCATCGCAAAGGAACCTCTCGCGAATGCATTTGTTTCCACTTAGACACTGGAAGCTTCCTTTTAGAAAGAAAGAGAAAAGAACACGTTAAGTTCAATAGCCAGGCCTTTCTGTAGGACTGGAGAAAGCAAGCACATACTTCCTAGATTTAAAAAAAAGTTGACAAAATGATAGAGTAAGGGGGTCTATCACGAGGCCTTTTTTGGCGGCTCTCAGCAACATCTGATTCCTTCCCAAAGCCAGGTAAACAACACTGGGCTTTGGAAAGGAGGCCTAAGTGCTCTGACAGGGTCCTTGAGTCCTTCTTCCTTCTTCCCAAAGGCTAGAAAGTGTTTTCCCAGCTACGGGAAGAAGGCTTTTGGCAGACAGTGAGAGGGCTGGAGAAGGCCCTCAAATTCTGCCCTTGCTCCCTTCCTTCCCCCCTAGTCAGCATGTCTAACAAGAGCCAAATCTTTAATAATTTAGGCAACTCTGTAGGCCTGCAAAAGTTTGACCTTAGCCCAATCAGCCACATTTGTCATGCTAGGTCCTTTGTCTCGATGGGGTAGGAGATGGTCCCTCCATTATTAAATTTCACCATCTGCAGTATTAAGCTATTCACACACAGCATGGAAGAACTTAGTACCTGGTTCACCACAAATGAGGGAACAGAAGTCTTCATCGGACCCATCCATACAGTCCTCTTCTCCATCACAGACATATTCATAGGGCACACACCCCTGCCCATTTAGGCAAGGAAGTTCAGCCCACCTACAGGGCACAGTTGTTAAGACAGTGGTATTGGTTGCATTTGGTAATGTTGTGGTCTTGGTGGCCTTGGGCGTTGTTGCCTTTGTGGTGGTCTTGGGTGTTGTCGCCCTTGTGGTGGTCTTGGGTGTTGTCACCCTTGTGGTGGTCTTGGGTGTTGTCACCCTAGTGGTGGTCTTGGGTGTTGTTGTGGGTGTAGTAGTCAGCACTGTTGTCCTTGACGCTGTAGTCTGCGCTGTTGGTCTTGCTGCTGCAGCTGAAGTAGTACGGTTAGTAGTTGGTGCAGCAGTGCTTATGACAGCAGGCTTTGTAACAGGAACAGAACGCACTGCAATTAGAAAGTTAGCAATCAGTTCCAGTTTCTTCATACTCCTGTTCACATTGCACTGACAGTTTGTGTGTTTGATGGCCAACCCTTAATCTTTATAGGAAAACAGAGCACTTGAGAATAAGCATTGCGGTCATCTTGTAGCTGCCAGACTGGTGACTGGGAGTGGCCCCTGGGACCATTTGACACCGGTCTTAAAGGATCTACATTGGCTCCCGGTACGTTTCAGAGCACAATTCAAAGTGTTGGTGCTGACCTTAAAAGCCCTAAACGGCCTCGATCCAATATACCTGAAGGAGCGTCTCCACCCCCATTGTCCAGCCCGGACACTGAGGTCCAGCTCCAAGGGCCTTCTGGCAGTTCCCTTACTGCGAGAAGGGAGGTTACAGGGAATCAGGCAGAGGGCCTTCTTGGTAGTGGCGCCCGCCCTGTGGAACACCCTCCCATCAGATGTCAAGGAAATAAACAACTACCTGGCTTTTAGAAGACAGCTGAAGCAGCCTTGTATAGGGAAGTTTTTAATTTTTGATGTCTTAAAGGTAAAGGGACCCCTGACCATTAGGTCCAGTTGTGGCCAACTCTGGGGTTGCGGCACTCATCTCGCTTTATTGGCCAAGGGAGCCGGCGTAAAGCTTCCGGGTCAATTGGCCAGCATGACTAAGCCACTTCTGGTGAACCAGAGCAGTGCACAGAAATGCCGTTTACCTTCCCGCCGGAGCGCTACCTATTTATCTACTTGCACTTTGACGTGCTTTCGAACTGCTAGGTTGGCAGGAGCAGGGACCGAGCAACGGGAGCTCACCCTGTCGCGGGGATTCGAACCGCCGACCTTCTGATCGGCAAGTCCTAGGCTCTGTGGTTTAACCCACAGTGCCACTCGTGTCCCTTGATGTCTTTACTGTGTTTTAATTTGTTGGAAGCTGCCCAGAGTGGCTGGGGTAACCCAGTCAGATAGGGATTATATAAATAATTATTATCAACATCACATTTTTTTTGCAAGTGTGCCCCATCATCTAAAAGACAGTTGGCGCTCCTGGCTACTTTGTTAGATAGGCAGTCCTGTAGCCGTTAGAATTGCTTTGCCTCTAGTCTGTTGGATCTGTGTTGTGCTTCTGCCTGATCCCCTGCAGGTGAGAAGCAGAAGTATAGGCCTAGTACATGTCATGGCAAGTTTCAGGACCTATTCAGGGATGGGGGACGTTTTTGGCCCAGCAAGTCAGATCCTTACTTCCCCACCTGTCTAACTATGATAGGTGGTCAGGGATAATGGGAATTGTAGTGCAAAAACAGCTGGAGATCCTAGTTTGGGAAACACTGTGCTTGTGTATGTGTATGTGTGAATCACCTTGCAAAAATGGACCAAAGGTTTATCAGATAAGAATTTCTCTAGACTAGCAGTGCCTGGTCCTGTGTTGAATGAACCTTGCAAGCACAGCATGTAGCAACATGCCCAAGACCAAAAATTCATTTCAAGGAAAGACTCAGAGGTGATGGCCATGAATTAAGCAAGTTGAATTCCCAACTGTTTAAAAAGCAAACAGTAGGTTTCTACGGCTGTTATAAGACCCCTCCTCCCCGGCACAATCGCATGGCCTTAATGATCAACAGCTGCAGGCACTATGGGAGATAGGAACTCTCATTCCCACGCAACAATTGCAGTGAACAATGGTCCAAAACATTCAGCAACTGAACTTCTTACCGTTGCTTTAGTGGGCACTAACAGTAAGCCAAGAACTCATGCACTGAAAAGATGATGTAAACATGTAGACCAGCAAGCCTTTTTCTGCAGCACATATTTCATAGGGACGACTGAACCACACCCTTTGGTAAGGCCCTCTGGCTGTTTAAGTGCCCAGAATAGGAATTCATAGTGGTGACAAGTCAGTTTACCTGTTCTCAAATTTGTGTCAAAGATCATCATTGCTTTCTGTACACTGGCTACTTGCACAGCAGAGGGCACCCCTGATCTTCTGTTCCAGACCACAATGGTTGTTTTGTTGAATGTCGCCAGGTAAGGTCCATACACAGCTGCCACGCCATGGGTCCAATTCTCTTTTATACTGTATGTCTTGCGTGTGATGAGGTTCAGCACCTTCAGCCCTACGAACAAGGAAACGCTTATTATTCCATCACAACAAGCAACCAAAGTGTGTTGTATATTTACACAAGTCACAGCACAACTAGTTTCTAGAAAGCTGAATGGGACAGCCCAGCAACCTTAGCAAATAAGGGCTCAAGCCAATATTGCTTTTAAAAGATTTTTTTTTAAAAAAAAGAAAACACCCACCCACACCCTCAAAGCAGTTAGTAAGGAAATATTGCCTGTTCTCAGACTAGAGGGTGGGAACTGCTATCAAAAGCGGGCTTTGCAGTGGCAATGTTTGTTTACTGCTGCACAGCTAGCATGAGAACCATCAACTACACAAGGTATAACGGGGTAAGCAACATGTAATTTACCATAGTCTTTGGAAGCCCAGAGGAGGCTACGCGAGCTTATGTCCAAGGCAACTGGAAGATCTTCTGTCCAGGCTTCCTTCCCCACTTCTTTGATACTGCTTCCATCAAGGTTCAGCCTCTGAATTGGTTTCCCACTTTCTAGCCAGTACAAGGATGCTCTCTTCCAGTCTAGGAACAGGTGCCAGATAGCAGCCTTCGCACGATAGAGAACCTTCGTCGTCATGCCAGCAAAACTAGTAACCTTAATTTCAGTTCTGCTACAGGTTAGCCAATATAGGTCCCCAGAAGTTATATCAACAGCCGCTTCACAGACTAGGAGGGAAAAAGCAAATGTAAAAAATTAAGCTTCTCCTTCCAGTCTCAATGGAAGTCCAGCTCATCAAGGACGTCCACTTGCAGAACCAACTTCCATTTCCCCTCCCTCTTTCTCCCTGCACATCCTGAAACTGGCTCGGGGGGGGGGACGGGACCTTGGTTAGAGAAGTGCTCCAAAACATTAAATGGTTTGTGCCACCCCCACATGCTTTCTTGAGCTTTCCCTGGCCATTTGCCTATAGGCTTGTCCACACTTCCCCTAGTTCTGTGCCTAGAAAGCACAGGGGACTAAGCAGTTTCGCCTCTGCGCTGCTGCTTTCCTCCCCCACAAAACCTGCTCTTTAGCACTAAATCGGTGCAAACATCAGACCGGATGACTTGATTGACATTTGCTCAGGTTCAGTGGTAAACAGTGAGTCTTCTCAGGGGAAAGCGAAAGCATGAATGAGCCTTATGAAAGCGTGATGGGTCGTTTTTTATTGTCCCAATCTGCTAACACGGCCTGGGGTAGTAATCACACCAATGGTAAAATTCCGTGCATTTCTGGGACACCTTATGTTGCAGGTGTTTCCTTCGTTTCTGGAAGGAAAATGGTAAGTGGTGCCCGGCTGAAATTTGGGGGCACTGCACAGGCGTCAAATGTCCTGGGAGGATTACCTGGAGGTCTTCTGCTGTGTGAAATGCACAATGAAAAGTGCACTGGGGGTGGGGGGATGAGTTACTTGCTGCACAAAATAGGATGAGGGGTAATCTTTAGGGCTAAGCTACCAGCTGCAGAGGAGGATCAGTTCCTCCACCAGTTTTGCTTTTATCCTTTGCGTATTGCCACAGCTTTAATCCACTGTCCATGCTGCATCTGCCAAAGCTGCCGTTGCTCTTTCGCAGCTCTTAGCTGAAACACTCCTTGTAGAGGGAAGGGTTGGGTTAAGGGCTAAGGGCTTTTCAAGTTACAGGAACATGGAAGCGAGCCCTGTGCTGCTGGGAAACTACCGTATTTTTTGCTCTATAAGACTCACTTTTTCCCTCCTAAAAAGTAAGGGGAAATGTGTGTGCGTCTTATGGAGCGAATGCAGGCTGCGCAGCAATCCCAGAAGCCAGAACAGAAAGAGGAGTTGCTGCTTTCGCTGCGCAGCGATCCCTCTTGCTGTTCTGGCTTCTGAGATTCAGAATATATTTTTTCTTGTTTTCCTCCTCCAAAAACTAGGTGCGTCTTGTGGTCTCGTGCGTTTTATAGAGCGAAAAATACGGTATTTCCCAGACCTCTTGTACTCCCTCTTCCCATTGCAAGCCACCACAGCTAAAGCAGAGGTGCTGAACAGGCAAGGAAGTTTCCTTACTTCCTCACACATGACTTCAAAAGTCATATCTTTCTGCTGAAACATTTGTCGTCATTGGTACTTAGAGCACTTAGAAGTAGCTGTAAGGTTTCAGGCAGATGTGCACATATTTTCTGGCCTGTCTACAAATCCTTTTAAACGGATGCAAAGCATGAGCTCTCCCATAGACAAAAGAGCCTTCTCCAATGGGCGAAGATTCCAAAGCTAGTCGCAGGCAGAAGTACTGCTTTCTACCCCATCCCTTTCCTCTTTGTGCAATGCACTCCTAAGAAGCAGCAGAATAGTGACCTTGCTTGTTCTGCTATGGCACTATCTGTCAGATCTGTGTTTGAAGACTTACTGTACTCCTGTGCAAGGCCTCACTGGCTTCTATGGCCTTTTGCTTCGTCTCTTCCCTGTCCAGAGCACAGACCGTAGACTAGAGATCCTAAAGTTATGTTGAGTCAAGTAAGAAATTAGGGGTTACGGCACTGCGGCAGCTGGACCACATTGCGCCAAACACTGGACTGGTTACAGGAAGTGTATCCATAAGATAATTATACCATTAACTCTAGCTGCAAGGACTGAATCACGAAATGGGCAAAGAGGTAAACTGCTGTTCCCTTAGCATCCTGCACTGTCTGCATGTTGATGCTTTAGGGCAGCCTTTCTCAACCTGTGGGTCCCCAGATGTTGTTGGACTGCAACTCCCATCACCCCTAGCTAGCAAGGCCAGAGCTCAGAGATGATGGGAGTTGTAATCCAACAACATCTGGGGACCCACAGGTTGAGAACCGCTGCTTTAGGGAGTAAATATAGTCTGGAGCAGATTGGAAACCAACCAACCAAGTAAATTCTCTTCCAAACCCATTTCTTGTCTTGGCACCATCATTAGGAGTTTGTTTTAGAAGTCCATGCTTCATTTGCATAGAAGCTCTACAGCAATGAACAGGAGCTCACCTGGCGAACCTGTAGGAATTATTAGTTTCGCTTTCGTCTCTTCAGTGAAGCGCATCAGTTCTCCTTTGTCATCAGTCCAGTAGATGAATCCCCTGCTCCAGTCCATGTCCTGGAAATAGACGTTTTCTGGCCACTCCTGAATCACTTCATGCTGCTGCAACACTGTCCCCTTTGGGTCAACTTCCAGCCGGTAGATTTGCTTGTTAGTAGAATACAAGACATTCAGCACTGCAGGAAGAGTACAGGAATTGAGGAACAGGTCTTGCACAACTTGCTAGCCATCCCAGCTCAGTGTCACCATATTACTCAACCCAAGTACTGCTCTTGCTATGACAAATAGAACAGGTTATGACTTCAGTAGTCACCTGGGCATCTTATAGGCTTGATACCTGCACCGTCTGATTTTGGTGCTAGAGTAGCAAGTTGATGCTCAAGTAGTCATGCTAGTTGCTCAGAGTCAGTTTAAAGCTATAGATGAGATGCTGGGGAAGCATTTATTACCACAAGCATTCTGGCCAATTGGATTTTGCATTTACATTAAAGCCAACTGAAGACAGACCTGCTTTAACTTACTATGACAGGAAGGCTGAAGAGGTCACCCAGCCTTCCCATAGCTCTACAATGCAATGTTTTGTTTTCTTAAGTGTGTCAAAACATGGTGGTGGACCAAAACAGGAGATTCAAAACAGTCCTGTCTGAAACTGAGCTTCTGGGACTGTGTGACAGGTTTCTATCCAAATCATGGACACATCTCCATTCTAATCAACAGCTAGATAAAATTTAGCACCAGCAGTTTCTCATAAATTCCCCAGAATGCAATGCAGCATAAGCTCATCTGAACACTGGTGTTTAACCCACCCCACAAAGAGGGATTCTCAAAGTAGTTTGTGGAAGGATTTTCACCCCAGATTTAAAAGAACAAGCCTACCTGCACATTGGTTTGAAGGCAGGAGGAAAGTGCCATCTGGACAGGCACACCTGTAGCCCTTGGGATGAACAGGTGACAAAAGGCAGATATGGCTACACAATCCAGGTGCACAGGCAGCTGTGTTACCTAGTGACCAAGATGACAAGTTAGACCAAGAATGGGTCCACCCCTTCCTAGGTTGAATCCAGTAATTAAACTTAAGTTCCCGTGAATGCACAGACCACGTGTATTGCACGCAAATGCTGAAGTTGATGCCAGCCACAGAATTCAGCAGTATGAGAAGATGGTTCTCATTTTCAGGCTCACCCCATCCACAGAACTTAAAACATGTGTAAGACACCAAGGCAGCTATTTAGATAGCAAGAGCAAGCAGTTGTCTAAACCAGGGTTTCCCCATCTTGGGTCGCCAACTGTTTTTGGACTACAGTTCCCATCATCCCTGACCACTGGTCCTGCTAGCTAGGGATGGTGGGAGTTGTAGTACAAAAAAACAGCTGGAGACCCAAGTTGGGGAAACCCTGGTCTAAATCATACTTGGAGCCATTTTGAGATCAAGCAGGTTGCACACTGACAGAAGGAAGACGCTGTGCAAATTAGGATTTGCCTACTCTGAACATATAGCACCAACCAAATCCCCAACCACCTCACATTTACAGTACAGTTCACATATTAGATCTCAAGCATCAATGCAGCAAATGAATGTTTGAAAAAGGCCGAAACTCAAACAGCTAGGGGGCCAAATTGTCTATGCGGCAGCTTGAGTCTGGGACAAGATCAACTGCACTGCAGTTTAACATTTCAAATTAAAATGTGAAGCGTTAGATTTCTGAAGCAGGCATAGGCAAACTCAGCCCTCCAGCTGTTTTGGGACTACAATTCCCATCATCCCTGACCACTGGTCCTGTTAGCTAGGGACGATGGGAGTTGTAGTCCCAAAAACAGCTCGAGTTTGCCCCTGCCTGTTCTAAAGCTTCCAGAGATTAATATTGAAAGGATGAAAAGCTACTGAAGACAATATGTTTTGTCTTAGACCTCCTTAATAAGCACATTTCTTTCCCTTCCAAGTATCCACACCTGAGGTCAGATATCTACTTAGAGAGCAAAGGGGTGGGGGCCTATACTTCAAGGCCCATGGGCCTTCTAGCTCTAAAGAGATCTTAATATTTTGTGAAGCGTTGTTCAAGGCTGCATTGGAGACGCACTCCCTACACAGGGACAGGACTCCTTTATATTGGACACTTCTGCTTTTGTGTTAGGCGCATAGAGGACCTTGTATGTGGAGGCTTAAGCATGTGCATGCTTACCTAGCTGCATGTTCTGCCGAACAGAGCTCTTGGAATGCTCCCAACTGGGAGATACTTCCAAGTCCAACTGGTGGCCATTACAGTAGTTATGGCTGTCAAGTTTCAGATTCTTGAGGAAGCAAAACTGAAGGTTGTAGCAGGACAACTCTATGGTAGAACAGTACCATTGGGGTTTATAGCCTTTGGGTCACCTTAAGCACCCTTGGGCCCAAGACAGGCCACCTGCCCGCTCCCCCAACCAGACATGTACCCAGCCCTCTACCAAGACAACAGTCGGTTTGTTAATATTAACTCTGCCTGGTCATGGGTATAGGTATTTAAAGGCAACACACATGGAAATGAGGAAATGAAATAGCCATTCCTGCTACCAGACATGTCTTGCTCATAGCTATGTAGCTAGAGAGATTTAAAAATTGGTTTTATTTTTTTAAAAAATGCTTCCAATCCACCCTTCATAAAAAATTTTGATCTCGGGAGTTTTACTTACTTTGAGGCTGCAGTAGCTCATGCAGTACTGTGAACGAAGACACTGAAGAGTTCAGCAACACGCCGACACCTGGGGAGGTGCGGGATGCAGAGAGCACTTGCTCTTTGTCTGCCCAAATGATGGAATTCTCAAACACAGCGAGTCCCAGAGGGGTCCGTGCTTTCAGCAGCTTCTCTGGGAAAGTGTACCTGCCAGTGCCATCGGCCTTGATAGTCTCTATGGACTGAAGAGCAGAAATGCCAAGTCAGAATTCCCAAACCAGACTGAGGGGACTAGCAGTCAAGCGCTTCAAGTGACAATTTCTATAGCCTTCGCCAGCTAATGAGCAGTTCACCTGAAGGTTTGGGGAGTACTGCTGCCTGCCCACCAGAACACCAAGCCAATTCAGAAGTGCTGGTGTGGAACACACACACACACACACACACACACACACACACAAAACTCCTGTTGTTTACTGTGCTATTATCTTCCCATCGCCGCCTGCGTGGGCTACATTATAGTGCAGACAGCTCAACTAGAGTCAAGGCAACCAAACAAGGTTCATGTCCCAGGTGTACACTAAAACCACTGTTCAGTTTACTGAGCAAAGCCTTCCTCCAGAGGTTATGTACAGACACATGCCATATGTAATTGCACCACTGTGCATTTGCCGCCTCAAACCAAGGTTTTGCATTTTTCTTTGTGGACAGCCCTTAAAACTACACTTCATTAAGAGATTCCTAGAGCACCAAAGCAGTCACAAAATTAAAAGAGGCCTGCTTCTTGGGAGAAAAGCAATGACAAACCTAGACAGCATCTTAAAAAGCAGAGACATCACCTTGCCAACAAAGGTCCATATAGTTAAAGCTATGGTTTTCCCAGTAGTGATGTATGGAAGTGAGAGCTGGACCATAAAGAAGGCTGATCACCGAAGAATTGATGCTTTTGAGTTATGGTGCTGGAGGAGACTCTTGAGAGTCCCATGGACTGCAAGAAGATCAAACGTATCCATTCTTAAGGAAATCAGCCCTGAGTGCTCACTGGAAGCACAGATCCTGAAGCTGAAGCTCCAATACTTTGGCCACCTCATGAGAAGAGAAGACTCCCTGGAAAAGACCCTGATGTTGGGAAAGATGGAGGGCACAAGGAGAAGGGGACGACAGAGGACGAGATGGTTGGACAGTGTTCTCGAAGCTACCAGCATGAGTCTGACCAAACTGCGGGAGGCAGTGGAAGACAGGAGTGCCTGGCGTGCTCTGGTCCATGGGGTCACGAAGAGTCGGACACGACTAAACGACTAAACAACAACAACAGAGGGCCAAAGGCTTAAGTGGCTTCTGTCAACTTCAGCTGGTGGCCCAGCTGCACCCCTATCTGGACAGGGATCACCTAGATTATGTTGCCTACACTCTGGTAACCTTTAGGTTAGATTACTGCAATGTGGGACTGCCTTTGAAGATCTGAACCTGGAGAAAAGTTGGACAGCTGGTTTGGACTAGCCAATGCAAGACTGTCTGAACATATAAACACCAATTTTGGCTAACTGCACTAGCTTTGAATCCTGCTCGCAACTTCATTTGGCTATAGTGCTTCCTCAAATAGTCCAAAAGGGACTACCACCCCACATTTTAACAGGCTTGCTCTACTGTTCAAGGCTGCCAGCTCACTTAGAGCCACATTAGACATGGCATGCATTGTACAGCATTTTATTTTTTTTAAGTAAGTGTGTGGGGGGGTTGGTACTGTGAGTTGTGAGTGCAGGGAAAGAGGACCTTCAAACCCTTGTCCTTGCCATGCTGTGACTGCAACAGCACCAAACCCACCAGACTTTCCAGCATGGGAGAAAAGCTTCTGTTGCTACCAGATCACAATGAAATGTTACATCAAGATGCTACAGACTTGACATGGGCTTCTTTGTGAATTTCCGGTGGATCGAGTTTCATACCTTTTTATACGCACTGATCCAGTACAATCTGCTAGTTATATGATCAAGAGTCAATCCAACAGGGTCTTCAGCGGTTACGATTGCAAGTACGTGTCTGTCTGAACCATCCATCCCCGCAGCTTCGATTACAGTCCTGCCTTGTTCACGATTCACCCAATACATGTAGCTGCAATAAAGAGAGGTGATCAGAGGACTGCACCATGTTACTGGGCTACTCAGCACTGCAGGAGCAGCATCTAATATGATTGTTTTGGGACCAGCTACTCTTTGGCATGGGGATGAAGGTGGTGCTGCGGGTTAAACCACAGAGCCTAGGACTTGCCGATCAGAAGGTCGGCGGTTCGAATCCCCGCAATGGGGTGAGCTCCCGTTGCTCGGTCCCTGCTCCTGCCAACCTAGCAGTTCGAAAGCACATCAAAGTGCAAGTAGATAAATAGGTACCGCTCCAGTGGGAAGGTAAACGGCGTTTCCCTGTGCTGCTCTGGTTTGCCAGAAGCGGCTTAGTCATGCTGTCCACATGACCAGCTGTACGCCAGCTCCCTCGGCCAATAAAGCGAGATGAGCACCGCAACCCTAGAGTCAGCCACGACTGGACCTAATGGTCAGGGGTCCCTTTACCTTTACTCTTTGACACACTTAAGAGCAGAGCATGTCACACATCTCACTATTTCCACCCACAAGGAACATTTTCTTCCAAGTTAACACCTGAACAGATCCTGAAGTGCCTTGATACATCAGTGCTGTGGCTAAGCTTTCCAAGTTCCAGAATTCCTTTCTGCCACAGACTTATTCTGGCTACAGCCAGCTCATATGCAGGACCTCAAGCTGGACCACATTGTGTGTTTTCAGTGGCCAGTCACGCAAGGCCTGCCTTTCATCACAGAAGTTGCAACACAAGGGACGCAGGCTTGGGTGAGTGGGGATTACATGCAAGTACTCCTAGGAATTTGACTGGTAATTGTGTTGAGAGGGCAAAGGAGATCTTTATGCACTCTCAGAGGCATCTTTATATGTCCCAGGGCTAAGTGCTAGCTCCAAAATATTCCAGCTGAAGAACACCTTCATTCTCCGTACCTTGCATATAAATCCACTCAAGCCTTTAAACCAGTGTTTCCCCAACTTGGGTTTCCAACAGCTTTTGGACTACCACTCCCATCATCCCTGACCACTGGTCCTGCCAGCTAGGGATGGTGGGAGTTGTAGTTCAAGAATAGCTGGAGACCCAAGTTGGGGAAACACTGTCCTAAACGCTCTCATCCTATTAAATTATCTAGGGGCAATTCTGCTACACTCCTGGAAGTGTCACTATAAACGCATTACTCACCTTTGCCCATTTAGATTCAGTATTCAAAATGCCTTGGATACAAGCAAAACTTATTTGGGATCCACATAATCAACAGATGCTTTATTGCATATCCAAACTAAGAATGGAACATGTATAGCTACGGACAGGGCATTAATTTGCTACCAGATTTTCTAGTTACCTCCACCACCACCCACCTCCATGTTTCTTCTACAGACACTCACTTTCCTACACACAACATCCATTTGGGAAATCCGCTTCCTGGAGCTCTGTGGCTGACTTGGCTATGGTATGCCTACGGTAGAATAGGAAACTGCAGTACTGTACCTTAAGCGCTGCAGTGGGTCATCTAAAAGGAAGCAGCCTTTCAGATTTCACCCTTAACATGCGCCCATCCCTAGTAAAGCAATAGGGACTTCAAGCCAGGCTATTCCAGACAGATTCCAAGTCACGGCAGTGAAGCAAGGAATGTTTACCTTTTTTCTGGAAACGTAGCGAGTTGTTCTGGCAACACGTTCTTCTCCAGGATCTTCACGTAGCCTCTGCCATCACTCAGGCCAGCAAAGATGGCACCAGGGGCACTGCTGGTCCAATATAACTGCCCTGTGAACCAGTCTACAGATATACTGTTGACACTGCCAGCATCTAGGAGAGAAACATTTATAGAAGCTCAGTAGTTTCATAACCCTTGGGATCTTGGGACTCAGCTACATTAGTCAAAAAACAATGCTTTGAATGCATTAAGCATATAACACCAGATGGCGCTGGAGAGCAAAAAAAAAATATTTGCAATTTTACATAGCTTTTTTTTTCTTTTCATAGAATCATACAGTTGGAATAGACCACAAGGGCCATCGAGTCCAACCCCCTGCCAAGCAGGAAACACCATCAGAGCACTCCTGACATATGGTTGTCAAGCCTCTGCTTAAAAACCTCCAAAGAAGGAGACTCCACCACACTCCTTGGCAGCAAATTCCACTGTTGAACAGCTCTTACTGTCAGGAAGTTCTTCCTAATGTTTAGGTGGAATCTTCTTTCTTGTAGTTTGGATCCATTGCTCCGTGTCCGCTTCTCTGGAGCAGCAGAAAACAACCTTTCTCCCTCCTCTATATGACATCCTTTTATATATTTGAACATGGCTATCATATCACCCCTTAACCTCCTCTTCTCCAGGCTAAACATGCCCAGCTCCCTTAGCCGTTCCTCATAAGGCATCGTTTCCAGGCCTTTGACCATTTTGGTTGCCCTCCTCTGGACACGTTCCAGTTTGTCAGTGTCCTTCTTGAACTGTGGTGCCCAGAACTGGACACAGTACTCCAGGTGAGGTCTGACCAGAGCAGAATACAGTGGCACTATTACTTCCTTGATCTAGATGCTATACTGCTATTGATGCAGCCCAGAATTGCATTGGCTTTTTTAGCTGCCGCGTCACACTGTTGACGCGGCAGCTAAACTGTTTTGTTAGGAGGATTTAATTTCTGACTTATTTATTGTGTGAACTATCCAGCCAGCAGTGGCAGCCAGCGGAGATGCACGTTTACTGTGGCTGCTGCTGCTTTCCTGCTGACTGAGAAAAGCCGCTCCACCTCAGTGCCAGTGGAAGGTAGTGCCGTGGTGCCTTGACGTGAGGGCAATCAGCTGCCCTGTTCTCCTTTAGGATGAGGGAAGGCAGCTCAGATCAGCAGCGTTATCAGCAGAGATCATTGTGCGATATCCGTAGTGCCTTGAAATCGGCTGTCCTCTCCCTCGAGCGAGAAGTATTATATTGCTGTGTATTGCCGCGTCAAAATCGTTACCGCAGTGTCATTTCAAAACTGATTTTGGCCAATACAGTCGTACCTTGGTTCTCGAACAGAATGAGTTCCAGGAGTCCGTTTGACCCCAGAACCATTTGAAAACCAAGACAGCTTCCGATTGGCTGCAGGAGCGTTTGGCTTCCAAAAATTTTCGATCGTTCGGGAGCCAAAACGTACGAGTTCCAAGGCGTTCGGCAACCAAGGTATGACTGTATATTGAAAAAATTGCTAAAGACCATAAAATCTGTGGTATTGCCATGCAAAAATGACAAAAAATTAGTTAGGGGTGAGGCAAGGGATGGGGCCATGGAGGACCCCCCGGGTGTGTTCCCCGGACCCCCCAGAAGTCCCCAGACCACTAATTTGGAAGCACTGCTCCAGAAACAAACTCCTGTAAGAGGAAGTTTAAAACTCTGCTTGGGAGCATGAACAGGAAACTTAACAAATCCCCGTGCTGCTTTTGTGCTGTATTTTAATTTGCCATGCCACTCCACTTAGGATTCCCATTTAACCCACTAATAGCTGAAAATATTGCTTTCGCAGCCAATCCCTGTCTGGAATTACAAATCATGTTGGGAGCTCAAACAGGACTACCAAGGAGGATGCAAGGGTTTGTCTTGTCCATAAAAGGCAAACCCACCTATTTATTTATTTTTAAAATAATTTTTATTAAATTTTCCATTTTAACAATTCAATCAAATCACATTAAATATTCCAAATTATAAAAATACATATCATATAGTCCAAATATTCTGCCAAATTATAAATTTTTATTGGGGCTTCCCATGCTTCAAGTTCAGTGGGGCTCTGATCATCTTATATCTCTACTGCCTTGAGTTTCCAATAGTTCCTTTAATTCTTCCTGTTGTTACCTTTCCTAACAGGCAAACCCACCTAGATTGTTACTCCAAAAGTAGAATGTAGCATCCAACCAAGGAAGAATAGAGTCTACGCCACCATGTTTTCAGCTCAGAATATCTAGTCTTTTTACATATGCAAGGAATATTCTGTCCAGCCGCTAAGAAAATAAGCACCTGCTTTCAGGATTCAGGCCACTTATTAAAATTATGTCCAAGTGCTTTAAGTGATGTTATTTGTTGCATTTACATTTAAACAGCAATTACTACTTATGCGCCTATGGCATGTGTTGCATGTTGTTCTGTCCTTCTTCACCTACTTTAAACCTCAGGCCAAGTGAACAACTGGTCAGAAGCTCACCCTGTTAGCATCATTTTTCCAGTCCAGCACCACCCACTATATTGCACCAGCTCTCGGTGTACTTTTAAAGATCACTGCTGAGAAGCCTTGCCACAGGCTTCCAAGGACACAATGGGGTGCCGTAGTATTTGGCCAATGACTTAGTAACTGCAAGTATATTAGGAGCTTTCTATAGATAAGGATGCAGTTACTGCAAGTATATCAACAGCTTTACCTGGATACAGAAGCATCTCATTTTTTCCTGGTACATAGATATGAAGCTTTCTTCCTTCATCAACCCAATAATAGGCTTTCCTTAACGAGTCGTAGGCAACAGAGCTGGGCGATGTCCTTATAGACATTAGAGTTTTCAGTTCATGAGTTTTTACATCCAGGACAGCAAAATCACGACCAACAGCCAGAAGTATTTTTGTAGCACCATCTGGAGGAGATTTTTCATTATTAGGCCTTGTCCCAGAATGCAATCCTGCTCATTATTAGCTGTTGAGCTATAGAAAATCTAGCCAGTAAGAAGATATTCAAGCTGTATCCAATAGCCTTACTTACTAGAGTTGTCCTTTATGGGAGACATCTGTTAAATATCTCTGCTTAGTAGCACTGCACATACCCAAACTAAGACATGCAATCCTAACTTTTTGTTGCTTTTTGTATTCTAACCTCACATATTGTCTGTTGAGAACATGCGGTTAACTTGCCCACAAGAGCTCAACTCCCCTCCATTTGCCAGAAACCTGAGCATTACCTCTACAAAAGAAATTACAAGCGTACCAACTTTTGCCAAGCTAGGCAGTCTTGTGCTTCCCATGTCTCCACCTCCCTGCAAATCAGCACTGAGAGCTGGAATTCATGCTCCATGGACCTGAGGGCCTACCTGCAGTCCTACAAGTAGTTCCGTTGGAGAGCCAGTACCCATGGACACAGTCGCAGGTAAAAGAACCTACTGTGTTCTTGCACAACTGGCTACAAGGACCGTAAGCCATTGCACACTCATCAACATCTGCAATGAACAAGCAGAGTCAGTGTAATGTACATAAAGTTCCTGTAGTCTGGGAAGGGCTGCTATGGCCATGAAGCACTACTAGCTTCTTAGAGCTATTTATTATTATGATCAATGCAATTTATTATATGATTACTATATAGTTATTTAAACCACTTGCATTTATTTAAACTACTTTTTCCACTTGCAGGATTCAAGGTGGCCTACGGATATGAACAAGAATTGCTAAAAACAGAAAGGCAGCCATTAAAAACAATTTAACTACACACACACATACATAGAATCTGTTTGAAACATACAAATAATTACAATAGAAACAGTACCAGTCAATTGATTAAGAGTAGCCAATTCCCAAAAGCCTGTTGGAAAAAGTAGGTCTTCATCTGCTGGCGGAAGGACAAGGAGCCAGCCGGTCTGGCTTCTCTAGGGAGGGAGTCCAGAGTCTGGGAGCAGCCACCAAGAAGGCCCTCTCCCACATTCCCAACCAAGAGCGCCTGTGAGAATGGTGGGACCAAGGGAAGGGCCTCCCCTGAACATCTCAAAACCGGGGCAGGATTGTATGTGGGATTTCGGTCTTTCACATGGCTTGGACCCCAGCCATGTAGGACTTTATAGGTCAGAACTCTGAATCTGTGGCAACATCAAGGTCTATTTTGATGCTGATCATCGATTTCCTTACTTGGACAGCTTGGGTGTCTTGGCATCCCAAGACCTCCTTGTGAAAAGCAGTATTCAAGCCAACTAGGAAGGCTCTTCTAGCCAATTGGTATCCAAGCTAGTGGGTTAGGACCAACTACTGAGAGTCGCAGTCTGCTCTATGGCATATTTCAAAAGCAGCACTACCACCATACAAAAAATGATTTAAAAAATCAGGTCCTCAAATGCATATCTGGGATAAAAATGGGTCTTTGGTCAGAAAAGGTTGAAGATTGTTATAGTGTCCCAGGATATATGAATGGTCACAACTTGCAGTTTAGAGAACTTTCTCCAGTTCTAAAATAGTGACCGCCTGTTTTATTTTACATATACCTGCACAGTCTTGACCATTGCCATGAAGATTCCAACCAGGACCACACGAACACCTCACACCCCAATGAGTCTCAGTGCACATCTGCATGCAGCCTCCATTGTTCAGAGTGCAGTTCTTACCTAGATGCATAGAACAAGAGTTAAACAGAGCTGACACCCTCTAACAGCTGACTAGAAGACTCTTAATTATTTACTATACGAGTGTAAACAGTTAATTACCGCAGGTGCTGGGTTCATCGGTGCCATCTAAACAGTCTTTCACTTCGTTGCACATTAGAGATTCCATAATGCATTTCCCTTTATCACAGTGGATCATTCCTTCTGGGCAGTAAGCTGTAAATTAGTTAGATTTATGCACAAGGTTAAATGTGTCAGCAACCAGTTCAAGACATCTAATGTATTGTGCGCCCTATTCCATTTCCTAGAATATTTACACATTGCCTGAGTGTATCTACTACCATTGTAGTCCAGTTTGTTACACAGCCAATGGAAAAAATAATTTAATACCGTATTTTTCGCCCTATAGGACGCACTTTTCCCCCTCCAAAAATGAAGGGGAAATGTGGGTGCGTCCTATGGGGCGAATACAGGCTTTCGCTGAAGCCTGGAGAGAGAGAGGCTCTCGCTCTCCAGGCTTCAGGAAGCTCTGCACAACCCTCTGGAGCCTGGCGCCAAGCCGTGCCGGCCTCCGGAAGGTCACGCAGAGCTCCCTGCGCTCCCGGGCTCCGTGCAGCTCTGCGCAACCCTCTGGAGCCCGGCGTCAAACCGCGCCGGCTTCTGGAAGGTCGCGCAGAGCTGCCTGCCCTTCCAGGCTCCCCACAGCTCTGCGCGACCCTCCGGAGCCTGGCCCCAAGCCGCGCCGGCTTCTGGAAGGTCGCGCAGAGCTGCCTGCCCTTCCAGGCTCCACACAGCTCTGCGCGACCCTCCGGAGCCTGGCCCCAAGCCGCGCCGGCTTCTGGAAGGTCGCGCAGAGCTGCCTGCCCTCCCAGACTCCACACAGCTCTGCGCAACCCTCCAGAGCCTGGCGCCAAGCTGCGCCGGCCTCCGGAGGGTTGCACAGAGCTGCCTGCATTTTGAAGCCTCTTAAGCGCACCCGGGCTTCGCACAGCTGTCCGCAAGCCTGGGGAAACCGGCGTGGCTCCCTAGGCTTGCGGATAGCAGGCTGTTCTGGGGGCTGGGGTCGGGGGAAGCTCGGGCTTCCCCCGCGCCAGCCCCGTGCCTGGGGGGGAAATACATTTTTTTCTTTATTCCCCCCCCCAAAAAAAAACTAGGTGCGTCCTATAGGGCGGTGCGTCCTATGGGGCGAAAAATACGGTAATTTCCTCAGCCACTCTAGGTGGCTTCCAACGAAGTATTAAAATACAATAGTCTATTAAATGTTAAAAGCTTCCCTAAACAGGGCTGCCTTCAGATGTCTTCTAAAAGTCAGGTAGTTGTTTATTTCCTTGACATCTGATGGGAGGGCATTCCACAGGGCAGGTGCCACTACCGAGAAGGCCCTCTGCCTGGTTCCCTGGCTTCTCGCAGTGAGGGAACCACCAGAAGGCCCTCGGCACTGGACCTCAGTTTCCGCGCAGAATGATGGGGGTGAAGATGCTCCTTCAGGTATGCTTTATAAGAAATGCTTTATAAGACAGGTTCAAGATACTGATTAAGCCTCTGAACGGTTTCAGCACTGGATATGTGAAGAGTGATGTTTTAATTTGCCCTGTTCTAAGACAAATCTGTCTGATACCAGCTCCAGATATTGGTATTAAAGACATGGTGTAATCTACTTTGCTAGAATATTAGGGTAGCACCCAATAAAATACATCTTAAGTTAGTACCAAACAAGTTTATGCATCTGAAAAAGTCTAATTCTGAAGAAAACAGCATCCTTAGTTTTCAAACACATGTCCACCGCAGCCAAAGTCTTAAGGTGAGTTTGGACAAGATGCAACAAGTTTTTAAAAATTAAAATATACCAGCATGGGCGTAGCCAAGGTGAGTCGGGGGGCAGCTGCCCCCCAAATCAAGTAAAATAGAAATACTTAACTGAGCAATCACGTTGGTTCTGCCCCCAACAGAAGTCCTGACCCCCTTAACAAAAATCCTGGCTACACCCATATATACCAGCAGAAGAAGAAGAAGAAGAGTTTGGATTTGATATCCCGCCTTTCACTACCTGAAGGAGTCTCAAAGCGGCTAACATTCTCCTTTCCCTTCCTCCCCCACAACAAACACTCTGTGAGGTGAGTGGGGCTGAGAGACTTCAGAGAAGTGTGACTAGCCCAAGGTCACCCAGCAGCTGCATGTGGAGGAGCGGAGACGCGAACCCGGTTCCCCAGATTACGAGTCCGCCGCTCTTAACCGCTACACCACACTGGCTCTCAGCAGTGTGCAATGCAGCATCTTATTAAACTGGGTTCCCTCATCTTCAACATACAGTAGCAGAAGACCTTAAACCAGCTCTGTCAAATACTTCCCAGCAAGTTTTTAAACCCCTAACAAAACTGAATCCTGTGTGAGGGGGGAAGGGGAAGTTACTTGAAAACTTGCAGGTTCCAAATCTTGGGAAGCAGTTTTAGAAAAACTACTGCCCAAACAGTTTTGTACTTTTAAACAAACTTTATCCAAACCATCTACTGAAAGTTGCAGCCTGATAATCTCTTCCTGATACGTCTTCAGAGGGCAACTACATGAAGTCTCAAGGACAACTTTTTAAGATGCATTTTCACAAATGGATGGGCAATTATATGTCTCTGAAAGGAGGCCAAGCTGCTTACCACAACCATCTTCATCCGAGCGGTCGCCGCAGTTGTCTATGCCATTGCACTTCCAGTCCTCCATAACGCACACTCTGTTCTTGCACTGCCATTGTCCAGCCAGGCAGTTTCTCGGGGGACAGTTTGCTTCATCAGAACCATCTTCACAATCTTTATGCTGATCACATACTTTCCAGGGATCAATGCACTGCTTATTTCCTCGGCATGGAACTTTGTCTCCACAAACTGCAATGATATTGGAGCAACAGAATGGATGACTTGCCCTTCTAATCCTTCATTCATGTGGTCAACACTTTGAGGTGCTCCAAGCTCAATCCACTAGGAGGAAGGCTATGTGAAGGTCTAGGTTGGAAACTACCCCATCCTTCAACAGCAGACAAATGTTGTCTGTGTTAAGTTGTGGGTGAACATATCAGACGACACAGCGATTCTTCAAACAGCTCTTGTTTATTTACAGGCCAGAACAGAACTGGACTGAAGGGTTCAGTCAGCCTGCTTATATAGAGCTCCAGTACAACGTAACTGTAACAATTTTCTAAAACTATCCAATCACTGAACGTCACTTTCGATCCAATCCCTTATTTGCATAACTATCTACAGTATCCCCCTTCTGGCCCAGGGTGAGAACTTCAGTACATAACAGTCTGGAATACCATGCTTAAGTAATATGCATTGTGAGTGCATAAGGACTTGTGTTCAGTTCCCAGAACCTCCAGTTGAAGTCTACAGACTAAGAAAAGATCTCTCCACAAGACCTTGAGAGCAAGGGGAGCTGGGTTATAGGTGGACCAAAGGCACCACATGTTCAAAGTTCAGGTAAGAAGAGTTTCTCAGAGACATGTGGAATATAAGACTGCTGAAGTGTTCATAGGAAAGTTTTAGAGATGAGGACTTATTTTCTTGCTAGAGGACTCCTTGTCCCTCGCATGCAGGCAGCTTAACCCACCCTAAGTGCCGATACCGCCCTTTTGGATAAAAACGCTTCTCTTTATTTGCCTTCACCTTGCCCCAGCGTTATAACATAATACACCTCATGTAGTTTCCAAAGGGCTTACCAGCTGCAATGAAGGGACAAAACATTCAACTGCCTTGAGTTTCAGAAGTTGGTATTATTAGTAACTGGGAAAATAAGGCAGCCACCTCTTACTGCAGCAGAATCTAGGCTGAACACTGCAGAAAGTGCAGTGGTACCTTGGCTCTCAAACTTAATCCGTTCTGGAAGTTCGTTCCAAAACCAAGTTGCACTTTCCAATAGAAAGTAATGCAAAATGGATTAATCCGTTCCAGACTTTTAAAAACAACCCCTAAAACAGAAATTTAACATGAATTTTACTAGTTATAGGTAGGTAGCCGTGTTGGCCTGCTATAGTTTAAACAAAATTTAAAAATTCCTTCCAGTAGCACCTTAGAGACCAACTAAGTATGTTATTGGTATGAGCTTTCGTGTGCATGCACACTTCTTCAGAATTTTACTAACGAAACCATTTATCCATAAAATGAAAGCAATAAATGTACTGCAGTCACACAATCAATCAATCAATCAGTAGCTGAATTGGGTTCCACACAGTCACACAAAAAAAGAACCACAAAAACGCAAAATAGCAAAAACAGACAGACCTCAGCATAACACTCAAAATGGAAGTGTGGCACTCAAATCAGAAGTGTAACACTCAAAACGAAGCATGTTCGGCTTCCGAAAAAAGTTAGTAAACCAGAACACTTACTTCCGGGTTTGCAATGTTTGGGTTCCAAGTTGTTTGAGTACCTAGGTGTTTGAGAAACAAGGTACCACTGTACCAGCAGAAGCCCAGATGATAGTACTCCCTTCAGCATTTTGCCTTCCTACTAGGGATGAGGTTATTCCTTCCCTCATCTGCCAGCAGCTAAGAAGCAGGGCTCGGCTGAAAGACCAGCTCCATCCGTGTTGAGAACAAGGATTGCCCAGCCTCTCTTAGTGTAAGGAAAAATTTATATTGGACTTTAAGCTGGCCTCTGCTTCAACAGCTTCTGCGCTGGGGGTTGCCTACAGCAAACTCTTCATTCAGTCAAGAGATGAAGGAGATAAATGCAAGGGGCATCAGTTGCACTGCACCACAGAGAAAGCCGGAGAAGCAAAATACCCAGGAAATGTTGAAAAATGGTTTTGAACGTACCACAATTCTCTTCATCTGAGCCATCCATGCAATCACTGACCCCATCGCAAAGCCAAGTAGCAGAAACGCAGCTTCCATCTTTGCACTGCCATGCATTTGGATCACCACGACATCCTTCGTCTGAACGATAAAAGTTATTTAGCTTGATTTAACACTGTACTTAGCTGGAGTGGTTAGGTACTCTCCCTTTTTAATAATAATAATTTATATTTATACCCCGCCCTCCCCAGCCAAGGCCGGGCTCAGAGCGGCTTACAAGCAATAATAAAAACAAGTTGAATGATTACAACTTAAAAACAAGATTAGAATACAACATTAAAATATTGAAACATTAAAATATTAAAATGTAGCCTCATCGCAGGAGGAGAAAGAAAAGAAAAAAGAAAGAGAGGGAGGGAATCAAATTGGCTCCAAGCCAAAGGCCAGGTGGAACAACTCTGTCTTACAGGCCCTGCGGAATGAAATCAGATCCTGCAGGGCCCTGGTCTCATGAGGCAGAGCGTTCCACCAGGCTGGAGCCAGAGTTGAAAAGGCCCTGGCTCTGGCTGAAGCCCATCTAACTTCCTTAGGGCCCGGGACCACTAGGGTGTTGCTATTTATGGACCTTGAGGCTCTCCGTGGGGCATACCGGGAGAGGCGGTCCCGTAGGTACGAGGGTCCTAGGCCGTGAGGACCTTTTAAAAGAATGTTGCCTTTAGGGTAGTTGCGAAGGAGGACTTTAGTAGCCTGGGAAGTTGCTTTGAAATTAACGTCCACCGCAGAGATGCTACAGTTTAAAGGACTTGGCATGCATAATAAAATTATTTCATGAAATTTATACACCGCTTGATTAATGTTTTCAGAAAGCAGTTTACTAAAAAAAAACATGGATACACAAGTTATCTTGGAAAGACATTAGCTTAACCATTGAAGTGACTAGGGAAAACAGTTTCAGCTGTCCCAGGAAACAACAAACTGTTAAAAGTCCATCTCAAAATGTTTATCAGAAGCCTTGGTATCCAACCTTGGCAGGCTCAGATTTAGATTTGATGGGGCCCTAAGCTGCTGAAGGTAATGGGGCCCTTTATATGTCCAGCTGTCCTTTGTCAACAACAAATTGTCACTGTTTTTTGTGTTGAATATACGCTATATGGTAATTTATGGACCTAATAGGTATCTAAAGTTATTTGTATATAACAAATAGGAGCCAACACAAAACGCTGTTGCTGTATGTAGGTTTTATTTTATTTGTTTTTTATCTTATATTTTGGAAATGTACATCCAGTTTTTTCCCTTTAATTTTTTTTGTGGGCCCCTAAGAGCGTGGGGCTATAGCTTGTTTAGCTTATATGTAAATCCAGCACTGAACCTTGGTCTCCCAAATGGACTCTCAGCCATTTGAAGGCTCTGAAAGGCTTACCACAATGCTCATCTGATCCATCAGGGCAGTCTTGCTCTCCATTACAAAGCCACGTCAAAGGAATGCACTTATCTCCACAGACAGCTTGCTGAGAGATACTGCAAACGTTTCCATCTGTACAAGGCAAATAGGATATAGTCACTCTCTGTCCTTTCCACCCTAACTCCCCCCACCCCAAAAAATCTGCTAGATTGAAGGGGGGGAACCTCCAAAATGGGTTCATGGGGGAGAGGGCGGCACACAGGAAGGAAACCCTACTGCACAGGAAAAAGCCCTTGAACTCATTTTGACACCACCCATAGTTATTTTATTTAACAAGACTCTTTAAAAAGCCAACTTGTTTTTTTTAAAAGCATGATAGTGTACAATAAAGTCATTCAAACGTCACAACATGAAGGATACAAAGCAAAATTCTGTTTATAAACATGCTTTACTCATTTCATTTAGCCTCGCTTCCCCTGTAAGTATCCCTTGAACTACCATGTGGTTTCATTTGTTTATTAAATTTATATCCCACTGGTCCTTCCAAAGAAGCCTAGAGCTGCAAACTAAGGAGATTAAAGACTACTGTGTAAAAAAACAAAAACCCGAAAGCAATGCCAGCTTGAGAGGAGAGAGGCACATCATCCTCCCAAAAAACCAGAGTCCTTTCTGTTGGGGATAATTCAGACTGAAATTCCACTACCACAAGGTGACAAAAAAAGGTTATTTATGTATGCTACTACTGCGCCAGTGTTTTGTTAGCATCAAAATGGAAAACGAGGTCCCAACCAAAGAATGGCAACTTAAGTTGACAGAATATGCACAACTTGCAGAGGCAACACAGAATAAGAGAACTATAAGAACATATGTTTAAAGAAGACTGGAAAACGTTTGTTGAATATATGGGAAATCATTGTGTACAGCTGAAAACGCTGGCAGCCTCAAGATAAATTCAACAATGTAAACAAGTTTTGATGGCTGCAATAATGGAATACCGAATGGAACAGTTTTGTGTAAAATATGCAGGGATTTGTGGTGCGTAAAATGAACCATGGAAAGAGAAGAAGGGAAGTCATTGGTATTTTAAGGGTGTAAAATGAGTTTTTTAAATTGCAAAACAGAAAATTTATACCTATATATATAGCCCACGACCCCACTCCACCTGACCCACTCTCACCTTTGTTGGGGAGCAAACCCCACCCAGTCGCAGTAGCGAAGAGCAGCAGCAGCGCAGCCTGGAGCGTAGCGCGCCCCATAACGCGCGGAAAAAGCGCGCAGGAGCAGCGCGAGAAACAAAGGCGAGCACAGAAAGAATAAAAGAGCGGGGGAAAGCAGCAACGGAGTAGATGCGCGGAGAAGCTTTTAAACCCCGCGCAAGAGTCCCACTGGGTGGGGTAGCGGCTGGGCGCGGCTCCGGCATTTAGAAGTCCCGTTGCGAGGATCAGGCCCTTACTCCTCAGCCAAGCGCGGATGGAGTCGCGAGGCCCTAATCCTGACGCTCCTCCAAGCCCCGGCACCACGTAGCTTGTTTGCAGCAAGACCCGATTACTGCATCCCTTACTAGGGAGTAAACTGCCTTCGCCGCAACAGGGCTTGCTCCCGAGTAAACGCAGATGGAGTTGGCCTGCTTTGTGGTGGCTCCTCCTTTGTGGGAACTCTCTTCTCAGGAAGGCTGGCCTGAGACCAGTTTAGTGGATCTTTAGGCGCCAGGCAAATTTTCCCCCCTCTATCCTTTGGCCTTTAACTTTCTGTGGCCATTTTAGAACTAGGCAGGATATTTTTCATGCTTTTCCTCTTAATGTATCTCTGTTGTCTGTTTGGCTGGTTGTAAGTCAATTTGGGTTTGCCTTGGGCAAGATAAAGTGACTAACTAGAAAAAGCTGTGCTAAAAGGACAATGTTGGTCCAACTCAATCGCTTCTCTTATATCTGTAATAAGAGTATGTTATTACTCAAACCGAATTTGCTTTAGTTTTAATCTGGTTTTGCTGAAGTGATTTGTTAATCTATCAAGGAAACTGTTAGTTTATTTAGTTTTGAATTGTAATTAAGTACTGAATTTATTGGCTCCTGGGTTCTTACAGAGGTAATTTTACTGAGGAAATGCATATAAGGTTACATTCACAGGCGGGGAGGGGAGATGGATTATAATTGCTGGTAACAGGCAGACATTTTAAACTGCCGAATCCTCTTCCGGGCATAAAGCTGCAATATTGTGCTAAGCTTCACCAGTTGAATTCCTGTCTGTTATTGCTGCTGCTAAATGCATACAGACCTTTGTTAGAAAAACAAATATTTCATGCCCAATCATATTGTGAAACTGGTAAACTGCAAGGGACATATTCCAGCCACTTTGAAGAAGGCTTATGCTATGTTTTGATTGATAAATATATTCTAATGTTTCAGGTGCTGAAAATATCATTTATAGCCTTATCTTCAGAAGATGAAAGACTCCCGCTGAAAAGGCAGTTTCGAATGCCAGGGTACCAAAGATCCACAGCTAATTTAGTGGTATGTTACTTAACTTTTGCTAAAAACAATACTATATTCGTTCTTATGAAACCACCATGCACAAGACAGAAAAGTCGGTTCCGAGATAACTGTGATGTCAGGAGCAAGGTTATCCGTCATACCAGCAGTGGGAAAGAGTACTAACAGAATCCTGTCATCAGGAGTAAGTCCCACCAGGTAAATTGAAATTTTGCTCTTTAGGAAGTGCAAAGTACACCCACCTGTCTGTGATTAACTCAACAGGGCTGGCTTCTAATTTGGCATGTACAGAATTGCACTATTAATGTTTATTTTGAGGCAAAAGCTGCTAGCAGTTATGGATGCAGCTGTAACTATTATGAAACCCGCAAAACAGGTATGAGCCACTGACTGTATTCACAATCTTGGACCCTGCTGTTTTAAAAAGCAGATCAAGCTTTTCCCTGAAGACTTATACATATTAAGTAGCAAAGTACAATGTTGAGGGGGTGGGTTCCCTTCAGCAATATTTAATTGTATTGAAAATGTCAATAGGATTCAGCTGTTGCTCACCAGCAGGATCTTACCATGATAACGTGCAATGGCTTTATTTTCAAAAGAAATTTGAGGTCATGTGGCATTTTAAACTTAAAGACATTGTTTCTGTTTAAAAATGATTTCCATTTGATTTTACATGAACACATTTGTATTACGCGAAGGAAAATTAAAATCGTATTATAATAAGAGATTAATGATATTTTGCTAGGCTGCGTAGAATGGCGTTTGTTGGAGCCTAGTTGTATTGCCAGTTTTAGAAGTCTGGTCTTTCTGGCTGACAGCTGGCACGGCAGTTCCAAAACAAAGGAGAATAAAGCTTATGGTGAACCATCTCCACCTCTGAATTCTCTTTCCTGGGTCCTGTCCTTTAATAATAATAATAACAATAATAAAATGTTATTTATACCCCGCCCTCCCCAGCCAAGGCCGGGCTCAGGGCGGCTAACAAGCAATAATAAAAACAAGTTGAATGAATACAACTTAAAAACAAGATTAGAATACAACATTAAAATATTGAAACATTAAAATATTAAAATGTAGCCTAATCGCAGGAGGAGGAGGAAAAGGAAAAAAGAAAGAGAGGGAGGGAATCAAATTGGCTCCAAGCCAAAGGCCAGGCGGAACAACTCTGTCTTACAGGCCCTGCAGAAAGAAATCCGATCCTGCAGGGCCCTGGTCTCATGAGGCAGAGCGTTCCACCAGGCCGGAGCCAGTGCTGAAAAGGCCCTGGCTCTGGTTAAAGCTAATCTAACTTCCTTAGGGCCCGGGACCACTAGGGTGTTGCTATTTATGGACCTTGAGGCTCTCCGTGGGGCATACCAGGAGAGGTGGTCCCGTAGGTACGAGGGTCCTAGGCCGTGAAGGGCTTTAAAGGTCAAAACCAGCACCTTAAATCTGACCCTGTACTCTGTGCTAAGAGGTGTCTGGGCTAGAACTAGAACATCATGCATCAGTACTGCTGCCCCACATGCAGGGCCAGCCTGAAGATGGAACCAAAGGCTAAAATGGCACCCTCTCTCCATTCTATGAACAGGAGCCCGCTTGACTGGCAGCTGAATCTTAGTACACTGCTGGTGATGTCATAGCATTCTCTGCTGCATCAATGGCTTTGGATGCATTACACCTTTAAAGCACATTCATTCTTTCAAAGAATTCTGGGTACTGTGGTTTGTTAAGCATTCCTTGGAACTGTGATTCTGTGAGGGGTAAACCACAGTGCCCATAATTCTTTGAGGGAAAGAATGCACTTTTTATGGGCTTCCCATCGTGTTTGCATGCAGGGTCATCACTTGAGGGCATCAGCATGGAGTGATTTTGCATGTATGGATAGGTTTTGCATGGATAGAATTTTGCATGGATAGGATATAACAGAATGGCCAGAATACTTCCCAGCTGCCAGCCTGCCAGTCAAGTGTATAGTGGGGTCCAGGCAGCACTCTGAGCCTTCCCAACTCCCTCCAAGCACATCCCGCAAATCCATGCTTTCATAAAGCATGTTCCCCACTAGGTGGCATCTTGGACCGAAAAAGCCCAACAACAACTTCAGAAGGGATTGGAAGTTCAGTTGAAGCCATCGTAAAGTCTTAGCTGTATTTAAAATTAGCCACACTTCCTACTCTTGTTAATATTTGTGATGAAAGTAGAGTAAGAGTTTGTCCTTAAGGTCTCCTCCTCCATCGTCTTTCAGAGGTGTGGTTGCAAGACCTACCACCTATGTCTCGGCCTACCTTTCTTGTTACCATTCAGGTTGGTGCCATTTTAGCCATGTGTTTTTTTTAATTGATATTTAGCTTGCAAGTTTCCACCTGTTTCCCCACCCCATCTCCTTAAGAATTATTAAAATGCCAGCATCATAGTGCCTTAGTACAAAATTTAAAAGTGATTAAGGGGGGGGGAATCACGATCACTGCCTTCCAGTTTTCTAGTCAGTGCCATTTTGTCACCGCATATTATTTTTCCCCCATCTTAAAACATTTTCTCCTACCTGCTTAAAGTTCAACCATAGTGCTTTAGCACAAATTTTTGAACGATTTTTAAATCGGATTTTAAAAATGGTTCAAGTGAATTTTCTCTTTCCTGCCTATGCGACTATGTCACCGAGTCACTCCCGCAGTTAATTTGAATAAGCAGCAGAGAAATTTCATTGGGACCACATTCCCTGCCTAGTCTTTCAAAGGCAGCAGGTAGTTTTAAAAACACAGCAATCACAAAAGCCTCTGCCTGCTCTTTAAGAGGCAGCAGAGTCTTATCTCCAACCTTAGTGCTGTGGGAATACAGTGCTAAGATGAGAAATAAGCCTGTTAGAATTCTGAATTAACTGATGATTGGTGACATCCACAATCAGAAGCAATATGCCCTTGACCAGTTGCTAGAATCTCAGGTAGGGAGAGTGCTGTTATGCTTGTCCCGCTTGCGGGCTTACAATGGGCACCTGGCTGACCATAGAACCATAGAATTGGTTGGAAATAGAGTTGGAAATAGAGAATAGAGTTGGAAAGGAACCACAGGGGTCATCTAGTCCAGCCCCCGGCAATGCAGGAATCTTTTGGCCCAATGCGGTGCTCAAACCCACAGCCCTGAGATTAAGAGCCTTCCTGCTTTACTGACTGAACTATCCCAGGATGCTGGACTAGACGGGCCTTTGGCCTGATCCTGCAGGCTCTTCTTAAGCTTTGAGGTGAATGACAGGTGAGTGGCCCTGCTCACCTGTCGAAAATGACTCATGGAAGGTGGGCTAGATCTGGATGCAACCCTCAGGCCAAATCCAGTTTCCCACCCATTGGGCGAATGGAACATAGCTGGGTGAACACACGCAAAAAGCATTCTTCTTCCCAAAGTGTGGAAAGTCAACTGAAATGACTTAAGTAGCTTACAGTGAAAGAGCAAGAGCACACACACACACCCCGTTGCTGTGTTTGATTTGTCCTTAAATGCACTTATTGAACAGAGGCGGGACATTGACTAATTTGCGCAGTCGCAAGCTACTGGCACTGCTACACTCCTGGGCTGTCTGCTGTATATGTAGCCTGAAACGTCGCAGCAGATCAACATAAACAAAGATTTGGTAGGCATCCAAAGAACATCAATTAAATCTGAATGCGTGCCAGTTACCAAGAAGTGAAGCCTTAAAGTGCTCTCCAAAAACACAAGCCAGTATTAATGGAAGGAACAGAGCAAATCCAAACCACCAGATCTGCCAGCTGGGAGGAGTTAGGGGGAGAAAGTTCCTTGCTGCAGTAGGCAGCTGTGCCCCTACATGAACATAGCATTTCCCCTCTTGACAGAGTATGTGCATTACCGGCTGCTCCCATTCAGCTGTGTCTTCAGGCCCTGGCATGCTGGACAGCTCCCTGCCCTGGCTTGATACTGGGATCTGCCCAGGTGCTTTGGTGAAGCTGCCAACCATGGATGAGCATGAAAGGGATATGTCTTCTTCCCACCCCCTTTGCCCCAATGTTTTGTCTGTGGGGCAAGCAGTCTTCCTGCCAAGTGGATATTCAAAGCATCTCAGTGGACCCATTGGTCCCCTCTAGGGCTGAGGGGTTGGGAGTCGCATTCCTGAGTGGGCATCTGCAATACCTGGGCTCCTGGACCTTGACACTCTTGCTGGGTTGCGACCTATGAGTGGGAAGGAATGGTATGGAACCCCAGTTCCCAAGAGTGGTGGTGGTATGAAGGGGAAACCATGGTGCTGGGGGCAGAAGCTGCCACAACCCCTGCAGGGCCCTCCCCTTGGCATCTTCCATGCCCAAACTTCGTACCAGCAGGTGTGGTGTTGCCTGCTTTCTTCATGCCTGGTGTATCTTTGCTCATTGGCACCTTGCCTCTTACTTTGCGTCCCCTCTCCTGGCTGCTTGGCCGCTCCTTACCATATCTCTGTAGGTGCTTGCAAGTGCTTTATGGAGCATGCAGTGAGAGATAGGAGCATCTTTGGGGCTGTGGTCTTCTCCTCTCCCTGTTGTGGCTGTGTAATTGGTTCTGCCTTGGCACTGAAATTTTATTTTCTTCTGTTTGCATTGACTTCTCTGATGTTGTGCATTAAGTGAGGGCAGGTACCTACAGCCACGATAAAATTTAATGATTTCTCTGCAGTCGGACGCGGGTGGCACTGTGGGTTAAACCACAGAGCCTAGGACTTGCTGATCAGAAGGTCAGCAGTTCGAATCCCTGCGACGGGGTGAGCTCCTGTTGCTCCGTCCCTGCTCCTGCCAACCTAGCAGTTCAAATGCACGTCAAAGTGCAAGTAGATAAATAGGTACCGCTCTGGCAGGAAGGTAAATGGCGTTTCCGTGTGCTGCTCTGGTTCGCCAGAAGCGGCTTAGTCATGCTGGCCACATGACCCGGACGCTGTACGCCAGCTCCCTCGGCCAATAAAGCGAGATGAGTGCCGCAACCCCAGAGTCGGTCACGACTGGACCTAATGGTCAGGGGTCCCTTTACCTTTACTAAGTCCCATGGAAATCAATGTGACCCGAGTAGAAATGCCTGGGCTTGGGGACTGGTAAGTTGAATAAATACAATCACAGACCTTTCAACATGCTGAAATATCTTTCCCATCTTTCCCATAAACCTAAAATATACCCCCCGCCCGGTCGCTTGTGTTATACAAAAGTTCATGTTACACAACCTCAGTTGGCCCTGATGGAGAAATGACGACAGGGCAGCTTCCCAGAACCAGATCACATCAATGTGCTTCTCGAGAAATCTGCTGCTCTGGTTCACCAGAAGCGGCTTAGTCATGCTGGCCACATGACCCGGAAGCTGTACACCGGCTCCCTCAGCCAATAAAGCGAGATGAGCGCCACAACCCTAGAGTCGGTCACGACTGGACCTATGGTCAGGGGTCCCTTTACCTTTACCTGCAGTCGGGGTGCTGCTGCCATGTGTGTTTATGGTGCTGTTTGGGTGCCTGGCAGGTGTGTGCATTGTAGATGGCATGGCTATACATGCTGGGACCTGTATCTGGACTGGCTGCTATGGGCAGGGCTGCAATGGGGATGTGTTTCTTCTGTATTGCTTGTTTTCTTTTTCCCAGCAAAGGCTTCTCCCACCCCTTGCCATACAGGGTTTGGATGTGGTGAGATTTGCATGGTCATATTGCCAACGCATTGATCTACTCCCTGGCAGATTTCCCCACTTTGAATTGCTCAGGCAGATACTAACTTGAAAATGGGAAACTGAGGAGAAGCTAAAGTAGAAAGTTCTTGTGTGGAACACTCCTAGAGTGCCGCTGTGAAAGGGTGCGTCTGAACGCTGACCTCCGTACAGTTTTTCAGTTTGAAGCAAGCTTGTTCATGTTATACTGATGAAAAGCCCACGCTTCAGTGACTTACACTAAGATGAGGTTGATGTAACAGAATTCCTGACTGAGAGTTCTCAAGATGCACGTTGATGTGATCTGGTTCTGGGAAGCTGCCCTGTTGTCATTCAGGGCCAACTGAGGTCGTGTAACATGAACTTTTGTATAACACAAGCAACAAGGGGGGCTATTTCAGGTTTAAGGGGAAGATGGGAAAGATAGCCGCCTGAAGCCAGGAGAGCAAGACTCTCCTGGCTTCAGGGATAGCCGCCTAAAGCCGAGCTCCTGCTGCGCTCCGGAGGCTTCGTGTTGCTTTGGCTGAAGCCAGGAGAGCGAGAGGGATCGGTGCGCACCGATCCCTCTTGCTTTCCTGGCTTCGCTGAGGGGGCGCTGCGCAGAGAGTGAGATAATTTTTTTTCTTGTTCTCCCCCTCTAAAACTAGGTGCGTCCTATGGTCGGGTGCGTCCTATAGAGCGAAAAATACGGTATTTCAGCATGTTTAATGTTGAAAGGTCTGTGAATGTATTTATGTAACTTACCAGTCCCCAAGCCCAGGCATTTCTACTTGGGTCACATTGATTTCCATGGGACTTACTCCCAGCTAAATGGGTCAGATTGCAGCCCTAATTTCCATCTGATGGGGGAGAGAAGGCAGCTGCTTATCCTCCACAGTTTTCTCTGTTCTTCCCTACTCTCTTGTCCTGCCACTGCGGGTTAGATTGAAAAGCAGAGAGACACAAACATCCGCTCATGCTCTTGCCACGCTTCTTGAGTTTTGTGATGTAGTCAGTGAAACCTAGTGGGCACACAGAGAACTGCTCAGTATTTTGCATTCTTAACACCTCCAGAAACTCACCACCACTTCCTCCTTTCCGTGTTGGGCATCCTGGAAGGTAAAGGAAATGCTAAGGTACAGGTGGTGCAGAGTGCTTTGGGCACTTTTTCCTTCCTAGACTGGCTCAGGAAAATCTTTGCATATGCGCTTCCGAGGGGGAATGTTCCTAGCCAGAGATGGAAGCAGCTTTCCCTGCCAGACCAGGTAGACTTGGATTACAGAGTCTTCCCCAAAGGGGATTTCTAAGAGAAGCATTTTTGCAAGACAAGCATTGGCTGTGCTCAAAAAACGAGCCCCATACAATCAGTGATGTCTGTGGTCAAATAAAAGCAAAAAAGGGCCAGACTCCTACCACTTTAACAATGGTATAGAAGGGGGAGTTTCAGCAGGTGTAGTTTGTCAAGCAAGCAACACCTGCTGAAAAATCCCGTTTTTGTGTTTTTTAAAAAATCTGGCCTCTCTACTAGGAGATGGCCCATGAGCGAGACTTCCACTGAGCTTCAACACATCCAGAAATGTCATCTGTTGCTTGCAATGCCTGCAGGAGAGAGCAAGTTCTTAACTAGGAAACTGCAGCTGTGCAGTTTCTCAAGAAGAGAACTAAGGCAATGAGGAAGGAGGAGCTGCCTGAAAGCTGACTATTCTGTGATTCCACACAAGTTGATATAGTACTGAGTGCAGAATTGTAGCAAGCTGTGAATCTCAGCTTTGTCTCCCTCTACCCACCCCACAAAAATAATTAAGGAAAAGTAAGCATTATTTCCTATCCATTGTAGCGATGCAAGTAGACATCTCTGACATGCTTTGAAGCCTATCAAAGCATCAGAAGCAGAAACTGTGGCTGAGTATCTTGCACGTTGCCCTGGGGCGGAGTTCTGGGTGGTGTACTCCCTGCCCCCCCTTGCTCTCCTCCTTGAGTAGGAGTAAAATAATGCATATGTAAATATACAGGCAAAATTTTAACAATGCAGATCTTTTCCCTTTGCATAATTTATACACATTGCTAAGTTTTGGTTTGCATGGGATTTTGTTTTGTCATGGGGCACAATTTTAATGGGGAGTGGAACCCCTGGGGCTACTCAAAAGCTGAGTTTGCAAGGGAAGGAATTAGAGCAGTAGCAAGAGCTCACTCCAGCTGCAGGCCTATACACACACTTACCTGGGGGTAAGTTCCATTGACTACAACTACCATCATCAGACTATAAGCCATGTTGATTAGAGCTGATGAGAGTTGGAGTTGATCAACAGGCTGCCCATCTCTGCCCTAAACCATGCATTGTGCCTTGTCAGGTGTTTGATAACCCTCTTGATTTATTTTGTTTTGTAATCTCAAGCAGATTGCAAAAATAGATTTATTGTGTCGCTGATGGCCTGCCATATTAGAAGTGTGTTAGTCAGTTAGGTGGGTCACAAATTCTGCAGGGATCTGACCGTCTTTTTCTCTTGTGCATAGGATGACACTCGAAGTCTGGGAATGAAATAGTAACCCAGTTTGTACTCATTCCATTGGCTGAGCAATGACTTTGTTACCGTAATCCCTTGATTAAACTTGGCTCTGCATGGTAATCTTACGCCACAAACTTGGCTGGCTTCAGCTTTCTACATTTCTTCTGCATTCGGAGCCAGCTTAATTCCTGGTACAGGCCTGCAATGATCTACAGTAATACTGGAGAGTTATATAATCATCTCAGAAATCTATACTGCATTTCCTTCGTGCCAAGGAAACTTTGGATGCTGATTGGTTGAGTCAGAGAGATGCTGAGGAATGTCCATTAACATTCCAAGTTCCAGCTTGATCAAGGAACAAAGCTTGACAGCAACAAAATGTTCCCAGCCTGGCTTCTGTGAGAAGGAATATATCAGTCTGAGTTGGATTAAAACTTAAGACATAGGCTCTGTATAGGCTCTGTAGATGGAGGATCTGCAGAGGTGGGTAGCTAAGCCCACTTCAGAGCTGAATAAGAGATGACCAGAAGTACAAAACCTGGTGGGCTAAAAGCACAGAGGTAGAGCAGTGGAAGGAGGGGAAGAGCAAATGGTGTATATAACAAACCTGAGGGAAGACCCTGAGTTTGAAACCTCCCAATACCCATTGTATTACTTGAGAATTGCTTCTCTTTTGTTTTCTTCACATTCTGAAAATAGGAGTGTAATGCTGAGTTTAGTAAGCGCCTGATTGTGCAGGCACTTGTAACATGTAATGGTCAGGACCCCTGACCATTAGGTCCAGTCGTGACCGACTCTGGGGTTGCGGCGCTCATCTCGCTTTATTGACTGAGGGAGCTGGTGTACATCTTCCGGGTCATGTGGCCGGCAGGACTAAGCCGCTTCTGGCGAACCAGGGCAGCGCACGGAAACGCCGTTTACCTTCCCGCTGGAGCAGTACCTATTTATCTACTTGCACTTCGTGCTTTTGAACTGCTAGGTTGGCAGGAGCAGGGACCGAGCAACGGGAGCTCACCCCATCGCGGGGATTCAAACCGCCGACCTTCTTATCAGCAAGCCCTAGGCTCTGTGGTTTAACCCACAGCGCCATACACCACCATTAAACCAGAGCGTCCTGTAACTCTCCAACTCAAAAGAAATTATCTTGCCACCTTTCCACTCGGCTGCTGAACTGAACACAGCTAAGTTTTGCCTAACAATTTCAAACTGTATTATTTTAATTAGAAAGTGATTGTTCCTTGGCCTGACCTCAGTAGTTATGGTCAACATTTCCCCCCTCTTATTTCAGGCTTCTAATATTGTTCAACTGCAACATGTTCTCTAACCTCAGTGTGCCGTTCGTTTTACCAAAGGCAAATGACGCCCGATTCCTTCATTCGATTCTCCAGCTGGCTTCCCTTCTAGACTTTGCATTGTCCTTTTATCTCTCTCCAAATTCTTTCCAATTTGTCAATGTCTGCCTTGAATTGAGGCATCACTGGAATTATGTTCAATAGTACAATGAAGCATTTATTACAGATATTGTTCTGTGTTTGGCTCGCTTCATCACTGTGAATGGGTGGTCAGGGCCTTTGACAAAAGAAATTTGATGCTTATTTAATGGGTCTAGATGCCCACCCGCCCAGTGGACAATTAACCTGATGGGTAGAGTCTTGGATGTGTGCACTGCTGGGCATGTGTGTGAGAAGCAGCAATTTTGCAAATTTAAATGGACAGAGAGGGAAAAGGAAAGAGGAGGAGGAAGGAGAAGAGGTATGGGGACATAGGAGGGAGGAAGAAGGGCTTCTAACTGACTTAGCTGAAACTGCTAGTGTTGCATTTCTGAAGAGCTGTCTTTAGACCTTCAGCTCTGGGGAAATGGGGAATCCACAACAAGTTACAACATTAAACAATATTTGGGATTTGGCCTGTACATCATCCAAAACCACTTAGAGTTCCCTGCATGGCTTTTTGTTTTGGGGTTTCACAAAAGCCTCGGTACAAGTTGGTCAGCAGGTTTAGTCTTCGTGGAGCCCTTCGGTTTCTCTTTGGTCTCCCGTCTGGCTGTGGATCAGAGGCTCCAAACTCACACTCCAGTGCCAAATCAGTCTCCGAAGCTGCACAAAGGGCCTCAAGACACAATTCCAGGATCAGATCTGATTTGCCACTGGCACACCACGGATCCCCTTTTTTTACTCTTTCTGTCCCTGGGCCAGCCTCCTTCCTCCCCTGCCCCAAACTGCAAATTCAAGTCCTGCCACAAGTCTTTGTTTGGGGGCACTTTTTTCAGGAGCAGCTGGCCCACAATATCACCTGGGTTCAGGAAACCTGACTGTGCAGGGAGGCTGGTAAGTGTGTCCAGCCAAGCACGCTCAGAATCCCCCTTCCGACTTTCCTGCCCAGTGCAGGAAGGTCAGGGTGGAGGAGGCAGGGGTGGCACATGACATATGATCCCATAGGCCCTCCACGGATTTGAATTTAAAATGCTTAAAGAAGGCTAAAACCTCCCATTGAATTAGAATCATAGAATAGAACCATAGAATTGTAGAGTTGGAAGGGATCCCAAGGGTCATCTAGTCCAACCCCCTAAAATGCAGGAATCTAAACTAAAGCATCCATAAAACTCCAGACTCTGCTTTGCAGGCAAGTATTTCTCCACTTGAGATTCTTATTGTTCTGCCTGAGGTACAGGTCTCTGAAATGGATAGAGAATGGTGGAAGTGGTGAAGAAGTTTGGGGACGCGGGTGGCGCTGTGGGTTAAACCACAGAGCCTAGGACTTGCCAGTCAGAAGGTCGGCGGTTCAAATCCCTGCGACGGGGTGAGCTCCTGTTGCTCGGTCCCTGCTCCTGCCAACCTAGCAGTTCGAAAGCATGTCAAAGTGCAAGTAGATAAATAGGTACCGCTCCAGCGGGAAGGTAAATGGCGTTTCCGTGTGCTGCTCTGGTTCGCCAGAAGCGGCTTAGTCATGCTGGCCACATGACCTGGAAGCTGTCTGCGGACAAACACTGGCTCCCTCGGCCAACAAAGCGAGATGAGCACCGCAGAGTCGGTCACGACTGGGCCTAACGGTCAGGGGTCCCTTTACCTTTACCTATTTTTCCACTTGAGATTCTTATTGTTCTGCCTGAGGTACAGGCCTCTGAAATGGATAGAGAATGGTGGAAGTGGTGAAGAAGTTTGTGGATGAGGCAGGGTACAGAAAAGAATGTGTCTCACCCACCTCTCTCTTTCCTTTGCTCCTAGTTGAATAACACCCCACTCCACCCCGCTCTGTGTTGTCACGGACACCATCTGGAGCTGAAACCCATCCAGTTTGCAACAGGATTAAATAAATGCTTTAATTTTTATCTCTTTATTAAGTGTGCAGTGTTTTTAGCTTGCACTTATAAATGTTCCCTTCTCCCTTTGGGAATGACGAAATACAAAACAGAGTGGGTCAGCCGTGGAAAGGGATGAATAAAGTAATCTCAAAGCTGTTTAATCTCATCTATAGACATCAGTCAAAACAGCTGGGCTCCCCTACCCCTCCAAACCTGGTGCTTTGGTTTTATTAGGCCATGCTGTGGGTTTTTTTGCAAAGGATCAACACAGCAGCCCTGAGGTCAAATTTACTGGTGGATCTGCAATTTCAGTGGCAAAACACATCACCAATTTTAGCAGTCCTTTGAAAGCCCTGGACAAAGTATAGATGGAAATAGCTTGGCTGAGCTCCATAATAATGAGACACTGCAAGAAATGAGATCATCAGTCCCAGTTTAGAAGACAGTGAGCACACACCACAACTCTTATTGTCGCCCTTGGCATGTCGTGGGCTGGAAAAAAGAGAGGTGGTTTCGTGGGTGGGTTGTTGTTGTTCTGGTGTTTTGAATAGGCCAAATGAGGTGGTTGAATTCAGGCAGCAGCTGCTGGAGGGCAGGGGGTATCACAGCAGCTGGCACCGGCCCTGCTTGCTCATTACTGGCCTTGGCTGTCTTACCTAGTTATAGTCTCCGAGTGCGTCGCAGACATTTCATTAGGAAAAGCCCCTCCCCAAACAAGCAGGCAGAGTTGCAGGCAGCCCAGGCCATGAACTCCAGCAGTCACCACATGGGCACATGCATTGGTCATGTGACTCGCACTGGTGCTGCCCGGCCACTGCTGCATTGCAGCGTTTGTTCAAGCAAGCAGCAAGCATGTAGCATTAGTAACTGCCCACATGACGCTGGATTTGTGCACTGGAAAAGGCTGGCTTCTGAAAGCCTGTATGTGCTGTGCAAAGTGAGCACATCTCTCTAAATTATTATGCATAGTTGATTCTGATAGAGGGAGGGGATGTAGCCCCCCCCCACTAATAATCTTCTGCAGCTTCTCCTTCGGCTGCTGCGGTTTTAGCAGATGTCACAAACACACATACTTCCAAGCATGGGCTTGCAACCTCGAGAGCCAGAAACACTCTTTTAAAAAAGGAAAACAGCTTTCTAAAGTTGTCAGGTTCTAAAATCTGCTCTTTGGGTGAGAGAGGGAGAGAAGGAAGGGGAAAGCGGGGGAAAGTGTGCACTTAGAATTTTAGTGTGAGACCCAGTTTGTTACTCAGATTGGCTGAAACTGTGATTCTGGAACTGGTACAGTGTGTACCGGGGCTGCATACATTCTTAAATCTCTGCAAATCTGATGCCGGATTAGCAGCTGTGCTATCCATTCATAAGAGAGTACAGTGGTACCTCGGGATGCGAACGGGATTCGTTCCAGAGCCCCGTTCGCATCCCGAACAGAACGTAAGACGCAACAGCGTGTCTGCGCGTGCGTGGGTCACGTTTTGCCGCTTCCACGCATGCGTGTGACGTCATTTTGAACATCTGCGCATGCGCGAGCAGCGAAACCCGGAAGTAACTCGCTCCGTTACTTCAGGGTTGCTGCAGAGCGCAACTCGAACGCACTCAACCTGAAGCACATTCAACTCGAGGTATGACTGTACTTTGCCTCCACACACTATCCTCTGATTGTATATTTGCAAATTAAACAAAACAAAAGAAACCCTCCATGAATCTCTGCTGGAATCTCTCGCTACTTGGGAAACTAAGGAGTGGCTAATATTTAATTGGAAATAACTTCCTCTGCTTTCAATGAGGCTGACTCCCAGTGAAGCATGCATGGGATTTCAGGTTAGCACTTTGCCCTTCAGCTTGTTATTTGCTTGATTCTTCATTCATTGATTTCTGTGCAACTTATTTCCAAGTATGCTTAGGACTGCAGCCTGAGAAAGGTAAGACTAGAATCCTGTGGATACTAACATGGGTTTAATCCCACTGAACACAGTGAAACTTACTTTCAAGTACCGTATTTTTCGCTCTATAAGACACACTTTTCCCCCTCCAAAAATTAAGGGGAAATGTGTGTGCGTCTTATGAAGCAAATGCAGGCTCCATGGCTTCAGCGAAAGCAACGCAAAGCCTCCAGAGCGCAGCGGGAGCTCCCGCACCGATCCCTCTTCCTCTCCTGACTTCGCTGGAGAGCCGCTGCGCAGCTTTCCCTCTCTGCACAGTGCCCCTTCAGCGAAGCGAGAGGATAAATGGAAGGGGTTCCGCTTCTCCTGCCGCTTCGCTGAAGGGGCGCTGCGCAGAGAGGGAGAGATTTTTTTTTTCTTGTTCTCCCCCTCTAAAACTAGGTGCATCTTATGGTCGGGTGCGTCGTATAGAGCGAAAAATATGGTAAACATACAGTATATTGACTCAGATTGTTAAGCGAGGGCTTCTTCCATGTTGATGCAGCGTCCGTCCAGGTTAAAGAGAACCACACAACAATATTGGCACACAAAAGGGGTGGGTGGGAGGGAGTTAGACTTTCAAACCTCAATAGCAGCCCCCCCCCCTTGCACACACACATGCATATAGCCATGGGGGGCAGGGGGGCAGCTGCCCCCCAAATCAAATAAATAAATAAAAATACTTAACTAACTGACAAATCATGTCTCAGATAGCTTGGTTCTGCCCTCCCCAAACAAAAATCCTGCCCGCCCCACATAAATCTTGGCTACGCCCATGCACACACACATACAATACCGCATAACATTCTGCTTTGAGAGAACTGATGGGGTTTTTCAAGGGCATTTTGTGGTGTGGCATGTGGATCAGCTGTTTAAAGGGGAAAGAAAATTTCAAAAAAATCTCTCCAGGCATATCTAATCCAATACACCCTGCGTAGCTGAAACAAAACAGCTGGTTTCAAGGTAGGAGAAGCTGCTGACTAACGGTCTTTGTCAATTCGATTGACCGCCCTAGTGTGAAGTGAGCAACATCACTGATTTTTTTATGGATGCTGCCCAGAAATTTGTCCTGCTCTTACCTCATTTCTTTTCAAACATGCAAATGTGATTTTGTGACAAGGTTGCTCACATCAACCATATAGTAATCTATGGCTGCATACGCACTGTGCCTTTAAAGACCTTCAAAGCCCTCCTCAAAGAATTCTGGGTAGTGTAGTTTCTGGGAATTGTCACTCTGCCCATTCTTTGAGGTGGAGGAAGGGCTTTGAAGGGATAGTGTGTGCACAGCCTAAGTCCCATATGTTTATCGTAGTTGGTTAAATGCATTGGTGCAATCTGTGTGGTGAAATGTGCTGTTGAGATGGAATCCTTAATTGGAAGTTCTTAATGAAGCAAGCCGGAAGTAGAGCTGAAACATATCTACGTGACAAATCTACATGGAAATTTGTCCACCCAAAAACTTGCAGGTGGAAACGATATTGAAAATCAGGTCCCTCATAACCATCCTGATACCATCATGAGGACAAATAATCATGAATGTGCAATGAAAAAGACATCTGGAGAGGTCCCCTCTTTCTCCAAAATCTGTCACTCTTTAGCAGGACAAAAAAAGCAGAACCTGTTGTTGTTGTTTAGTCGTTTGGTCATGTCCGACTCTTCGTGACCCCTTGGACCAGAGCACGCCAGGCACTCCTCTCTTCCACTGCCTCCCGCAGTTTGGTCAAACTCATGTTCGTAGCTTCGACAACACTGTCCAACCATCTTGTCCTCTGTTGTCCCCTTCTCCTTGTGCCCTCCATCTTTCCCAACACCAGGGTCTTTTCCAGGGAGTCTTCTCTTCTCATGAGGTGGCCAAAGTATTGGAGCCTCAGCTTCAGGATCTGTCCTTCCATTGAGCACTCAGGGCTGATTTCCTTCAGAATGGATAGGTTTGATCTTCTTGCAGTCCATGGGACTCTCAAGAGTCTCCTCCAACACCATAATTCAAAAGCATCAATTCTTCGGCGATCAGCCTTCTTTATGGTCCAGCTCTCACTTCCATACATCACACATCGCTCTGTCACTCTTTAGCAGGACAAAAAAAGCAGAACCTAGAACTGTACAAAGGTGCAGACAGGGGTTGGTCTTCATTCTCAGTGACTCAGGTTGAGTTGTAGGAGATAAGCAAGACTCAGGGAATGACTGTTATTCATTGCTGTCAGAGGGCAAATCCTGATTTTTGCAACTGATGCATGGATAACGGGGGTGGGGGGTGGCCTGGGGGCTGGGCAGGAATCATATCAAGCACTCGCACCAGTTGTGTCCCTGAGTTCATTCCTACCCTCAGACCGTAATCAGTTTAGAGAAATAGAAGGCAGGGACAGATTTGGAAAAAGGAACTTTGTCTTCACCGCATGCTCTTGCCTGATGTAACGGTCTCAGCAGTGGAAGGCAGGGTGGGGAGTAGGGCAGAAGAGACAATGAAAGGAAATGGAGTCTGGAAGGGACTCTGACGGTATCCATGCTGTACCTTTTAAAGCACATTTTTCCTTTCAAAGAATTCTGGGGACGGTAGCTTGTTAAGGGTTGCTGAAAATCGTAACACTGAGGGATAAACTACAGTGCCCAGAATTCTTTAAGGGAAAGGTTGTGTTTTGATTGTGTTTCAAAGATACAATGTGTACACAGCCTCTTTCTCCATCCTTCGCATATCCTGTGAAACTTGATAAATCTTTAAAAGGTAAAGGGACCCCTGACCATTAGGTCCAGTCGTGGCCGACCCTGGAGTTGTGGCGCTCATCTCGCTTTACTGGCCGAGGGAGCCGGCGTACAGCTTCCAGGTCATGTGGCCAGCATGACTAAGCCACTTGTGGCGAACCAGAGCAGCACACAGAAACACCGTTTACCTTCCCGCTGGAAGGTACTTGCACTTGCACTATCTACTTGCACTTTGACGTGCTTTCAAACTGCTAGGTTGGCAGGAGCAGGGACCAAGCAACGGGAGCTCACCCCGTCGCGAGGATTCGAACCGCCGACCTTCTGATCGGCAAGTCCTAGGCTCTGTGGTTTAACCCACAGCGCCACCTGCATCCCTAAAAAAAAAAAGATTTATCTAAAGAGAAATCTTTAGCAA